TTTTCCAAAAAAAAAATATTCTTCTGATTCCTCTGCTAGACATAGAGTCTGGTGCGAGTCCAAGTATCAAAAGTGGCCAGCCCGCCAGGTGGACTTGTGCAACGTCAGGGGGTGGGAACGCGCACCATACTTTTGCAGGTACCCGGCGAGGAAGAAGCAACGTGTGAGGAAAAGAAGATCTGGGCTGTTCCGGGCTGACCTGGGCCGTGCTTGCGAGGGCCGGCCGGGCCCGGGGGGGGGGGGGGGGGAACGAGGTCCAGATATTTGAAGGGACCCCGGGAGGAAGAAGCAACGAGGGGGGAAAAGGAGATGGGGGCTGGTCCGGGGGGACCTGGGGCGGGGTTGCGATGGACGACATGAACCTGACGGGAAAGGGAAAAAAAAATGATGGAAGGAAGAAAGAAAAAAAGAAAAAAAAAAAAAAAAAAAAAAAAAAGGATGCACCGCGCACCCCATCTCAGGGCCGTTGTGCCTCATCTCTCTCCCCTTGCCCTGATGACCCTCTGGCTGGGTACCCACGCCAAGCGTATCTTTTGCTCGAGGCATGAGACATGGATACTAGTAGAGAAGAGGAGGAGCGAGGGATGATAGAAACCGCTTCCTTTACGACCAGTGGGGTTCGAATGGAACCGGAAGAACGATGCAAAAAGAGGAGCCGATGCAATTGGATGGTGGTGGACCAGGGAAAGAAAAGGTTGAGTACCTAGGGATGGGGGTTACGAGGGCTCTGATTGTCTCTCGAACGGCGCTGTTTGGTGGGCCGCGAGGGAGAAGAACGACAGACGCAGCAACCCGATGCAAAGGAGGGACACACATACACACACACACACACACACACACACACACACACACACACACACACAGCATTACCTAGATGCAATTTGTCTCCGTACAGAGAGCCAACACCAGCCGGAGCGTAGCTGAGATATGGATAGTCCAGCTGCTCTACAAGGGAGCTACTAATGCGTGCCCATAACAGGTGTTACGTACGTAGCCATGCATTGCTTGTGCTAAGAACGGTAAGCTAAGGTAGCAAGGTGATCGCCCACGATGCACACTGTGGGGAGGGGCAGAAAAAAGGGCAAAACAGACATCAAGTCATTATTTGTGACAGGTTGGCCAGCTCCTCGTGGCACGCAGGGCGCGACTTGTAACTGCTCGAGTTGCGACAGTGACGGAACTTTGACGGACTTGAAGACATGTGGTGCGCAATGTGTTGTCGAATAGAACGTGACGCCGTACCTACGCTTCCGTGCAAATTGTAAGCTACCGTGGTGGATAAGAAGAGGCGCGGCACGGGCACGAGATTGCAGCAGGCAGGGTGCTCGTGGTGAGGTCGACATTGGACGAACATGGACCACCAACGCTACTCGGCCGCGGGAAAGCAGCGATCCAATGCGGTGGGGAATGGGTGTGCGATCAGAGACATGATCGATCCCACCTCGGTACGGAGTGGCCAAAAACACGTTTTGAGGCGAGCGCCTCGGCTGCTTGTTGAAACATCCGTAGTTGAGGAAGATGTAGAGGAAGAAATCGTGCATTAAAATGAGACGCGACTGGGTCGCGATCAATTGGAAGCTCTTGTGCCTATCGTGTAGCACGGCATAATCGAATCCTCGGGACGATGACGGGTGAGTGGTTGTTCGGGAACACTAGGCCACGGCACACAGCTCTGCTGCCTGCATGGTGCTGTCGCCCGTCTCCGCGCCTTTGACCGGGCCGTCAAGTCGAGTTGTGCGCTCCGGGGAGGAAGGCAAATGGTGTCCGATTCGATTCGTGTGCTCGTGTTGCTCCGATGATCTCATCGCCCGCGGCCCTAGGCCAAAGTATTGGATCAACGTTTGAGAGCTTGGCTACCCGACGTCGAGGTTCCCCTTTGCTCTGGGAGATTGATGAAGCGTCTCAACACACCAATCGGCCCTGCCGCTGGCAATGCCGCTCGTCCCACCTCGTTCGATCGCGAGGAACTGAAAGAACTGGCGGCCATCTTCAGAGAAGACGGCGTATCGCAGGAGAGATGCTACGGTGCACGCCGGTAGGGTCTGGGTTAAGAACACGAAAAAGCTGGCAACGAAGGCAGTCTCGAGGAGGGAATTGAGAGGGAGCAGGTGTGCTCATAAGCCACGCAGACAGCTGCTGGATGCTGGCTGGCTGACTGAGACATTGGGCTTTACCAACAGAGCGAAATGGAGGTTGTGTGTCTAAGCTATCCATGTTTCAACGTGGAGTCGGCGGCATGGGTAACGTAGCTGGTGTCCACCAGCAAAAGCAATGAAGAAGATTCTCGGAATTAGCATCCACTATTGTCTTCAAAGTGGTGTTGGCAACGTGTAAAAAGCCGGGTTGAGCAGACAGGTGAGGTCAGGTAGGTACGTACCCATGACTAAAGTGCAGATGCGTCTGTGGGTACCAGGCGAGGCGGTTGTCCCATACGATGTAGATGCACGCAACTGGAGACATACAGACAACGAGCATGTGGTGCAAAAAGAAAAGAAAAGAAAGATTTTCAAGCAGACACAGCCGAGAAGCAGCGGCCGCGGGAGGGTGAAATGCCTTGAGACTCCCAGATGGACAACATGGTAAAAAGATTGGAAGGTAGAGAGCCCTCCCCGCCACACAGAAGGAAAAAAAAAAAAAAAAAAAAAGAGAAGAGGGAGAAAGCTATAGTTTCACATCTCGCCCGTCGGTCCTTTCGTGATGCCGAATTGTTGATGAGGCAGGAAGGAGTACCTTAGGCCCAGGACGAAGAGGGGAAGAGATGATGGTTTGCAATTTTGGGACGTCGCTCGACGCACTTGCATCTACACACCCATGTAAAATAAGGTGAGCAGCTAGCCGGGCGGTAGGCGAACGGGACAGGAGAGCCGCAACCCCTGGCGCCGATGGCAGGGACCACTTGTAGTCCGTCCCGGTCGCACCTCCCGTTTTTTCGATGATCGAGGGCCCCTGCGCTCCTCCCCCGGTCACTAGGTAAGGTAGGTTGCACGCCGGGAACATCGATGTGGAATTTATGGACCTCCGGTAGGTACGTGCTCACCCACTTCCAGTCGAAGGCAAGGAACGGAGGACCTTGGTGCACTTACCTGGGCAAGCTTGGCAAGGTATTCCCAACTTCCCGTTGGTTCTCCACACTTTCCCGGTTGAACGTCACCTCCTCTCCTGCCTTCACCATGAGGTGGATGAGTGGTAACTCCTCCGAACTTGCCGGCACACATAACCAGACCCTATCGGGAAACATGCGAGCAACCTCGCAATGCGGCCCCAAACGATGCAGGCGCAGGGTCAATTTTGCGCACCTCGCCGAGTTTCTTCCCTGTATCCGTACTGCCCAATCCATTCATTGTTTGCGCTTTCATCCTTGACGACTCCAGCGGCAGGGCGAGTCAATGAAATGCAGCAAACCTCGCGAAGAATCTATTCTTTATTTTCGTTTTTCTTTGCTTTCGAGTACCGCAACCACCATCAAGCATACCTTTTTTTCGGGGACCTGGAGGAGAGAGGGGGAGGGGAGGGGGGTCGGGTTTCTTCCTTCATCCTCACGCCCCCCCCCGCCCCCCCCCCAATCTTCCCCAATCTCACTCCGTCAAGCAAGGCTTGTTCGAGGCCGACCAACGTAAGGTAGGTAGTACAGTAGGAGCATCTCAGACCTGTACACCCTCAGGCAATGGCATACTCCCCCAAACCAACAGGGAAAAACATCATGTCCAGACCGGATTTCATCCGAGTTGCTTGCCCGTCATGTCTTAGTCGAGCACACCACACCTCATTCCCCATCTCCCATTCCTCATCCCGCCAGTCGCCATCCTCCATCCCGCTGATCCATGATTCAACCTCCAGTGCTCCCCCAGATTGCCACCCGACTTTGAAACATTCCGATGTCTTGTCGACCGCGACAACATGTCAGTCAAGTCTGGCGCCCGCGCGTACACACCCGACGATTTTGAATGTGATGTGTAGCTTTTTCATCTTGTCTTGGATCTCTTTAACTTTTTTTCTGACAGAACTGGCCCGGCCCGCGAACCAGAAGATGCATATGAAATCCGATGAAAAGCGGAGTGTGCATTGGGCCGGTGAAGGATTTCTACGAATAGAACCGCGCCAACTCCACACCCTTCGACCGGACACCCGTCTGCAAGGACACCTGCAGGACCCTGTTCAACGGTGCACATGGCGGATCGACACAGCTTGAGCCATTCCCGACCAAGACGATATGTTCAAATTTTTTCAAAAACAGAGCGCAGTGAAGGGTCGTGTGCGCGCATCCCGGCGGGTGGGGGTTGGTGACAATCCTCGCAACCGCCAAGATGGAGTAGCGAGCTCGATAAGCTCAAGCTCCTTCATTCCTCGACTTCAAAACATCTATCTCTCTGGTGCACATCGCGAACTCTGTAAGTTCCGTCGTCTCCTGTAGGCCGTTGTGTAACATTACACGAAATGGATCGATAACCGGCAACAGCAGAGTGAGATCAAAACTTAACTTCGCCACAGTCAATCGTCAGACATGCACAATCTCGGCAATGCAATGCGTTCAACAGAAACTTCGGGCGGACACACAAATGCACAAAGTTACTATGGACAGCAACAAGCCTCTGCTCCTGGTCACATTTGCCACCCGTCATCATCGTTCTCGTCAACTTCGTTGAGATCTCCTCCGCTCACTTTTCCTCCCCCGCCCACGCAAACCTTCCATGATTTTTCCCCTCGGAAGAAAGAGAAGTGCAAGACAGAGAAAGGGAAAGAAAAGGGAAGGAAAGAGTAAATGGCCACGAGAATGCATTCTCCCTCCATTGCCGTCACCCTGTAGAACAAATAGATAGACCGAGGTGGAGCCCTAAAATACAAGAGTCACGGTCGAACGAGAAGAATAAGTAAGTATCAAGCGGCCTGCTCGCGAAAAAAAAAATGAAAGCATGAGATGAACACCGCCGTCAATGCCAAACCTTTAAAAAGCCAACGACTTGTCTTTTTGGCCTTCCCGCATTGCGCCTCTGCACATCGCTTTACCTAGTGTGCACCCTGCCTGGTCCCGGTAGAAACATCCGAACGGAAAGTATCGCCCTCCCCCTCACCTCCTGTCATTTATCCCCCCCACCTCCACTTCGATTAATATGCCCACGTTTGGGGTTGCCAGTCTCGCTGGAAGAGCTGACTGACAAAGAAATATGGCTGCTCGTACTGGTGGGCTTGTTGAACCTCTTCCCATTCGCGTTCTAGTTCAATCGCGTCAGCCATCACTCTCGCTTGTTGGTTGGCCTGTCACTGCCGATCCAAGGGAGGCCCTTCAGAATATCTCTCACGCGAAAGCCGCAAAAAAGTACTACGTTTCGGTCACAGGGGGGGGGGTTGGGAAACAAGGGCTGCCACTGACTGTTTTGCACTGCCATTGCGCGCGTGTAGTGAATAAACTTCACCGCATTGTCGTCCAACTGCGCCAGTGTCCGCAAGTCCTGGTCTCTGCAATCCTCGGAAAACGGGTAGATTCCCTTGTTGCAGTAGTGGAAGTACGCAAGGAGAATTGTTCCTCCTGTTCGTCAGGCTTTCGTCAGCATGTCTCACTCAACAAAAAAAAAAACAGATTGAGCCACCGCAAAACATAAAGCAATCGCTCCAGCCAGCTATTATTGCATACATACCCATGTGGTATTCTTGGACATCCAACTCTCTCGCGAATTTCGTCTGGCAAGACAAACATCACGTATTAGCAAACTCTTTCTGAAGCCATTCATGGACGCTCCCCATTCGACCGAGGAGCACGTTCTTGTTCCGCCCAACTCACCTTCATCCCATGCTTCCTGGCGTATGAAGCATCGTGATCCGTCACGAGCGCGATGTTGTGGAGTAACATAAATGTCACCAGGTAAGTTGTCAGCCAAGTCTTCTGCTTATTCTGCAGCGTCATTTTCTGGAGCTTTTCCAGCATTTCTCGTCTGAGTCTTGTTTGTATATGCTGGATGAGGACCAAGTCCAATTGAGCCCCCATCACGGGCGGAAGGGGGATACATCCGTGTTGCGGGCTGCTGCTATCCAGAATATCGCGGGTCATTCCGAGCGTCTCTTCGCCGACAATCTCTATTGATTTTGTTGTCAAGCGAACCGACATCCACAACTCCAGTGTCTGAAGCAAGAGCTCCCGCTCATCTGGTGGCGTCGCAGGATCTTGGGAGAGTAGCCAAGCTTTGTTGTAGGTGGTGTAGATCAGTTGGTCCGTGACGCCCATCACACTTTTGACGACCGAAGTGAAGCATTCAACGACACCTCTCTTGATATAATCTTCGTACGCCGTCTGTGCTTCGTCCAGGTTCGTGATGGCGTACGTAGGGATCGCCACGGACTTCCTCTCGCCATCCTCGGTGACCCAAGTCCGCTCCAGTTTGTCACCCGGCTGCGGGACGAATTCGCGCACAGAAAGCTGAACCCACATGCTCTCCGGCGTGTAACCCTCCCACAAGCGTACAGTCCTCACCTCAGTGGACGCCCAGTTGTTAATGTTGTCTACGATACCGTTGTTGAAACGCTGTGTCCACTCAAAACCAGGTGCTTGGCCCTTCTTGAAGAAATGACATTCCGTGATTTTGTGACGTACACAAGGCTGGCGGATGAGTTGTTTGTGATGATTGTTGTTCGATCTAGGTTTGCAGCCCAGACATGGCCCCTTCGGATCATCTGGGTCAGTTTTGCACTAGGGTCATTAGCGAAAGAATTCGACCACTCTATAGTGTATGGTGTCACTTACTCTCACTCGTTGCATCTTACAACGAATGCATGATCCGTTCTTCCTTGTTGCCGCTGTCTCTTCCCGGGCCTTCTGGTCCTTGAATGGACCGCGCTTAGAAGCCGGTGGACGCTGATGGGGGAAGACAACATCGAGACTGGCGTTGGTATGAGTGTTGGACATGGAACCATCCAAATCTTCAGTCTTAACGCCGGTCATGGGGAATGTGGGAGTTATGGCAAACCCGGCAGTCGTAACGGGAACCGATGCGGAAGTATGCAACGCCGGAGACATGACCATACCCATCATGTTACCGCCGTATGTAGGTGGGAGAGCCTCCCTCGGAGTCAGACGACGGTCAATGGTGTTTGGATTAGAGTAACTGGTGTCACCAACAACAGAAACGCTGGGTGTTGTAGAGTAAAAAGTCGGTGCCGAGACGTCGTTTGCGTAGACGACTGTGTCAGGTCCATGTTGTTGAGAAACCATTGTCTGATTATGGTCCTCCTGCACAGGCTGGTAACTGGACACATACGAGCCCATCATACTGGAGTCCCCAACTGAAAAGGGATTCGGGTTGTTGGAGACAACCGGCGTAGGCACATAGACGTCTGGCTGAGAAACCTGCGCTGAGGGTGGCTTCTCAACCTCATAAGGTCTGTTACTGTTGGTTCCATAGTCAAAGGTGGCTGCCTCGGACCCAGGAAGGGGCAGGTAACCTAGCAACCACGTTAACAAGAAGAGTGAAAGGAGCAGTTAATGCGCTACCATACATACCATCATTAGTAACAGTGCATGTATTCCAACAGTTCTGACAGAAAGCCAAGGCCAACGTCTGCATCCCTTGGGTCAATCCGTTGACAACAGGACCTGGGAACCCCGAAGACGGACGGTCCAGTTCGACGCTGGCGAGGACATGTTGCCCAACTTGTGGAGTCTTCTCCTCGTAGTCCTCAGGAAAGGAAGCTCCCGTGTACTGAGACGACATGGAGTAGCCTGACACAAGCCGTTGTCTCTTGTGGGCGTTTTCAATTTGCGAAGTGTTGGAAAGTATTTGGTGAAGTCGGAAACCAGGAATGTTGTATAGGTCCGCGACTTGGTTGATCAGGATTTGGGTCTCGGGGTGAAGAGTAGAGAAGTGAATATTGGCATATGATGAAGGCGAAGAGCTGTGATGTCCCGGCACTATAGAAGAGTCGTCTTCGGGGCCGGGAACCCGGCGCTTTCTGAGTTGATTGTGATTCTATAATGAAATCAATCCACCGCACATTCAAGGTGCAATAGGGCAGAGAGTGGAGGGGGTTGACGAGTTAACGGGGATAGCCAGGGCTAACAAAGATATAAGGGAACGGCGTGTGTGCAATGATGCGGGTGCTGGGACAGCGGCTGGGCTCAAATGACAATGGGGAAGATCGGTGATATATCCCATGCACGCTGCCGCCAGCCGGGAAGCAGGGACATCTCTTACCATGATTGATGCAACGAGAGAGGGTGTGTTGGACAAAGCCTAGTAGCGAGACCAAGTACCACAGTCTGTGACCTGTATAAGGTATACGGCAAAAACAAGCAGAAAGCAGGAGTGAGCAGGCACAGCGAAGCACAAGGGGAGCGTAGAAAATTGCGCCTCACCGGGAGGGGGTGGGGGAGCTACGGTCTCACGAGAGCCATTGCCACATAATGGCACCCCTTGTGCGCGAGTGGAGTACAGGAAAGAGGGTATGGTAGGGGAAAGGAAAGGAGGGTTGATGACTCGGCCAGGAACAAAAGGCGGAGGAAGAACAACTCGGCGTAGAATACAGAGGAGTGGAAATGGACGTAGGGAGTCAGGCTAGAATGCCGTTGTGAAGAGAGACAGACAGGCCTGCTTGACAGCGTACACTCGGCCGAAACTGGGGGGAATGAACCAAAGGAAAAGACGGCAAGGCAAGTCCTGCTGCGTGCGCGCGCTTGCTTGTGCTTGGATGTACGGAGTATGCCGCTCTGCTTTTCTCTTTCTCTCTCTCTTTCTCTCTGAGGGGGGTACTCCTGATGCTGCCTCTCAGTCGGTTTCTGCAGCCGTCGCTCCTCGTCCTTTACGGATGTCGCAGATGCTGCTGGCCGTGGTCTGAGCCTGGTCGCCTGGATGTTTCGCCCGTCCGGCGCGGATTTGAGACGCTGTCGTTCTCGTTGTTTGCCTTGTGCAATGTCTCCTCCGGTGGAGCACAGCGTTGCGCACGCTGGCAGGCTAAGATCAGAGAGCGTGCCGATAGAGACTCTGGTGCTGGCGATTGGCGTATCCTGTGCTTGTCGGTCGGTCGGTCTGTCGAAGGAGTCGAGGCTGAAGTGAGAAGACTCGGTGAGAGGAAAGTTGAGGAAGTGGGCTGCACCCGTGCTGAATTGTATTTCACCGGTCTGAGGGGTACTCATGAGAAGACAGGGGTTCTTGAGACCACGCCACGCGAGAAGAGGAGCCGAGCATCTTCCCGCCCCTGCCGAGTGGATAGATTTCAGGCTGCCCGTCTGATGGGAACGAGGCGACAGGGGTTGTGGAGAGAATGCCATGGAGCCGACTGTTGTGAGCACTGCTGATCCTGTTTCTGGTTTCTGGCCTTCACTCCCGCCTTTTTTTTGTGTAACCTACAGGTGCCGTTTGCTTCGTCTGCATGGAAGGGCCAAGGATCAAGCTAATCAAGTGTCAGGAAATCTCTGATGCTGGATCTGCTGATGCTTCTGACTGTTGCTCACGGCGAAGGCTGTTACGATTTCCAGCCAACGATTGCAGAAGCCGCTACAACTTAGCACATGGTGATCGGTTGGTCTCGGGAGGCGATGGATGCCCAAGGCTGTCCTGTCTGGCCGAGGTGTGGACTGGGATGCGTGTGCTTACGTGAAGCGTCATGAAAGATCCCATGCGGGCGACGACGTGATCTAAGACTGGGAGTCATCATATTTCCACCGCCCGGCTAGCAACGTGCGCCATGTTACCAAACGGCCGAGGCAGCCAACCACTACACGGGTGGCCGCGACCCCCCGGATTTGGCTCCCTAATCGCCTCTCTTGCCAACATGTTACATGACCTCCGCGCTTCTCGACGTTCCATCGAAAAGCGCCACGGTCCCGAGAGTCTGACACCCTTTGCCTGCTTACCTTCGCGGCTTCGCATAGTTAGATCGCTTGACCAGCCTGCAAGTCAAGGGATGCGTGTATATGACTGGGGTGGCTAGGAACAGCCTCGTCTTTATTATCCTTGGGCAATGCGTCCCCAACCCGGCCCAGAGCTCGTCACCGCTGTTCCATGGGTGAGACTGCTTCCAGAAGCTGATGAACTTCTGCTGGATACACCCAACTTCCTGTGCCGCCTCTGGAGATGGATGAGACGAAAACGACGGATAATCTGCCCCATGAAAAGAGCAAATAAAAGGTTCCGGTGGAAAAGCTTCATCTTCGGTTTGGACCATCGACAGCCCACTTGGTTCAAATGAACCTATCATTGGTCCATTGAAAATCTGTCAGTCGATCGATCAGTCGATGCGCCCTGTAGCTTGCACTTGAGTGCGTGAAATTAACATCTTCAGCTCTTGACGATGATGTAGCCGCTCTGCCCCAGTAACCGGGTGTACGTCCACCGCCAACGACACCACCACCACAATCTGGCCTGACTAGGCCTGGCCGCAGTGTTGGGCCGTCCCTCGGAGCGCCGGTAAAGGAGCCTGCCGGTTGTCAGAAACTGAAGCATGCAGCAGGATACACACTTTCGGCAGCCCCATGTTTGCTCAAAAGGGCCTTGACCGCCCTTACCTACCCCGCAGTCCCTAGTTCTGGCCTGTTGCCCAAGGCGGATGGTCGTTTGTAAATGGGAAAATCCGCTCGCAAGTAGCCAATGTTGAAGACTTGTTACCATTACGAAACCGCAACTATACCCGCAGTCGCAGAAAGTCGGCGGCCGCACGGCGTCTTGGCCGCGAAGAGACGATCCCGCCCCAGCATCCGTATTCCAAGCCTGTCAGCGGCCAAAAGGGTGCATTGCGTGCGGGCCCTGCGAATTGGTGTCCCGGCTGAGAGCAAAGGTTTGACATTCATCTTGAGAAAATCTGTCGGTCTACAAATTCGGCCATTTCACAGGCAAAGGCGCCTGTTGAACGCAAAGCCCTTCATGCATGACCGTCACCAATGATGGTAGCCGCTGTCGATGCAGCCGATGAGGTCAGGGAATCATCCACTAACGACCTCGTATCAAATCAACGCCCGACATTCCTCTGCAAGCCGCCGCCGTGCCAGTCGAGTGAGGCGAAGTTAAGTAAGAGCGTTGTGAGATGGCCACCTGGAGCGGATGTGTGTGTGTGTGTGTGTGTTGGATCCCTGAACCAGGTCTTGGTGATTGCGAGATGCACAAAATCGACCTGCCAACAACGGACACGGTTGCAATTTGCTGCTTCAGAGCAGGCATTGACGACAAGGACAACCGAGCTCTGGTGGGACGCAGGAGACCGCGGACAGTTTAAGCTCGAATGGGCAACCGGTGAGTCGGGAGCCTCGCTTGTGGATGGTCGCTCGACAGGCCAAAGACTCGACCCGTAGAACCGTGTGGATTTATCCCAGCAAGGCCAGGCGATGGTCAGGTGAAATTATGTGCCGTGGCGTGCCCCCAACCCCAAAACCCCAGCGCTTTTCCGTACTGCCCACTCCCGTCGAAGGTTGCCAGCCATTGGGTTGCCTAGCTATGCCTCGTGCAATGCTGTGATGCTCAACCTTGTACGTTGGTGCCACAATGCCGAGTCCCCAGGCTGCAGCGGGAGCGATGATGAACGGGCGCTGCTGGGCCGCGTACAGGCAGTCAGTCAGTCGACAACTTGCGGATTGACGAATGATGACTGCTGGACTAGAGCAAATTTGCAAGCTTCTTCTTTGCCGAGATTTCAATAGACTGCCTCGCAGGCTAAATTGAGCACTGCCAAAGCCCGTCAGGACAAGGCTTTGTCAATGGGTCAGACGAGCGCGGTGACCCATTTCTCTGCCGAATTTCAGGATCTACTGGGCACTGGTTTTGGACAAGTCAGGTTACAATGCGCTAGCATGCGATCGTGTCCGAACGGGCGGGGAGAGTCTTCGAGTATCCATAGGCTGACATTGAGCCTAGAGATTGTATTAGTGAAAATCCGCGCGGGCTTCTTTCTGGTTGAGTCGGATTAACCTACTCTGTACGGAGTACTCATCCAGTATCCTTTCCAGCATACCATAATGATACATGAAGCGGCTGCGCATGCATGTTCCGGTGCTTACGGAAGCAGTTCCGTTGCTCTAGTCTCCGGCGCAACAAGGACAACCTTGCACATCGGTCAAGTCCAGGGGCCGAGTTGGCGGACGGGACAGTCGGGTACTAGCATCGGCCCATGGAGTGGATGTATCCACCCGGTGAGGATGGACATCGGAGACTGCAACATATGCCAACCGCAGATTTGTGCAGAACTGAGCAGCGAAGCAGAGGCTGGCTCTGGTGGTCTTGGTTTGGCGATTCGTGGCATTCTGTCATTTGCTTGAGGGTGATTGGCGAGGGAATACCTCAGGGTGCGTGGAACGGTGAGCCTTGTCAACCCCAGGGAAGGGCGGCTTCTGGCCGAGATGCAGCTCGGGGACCACAACGTCGTGAGAATTGGTCTGGGCTTTCATCCACTCGATCAGTTCTGGATGGATTGTTGAGGGGTCTACATGGATGACGTTTGCGAGGTCGGTCGAGGTAAATCGACCTCATTCTCATCGGTTCTGGCTGCCGTTCCCGGGGGTTGAACGTAATGTAATGGTGGGCCGGAGATTAATCCGGAGGTTATGACAATGTCACATCGAGCATCGGCGGCAATGCAACCCACTTCGCGGCCACAGTGAACCCCAAGGACGTGGATGGCACTGCCGGCGTTGGCCAGAAGCTCCGGAAGCCACCCCTCGCAGAAAGATACGAGCCAACGTCGCTGGGAGGAGCCGACGAGTGGTGTGGTAAAGTGGCGACATGCAGCGAGAAAAGAGCACCTAGATGCACAAGAAGTGACAGGAGAAAATGATGAGGTCTGCCGCGACTGGGTAAAGTTTGGGAAGCAGCTATGCAGAGGGCAGAGGAATGGAAGGGAGGTTCGTCTCCGCCCTCGGGTACGGCGCCGATTCCGTCACGTGGAGTGCATGCCGGGTCGTGTGGTCTGAATGCAAAGTCAAAGCTTCATATGCCGGGCGATACGTCCATGGTTCAGCTTCTTCATCCGGCCCGTCGTCGAAAAGGACGGGCTACCGGCGTGTGCTCGGGCCCTTTCATCCATCGACGGTGCGAGGCCGGTGTTGAGTCAAGGTTGAGTCCATGACTTGGCTCAAAAAGGACAGCGAGACAAAGAGAATATCAGAGCAGGATTCGAGGTGCTTGCTACTTGCACGTGGTGGGACGTTGAGATATTGAGTCACGACGCGTTCGGACAAAGAGGCCATTTTTTGCTTGAGGTACCTTAGTGGTAAGGTAAGGTAGGTAGGTACCTTATGCTGCAGGAAGGAGGCAGATTGCACCTTCACCACTTTGAGCAAGCGGCAGACCAGCAGAAGGAGGTACCTGCTCATAATACCTAATTTAGGTACTTGGATTTCACTCAAGATGCAAGCACGGTGCTGAGCCGGGTGGAAGTAGTGGAGGCAAGGAACGTCCCGTCCCTTCCTACCTTACCTCTCCTCACCTGCCTAAGGTAACCACCATGGCTTCCTTGCCCTCACTCGGATGCCTTAAGGTACCGTACCTTAGCTTCCATTCAATTGGGTTGTTTACTTCCTCCGCATTGGCTTTACCACAATGAGGAAAGACCTCCATAAGGCGGCTGGCTGCATTGTCAACTTTATTTGGACTGGGCAAGCACCCCGAGCAACTGCCCCGCAAGCTTTGCTGCATTTGTTGATATATGACCAAGTTGCATCCTTCTGACTGCTCTTACGACTGACCAGAGAGGGTACTTACCTGCATCTCCTTGGAGCACGAAGCGAGATGTCTGCTCATCCCACTTTCACTCCCTGAGTCTAGCGGAAAGCACATTGAAACAAAACTGGCCCTTGGAATCTGCACCTTGCTTCGGTGCATCAAGTCAAGAGTACCTACCTTACCCAATGACCTGTCGACCTGCCGTCCTTTGCTCAAGGTATTTCCTGCTTTCTGCCCACGTCCCGTTCTGTATGTGTTTGCATTTCAGGCACCACCGAAACTCTTGCGGCTACCAACTTCCAACTTTAGCTCACACGGTACCGGCTCGTCAGGCATATGACTATCACCTCGCCACTTGTCCACCGGCAGGATAAGGTAAGGCGACGTACCTCATATAGGATGCCTCTCATCTACTTGTTTGCTGGTTTTCTCACATGTCGCCATGTCCAGTCAAGCCAGTCCCGCATCCATACTCCCGAACAGCCGTCCCCGCGACCGAGACAGCGCCGATCCAAGCTGGGGCGCGCTAATGTCTTACAAAGACGGCTCGCCGCAGCTCGACGTCGAGGCAAACCGCAAGTAAAAGAAATAATGTCTTTGAGAGACTGCCGGGCCGAGGCATACCATGTAGACGCAAGAAAAAGAAACCACGAAGCGGCGTCTGGCCTCCGAGTTCCCTTCCTTGCCCACCCGAGCACCTACCAAAGGAGACAATCCGCAATCACCTTCCAGGCCAGCCCCAAGCTCACGCACGCATGCCTTGCCGTCTGCCTGTTCGCCTTACACTACCTACCTACCTACCTACCTACCCTGGGCTGCAGAGGCAGCGATGCCCGGCTCAGGTAGCTTCCCTTGCGTAAACCGTCGGCTCCAGTCTCTATCAAAGTCTACACTTGTCAAGGCAGGAAGACGCAACGGCTTTGGCCAAGCAAATCGATGGGAGTCCAACTTCCTTAGTGCGGCTCACTGATAAGGACTCTTCCTAGGGCGGGCACAGTCGCTTCTCAGTGGGCAGAAACCCAACTTGCAGGTTTGCGAGGTGACATCGCCATTCACTCCCTCCCCGCCTTCTACCGCCAACATCGCGTGGTTGGCAATTTCCTCGCGCCTGTACTCGACTCGTTTCCTGGCAGTTCGACCCGAGTCAACCAACACAGCTCTTCTCCTCATCTTGACCGTCAATCCTTCCTCTCGACCAATCAGGCGCCCTGCCTGAGGGCCTGGTACATCTCCCCTTCCAACTGCAGCTATGCATGCAGGGCAAGACGCAAACACACAAATCGGAACCCGACATTGTCATGCAAATTCTCCACGCTCACACCCACGCCCACGATCTCCTCCTGTATCATTGAACACTTCAGTCAATGCCTACCTAAGGTAGTCACCGGTATCGCCAAATCTCATATTCGGCCTATTGCCTGGTGCAACGTTGTTTCGCCCCGCCATCGGTCAACAGCGTGTTTGTCAGTCACCGCAGTAGTCGCGGTACGACAGTAGGTGGAATTGACAGCAGGACTCGAAGGTATTCCTTCCTGCTAATTTTCTGCAGAGACAATACGACTCAGGAAAGATCCGGATATTTGTCCATCTGTCATTTGACAGTTTCGTTCCCCCCAAAGCGCCACTTGTCGCCTATTCCTACGCTGTCTCTCATCACCTTCTTTGATGCCGTGAAACACCTTCGCTATATGACGCTGAGAGCCATTGGACAATTTGGTTTCAACGTTGCTGACGCTTAACGGCTATCGTCCCAAGATGGATCTGGGGTCGGACATCATACACGACATTGTTCACCCCACGGCTGCCTTTACTGACGTCTCTGTGTCAGAAGTCGAACACCATGATAGTGGCATTCCACGTCGGCTTCCGCCGACCGATGACTGGGAGCGCTCTCAGTTGAATCCCAAAAACCGCATCGACAGCCTCGATCTCCTGCCCAATCCTCTGTGGCGCATCGACGGCTGTACTGGACTCGGGACTCAGTTCTATGTCCTACCCCTTTTTATCCATCCAACCCCTCCGCTACGTCTCGATGCCTTCATCCCGGAACAGTCAACTCAAACGCATGAAATTCGGCAATTGTTGGATTTGGACGTAGCTTTTCACACAAAAGACCGCGCCCGAGTTCAAAAGCTCAACATATCCAAGCATATTCTTCGTGCTTTGCAAGTCTGGACCAAGCGACAGCCCGACCCCGAGGTGCTTTTGCGATCTGTGCCATTTGGCTCCCGCATCGTCTTCAAAGACATTTCTCTGGACGTGAGAGCCATGGAGATCAACATCGCACCTACGTACTACCTCGAACGCCAACTGCTCTCAGCCTCTACCCTCACCGATATGTGGGGACCCGCAGTTGAAATACCACAATGTGTCGACTTCTCTGAGGTTCACGTCGTCGGACAGATTCATGATAGTGTCTGCCTAATTCAAATCAAAGGTCGTCTTTGGATTTTGAAAACATTGACAAGTTACACCAAGTATTTGTATCATGAGCTTAAGCTTCTATTGTCAGCAATCCCACACCAGAACATCATGTCACGTCCGGAACATCTCATCACAAAACGTTGCACCTTTGGTAGCAAGGTCGCCGTCATCGGTTTCACTCTCGAATATCATCATTACGGTACATTGAGAGATATTGTCCCCCTGTCACGGATTCATAACACGATTTCTCAAACCGAACAACTCAAATGGTCAATGCAAATCGCTTCGGGCGTGATGCACCATCGCAAAACCTCTGGTACATTTTATCCTGATCTTCGTCTTGACAACATCGTCTTGTCAAAAGAAAGAAACGCTGTTATGGTCGACTTTGAACAGCGCGGGGTTTGGTGCGAGTTTGCATCCCCCGAGGTCAATGCTATCGAATACGTCCGCATATTAGCTACTGATGACGACATACCTGAGGATATCAGAGATCACTACGCAGGGATGTTGAAGCGTATGTGTCCTGATTTTGAATCTCTTCAAGTCAGGGAAGAGTACACAAATCCAACTAACGGCTACAACATCTGCTGGGCATGTCTGAGCCCGAAGGAGCAGGAGGCATCTGAGGTGTACATGCTCGGAAGAGTATTATGGTGTATCTTCGAGGGCGCTAGCGCACCTCAGCAAGCTTCTGTGTGGCAATCCTACCGATGGGAGACTGACGTCGACTTTCCTGCTTTTCTCAGGACGCCGCCGAAACTGCGCTCACTCATCGACCGTTGCACAAGTGGTCGTCGTGCCACCCTGGGAAATCAGATCGGTAGAGAGGGCAACAAAATCATTTTCAAAGGCCAGGAGAACAAGGCTGAGCCCAAGGACATCCGAAAAGCTGCTGCGATGTGGTGGAAAGGCGAGATAGCGTGGGCCGAGAGTTTCTTAGCCAAGAGAGACCGGTTGGCATTAGCTGGAGAATGGATCGAGAACCACTTTGGCAGACCAACTTTACAAAATGTACTAGATGAGCTAGAGGAAATCCGACATGGTCTATAAAGGCGGGACTACACTGGGCCTGAGAAGGCTGTACAGAGACTGGAACAAAACAAAAGTAATCACCCAGAGATTGACGACTCGAAGATAGACAATGGTCTTGTACTACAGAAGAAAAAAGCAGCAGCGTCAAGAACATGACATAACTAGAGCCGCGAACCTTCCACCCAAGTCACTATCCAGAGGCTTCGCGCCCTGCATCCTCTAGCAGTCGTGAAATCTAAGCGATGAACAAGGTATGGAGGGGATACAGGTAGCATGAAGGAAATCTACATGAACGGAAGAAGTAGATAAAAGGGGCGAGTGTCACAGACATTCTAATGAAGAGAAATGTGGTAAAACTCCTGTCCTCCCCAAGGTCCAGAGAAACGCTCTGTACGCCCCAACTTCCTTCATCCAACAGAAGATGTAGTACGGGGCTCTGATTCCATGGCCATGTGTGTGTAATCACACGTCACCTCATCCTTTTGGATCCCCGATCATGCCCCTGACTCTGCCCATGGCGTTTTGATCCTGCCCCGGACGAACTTGCGGCACCTAAGCCGCCGCCGGACCTCCTTAATCGAGCCATGAGGGAGCGGAACTTTTCGACATACGTGGCCGGCGCGCCGTTGATGCCCATTTGGTCCAGAATATCCTCGAGGCTGTGGAGGAACTGGGCAGCCGCGTCAGGCGGGAGGAGGTTCAACACGCCGAGGACGAAGTCTTCGTCGCGGTCCCCCACAAGACGGAGGTAGAGATTCTTGTCCCGGCGGGAGATTGCGGCTGGCCTTATCGTCGACGTCTGGGGAACGAAGTCGTGGTTGCGCTCTACAACGGCGGCGAGGACGTGGACTAGAGTGCGGGCGGCGCTTGTGCGCTCCCAGGGTTCCAGGGGGCGGTCGCGCTTGAAGATTGAGGTGCGAACGAGGCCTACGACGCCGGTGATATGTCGTGCGGCCCAGGCCACGTCGCGAGGGCCCTCTGCTGAGGCTTCTCCCAAGGGGGGAGATGTGGAGGCGGCGTAGGAGTCAAGCTCGTGGAGAACGCGGTCGACGCGCTGGGAGAGCTTGCGAAAGGGGTCGTTTACGGGGTCTGTAGAGCGCATCTGGGAGAGGAAGTAGTGGAAGAAGTCGTTGTTGGCGAGTAGCATGCGGAAGACTGTGCCCTCTAGGTCGCGGCGCTTCACGGGCTTCTTGCCCGTAGACGGCGGGTCGGAGAAGAGGTCTGGGCGGTAGTCGTCCGGGGACGAGGACATGACTGCGGAGAGCATCTCGCGGGCTTCGTGGACACGGTGGGAGTTCAGGTGCTCCTCCGCCTCGTCCGAGCCAGCGATTTCAGAGTCCTCTTCCGAGTCTGGGGTCACGACGTCGCAGCGGAGGCCGTCGGCCAGGACGTCCAGGTGAAAGGTTGATATGCCGGTGAAGGGGTCGCCAATCTCCTCTGGGTAACCGTCCGGGGTCATGGTCAGGGGGGACGTCGGGTCGTGATCGTAGAGCGTCTGTTTGACGAGCTGGTCCAGGAGCCAGAGGAGGTGTTTGCAGGGTGGGCCGCCTTTTTGCTGCTGTTCTCGGCACGAGCACTTGGGCGTCGCGAAGGGGCTGTCGGGCGATCCGATGCGGATGGACCGGGGTACGAGCTCCGTCATCTGGAAGGCGTAGACGTCGTCTCTGAGGCGGCAGTACTGCAGCGAGAGGCGGGGCGGGTCCTTGAAGGCCTCTCGAACGCGCAGGCGGGCATCGGCGGAGAGCTTGTCGACCTTGTAGACGAGCTTGGAGGGGGACCGGATGACGGACTGGTCGTCGTCGTCGACGAGAGAAGAGTCGGAATCGGTCTCCGGCTCGGAGCTGGAGCCGCCATCGTCGTTTTCGTCGTAATCGGCAGTGGATATGTGGCCGAGGGATTGCCGGTGCGCCTGGGATCTGGTTGTGGGAGGCATCCTTCTTCCTAGAGAGAGCTCTCTGAACTTGAGTACGGGGGTGGGAGAAGATGAGGAAGACATTTATGGTGCGAAGGAGCAGTAAAGTTCTATATGTTTCATGGAGCCTGCAGATGAAAAAGGGGTCTCCATGGCGATACGATTCACGGTTACTTATAGGCTCCAAAGGTCAGATGGCAGGGGGAATCCCTCGGAAGGATGGTGGGGGGCGGAGTGAGGCCAACGATGACGAGACCCCAGAGACCCAATGCTAAGCTGGCGAGCTGGCGATGCTGGGTGTCGTTGGAACAGGGGGAGGAGGAGAAAGCAGGTGAAGACAAGACCAAGACGGGCCTTGTACTCGCACACGAGTGGTGGACGAACAGGTCCCATGGAGATGGACAATATGACGCATAGCAGGATGAGGGGTGCGGTAAAAAGGAGTAATAGCAGAATCGAGGACAACTACTGGCCAGTTTGGTATGCCCCTGGTCTTGAGAAAGCTGATCAGATCACCTTCTAGAAACAATTCCATTTCATGAACTTTTTTTCCTTCCGCATTTCCACCCGGCCCCTGATCCCGGGACCGCCTGTGCTGGAAAACCAGGCGGGATGGATGAATGTGGGGGGGCCGATCGCCCTAGCCGAGACCGAAGTCTGAATGCGCGCGGTGAGCTCAGCAACCATGCCGGGAGAGAAAAGCTCGGGCTAGGCGCAGGCATTTGCTGCAGAAGAGTTGGGACAAGGTTTGGGGTCGTGAAACTCCACATCAGTTGGTCGTAAGAAGCTCGGGTGGAAAGGAAAGCAATGCAGAGTAAGGTCAGGCAAAGAGAAACATCGGACTGCGCAGAGGGAAGGTCTTTGCGCCGTCGCCGCCGGGGCGTGACATGGGGAGGAGGGGCACTGGTCTCTTCTTCTTCCGTGTCCAGGGTCTGGGAAAAGCTACAGCGCATGAACAATGGGAGAACTGACCAGGGAGGTCTCGTCTGGCGCGACTCATAGGACAACCTACGGCAAGGTGGAGGGAGAAGAGAGGGGGGGCGTGAGAGAGAGAGAGAGAGAGAGGGAGAGAGAGAGACTGAGAGACACACAGAGAGAGAGAGAATGCTGCTACGACGATAGACGCGCGATGAGATACGCCGATTTGTGTGCTGTGATTCGCCAGAATGCGATGAGCCCAACTTTGACGACAATGATGAAGATGAGAAGTCGAAGTTGAACGGGAGAGGGAGGCGGCATCCTAGCTGCCAGGGTGCTGGGTAAGGTACCCTGGCCCGGGTGATGGTGTTAAAAGTGGAGCCGCGTTTAACACCCAAAGGCCGAACCGCACGGCCGACCGCCGAAGGGCCGTCCTCGCCGTCGGTACAGAGTACCGTGACTCCAGCCTTGCATTCCCGCCAGAAACACGCCAGAGTGTTCCTCCTCGAGCATCTCCAGCCACGGCTCAAGCCTCGAATGTATCGCTTTCATTGGCCCAAGGCCCGCGTCCGGAGGCCAGCTAAGGTATCGGCGCCCAGCACCAGGCGTTTTCTGGTCCGTCACTGGTGCCTCTGGGGGGTCGCTCAAACGGGCCGCTGGTAACCCCACCGGGACTACGCCGAAAACGGGAACCACAGCCCCGAACGGGCCGGCCGGTTCTGCGACCACGTTCTTGGGTTCGGGGGTTCGCGCCCCACTTTCTTCCCTTTTCTCACGTGTATCAGGCTCGAGGGGCTGCCTGGTTCAATGAGAAAACAACTTCACAGCCTTCTCCCGGCCGCATCGCCGGCCGCATCCCCAAGTTGCGACCTTTCGACCTGTCCATTTTGCTGTGCTGTCGCTCCTACGACCGTCATAACCACCTCACAAGGCTTTCTCGAAGCATGGACCGCTGGTTCCAAACTCCCGGAAATCGGTTGGAATGCCTTACAAAGTCGAGGGGGGCTTGATGGCCGAGAGGCCTCACGACGACCTGCCTTGGGCAATTGGGTACTCCGGACTATGCGCTGCAACCTCGATCCAGTCAAACTGCAACGACAGCATCATCACGGTACTTGTCTTCTTCTTCACTCCCGATAACTGACCAATCACGACGATCAGTGCGAGAAGCTGAGGCCGTTGGACTTGACATCGGCCTCTGCGGCACTCATCAGCCGCAGAAGCCTCGACGGACTGACCGGCAGCGCTCCACCTGGCCAGGCACCATTGGCATCCCCATGGGTTCTTGGGCAGACGACAGAGGCGAAAGGCGCTTCGCAGGATCATTGGTAGAGTGTTTGGGACAGATCTATTCATAGTCCGTGTAAGTGCCCTCGTGGGATCATGAAGTTGGGAGTCATCTTTCAGACAGACGCGATAGCCGCCTGTGTGAACCTAGCCTCGCGACTCGGCAACCTTCCAAGTTCAGAGGAAACAGAGTTTGCTTGTGACGCAGCTCGGCAACCAAAGCGTACCACGTCTAGACGAGGATACCTGGGCTGGGCAGAGCGGTGTGATTTAATGTCACATGACACCGAAATGATGCTGATGGTTAACGGGCCGGGACTACCACAAGTCCAAGTCGAAGTCGCGCGTCCTTGATTGTAGACCTAGAAGGCTAGAAGTATCTTTGCCATTGGGTTTACAAAAAGCCGCGCAATCATCTTTGGGGCAAAGTGAGAAGTTTAGGGTTATCGGCACAGATAGCCGTCTGATCTTTACTGCCTAGCGGAAGATACGCCCAGCGTTGGTCACTATGTAGCCCTTCCTTCAGCCTGCGCCTTTACACCCCCGGCGCAATGATTGCCCCTCGTTAGTCAAACAAGCTTTGGGTTGCCAGAGTTTGATTCATGTACGATGAATAAATAATTTTGGTCACCACACACCATGACTCTTGTATTTCTGCGCAAGTCCCATGCAATTGCCCATGTGATTAGTATTTTGCACAGCCAATGCTACGTTACACTCATGTAGTATTCCATTACGGACGTTGTGACTGATGAATGGAGAGCCCCTGATTTAATGACTGTATACTTTCTAGTATTCTTGCACCTCTGCCGATGTGAAAGAAGCCTATTTTCAGTCAGGGCGGGTTACCATCTTCTCAGGAACAATTGATGACGACAAGTGTGTCCTCCGACGCTTCAGTCACTTGTTGGTTTGGGCTAACCATGTCTTCTCCTCAAATCGAACCACACGACCTGTATGACCGGCCTCAAACGCCTGTCTTCCGAAAGCAATACGTATCATGACCCCTATCTGGACCAAAGCCAGACAACACGTGACGATGCCGCACAACTGTGTGACCACGGGGTCGTTATTCGCGTCAACGGCATAGACGGTAGGCATCGCCGCCAGAGGCGACCCCGCAAAACAACAAAAAGGACAGGATCGGTGTGACAAAAACGCTCCTTCATCCTTCAAATAGGCCCGCGAGACCGAGCACGGCGCCGGAGGACCACCATGCGATGCCGACGTATACGTCGAATTCTCGGCCCCAAAAGGAGAAAATGAGCTGGGAGGGGTCATGGGACTGCGACCAGTAGCAGTTTTGCGAGGTAATTGTCCGCGGCCTCGGGCAGGACGCAGCTTGCGGCGCCGAGGGCCGAAGCCGTGGGGATGGTGGAGAACTTGCGCTTGCTCTCCGCGGGAGATATGAGGACGAACGTGGTCGATAGAGCGAGGGGGATTGCCGATACGGCGCGGATGTGGGTGGCGTCTTTGGCAAAGGTGTCGTTTGGAGGGCCGATGCCACCAAAGGTCTCGCCAAATGTCACCTTGACTTGGGCGTTCTGGGCTGATGTGAGCGGTAGTATCGAGAGTGTAGAGGTTGCGATGAGCACCAGCCGACTGAGAAGCGGTTTTTTGAAACGAAGATGGAGGACGATATGCAAGACTGAGGCCCTAAAAACAGTGCTGAGCAAGTCGATCAAGGTGATACTGCCTCACCTAGGCTTTGAACATTCCAGATTCATCATCAGTAGAAAGCGCCTACTACGTGGTAGCAAACTATTTTGATGGTTCCTTGTTGGTTAGTTCGGGTCCAAACGAATCCCTCTAGCGTGAGGCTATGTTCGTGAATTTCCCACATGCAGGTATCCGACCATGTCCTGTCAATGTTGCCACTGGATTTGGAGGTGAATGTTCCACTGCTGAGAAGGGATTACGTGTTCACATACATACCATAGTAGAGAAACGGGATCCAGGAAGTTTCTGCAGGGTTTTGCGATATGGATTCAGGATATCAAATTCGGTGCTTCGGAGCCGAGACTATGATTTGTCTGCTTAGATGGATTAGTGTTCAACAATGACAAGACCCCCTCTCTTGCCTATCAAGATGATGCACAGAGATCATGAGCAAACGGAGCACTTCGAATGTATGTTTTCAGGTCGTTACATCATTGCTTCTCATGAAATGGTCATGTTTCCCGGCTGGGAAACATACTGTCTCTTGATAAGACACATTTCCGCTGTGTACAAACGGCACGCCACAAACTCCATACACCCCGATCTATGGCCAGGTTCTATGACAAAAGAGAAAACGAATGCATGAAATGGGTATAGAACATCGCCTACGCCACCTTGCCTCTGCGATCACCCGCTGGGCCTTGTATCGACTCGTCCTGCTCGTCGTTGGCCGAGCATTCTGCTGGCGGCAAGACGTGATCGATTGAGTGTGTCGAGTGTGACATGATATCAATAGTTGTCCGGACGTTAATGACCGGCCTGTCGCGGGCCTGTATCTCCTGGCCGTGGCTCCTCTGGCCGAGATCGGACGACGGCCTCGATGCGTCGTAGTCCTCGTACTCGTCCCGCCCGCCGTCATCTCGGACCGTCTGGTTCAGCTCGATATCCGAACCCGTGCCGGACAAGGCCCTATCAATGTCGTTGAACGTGCGTACAGTCGAGTTTGAGTTTTCGGATTTGCCTCCTCTGGCGTTGGAACCAGACGAGTCCTTGGTTCCTGGATGGCCGCTCGAGTTCGCCCAGCCGGCACCCGATGGACGGGATTGCTTGCTCTTGTTGCTCCATCCGAAGCCCCAGTTCTGGAATAGAGGCCGTAGACTGGTAACCGAAGCCGCGATGATACCGAGGGCGGGCTCCAGGACACTCCAGATGGCAACGTCGCTGTCGAGAGAAGGATCAGCAAGTGCTCTATCAAATCAGACATCTGGGTACATACATTGTTTCGTAGAGAAAGTCTGTCGAGATGGCTAGACGTCTCACATATGGTATACGCACTATAAGAGCAATGCCAGCACTGGTTGTCCATTAGTAACATGATAGTACGCCACGTATTGGAAATATGTTGACTTACACCATGCCCATACTCAGGAGAACGGCAACTAGTGCTTTGGTCCGCCGGTTGAGGTTGACGTTCCACAGGAGGGCAATTGGCAGCAGGCCCATGCACCAGTCTGACATCGCCGAGATGATGCTATGAGCAATGGTCGCATCCGGTACGATGTTGAAGTTGATACACGACCCCTCTTCTCCATACAGTTGTTTCCAAAAGTAGGACGGAGGCATGCACTGGAAGGTCATGATGCAAAAGAAGGCAATAGAAATCATCCAGACAACGGCGAGATTACCGTAGATGATCCAACGGTGGACTTTGTTGAGCGCGAGACGGAGAAGCAAAACACAAATCGAGGTTCGGATCGCCAGCGTGATCGGGGAGTATAACACTTCGCAGATGTACCAGGCTCTAAGAGAGATGACAGCTTGGTCGACTTTGAGTTCCGTGATGTGCTTTCCGGTGGCGCCCGAGGTGATCCCGTGGAGAGCAATGCCGCCGTATGCCGTATACCCAAGCTGGAAGGTTTACTGTCAGTTGCAGGCAGGAGAGCGTGAGGATCGGGCAATGTCACTGACCATGGCCCCAAAGATAAGCCAGTCATCGACAGCCACACTCTTGACGATGCATACTTTGACGTAGGCTCTTGACAAGACAAAGATCCCGGCCGCGAGCAAGAAGGACAGTTGGACAGCGAAGAGCTGCGTCCCTCGGTATTGGATATCATCGTGCGAGCCTCGTGATTCAAGTGAGCTGTCCATGTTGCAAGTTCAAAAGCGCAAAGATGGTCCAGGCAAAATACCAGAGACATCAGGCTCCAAGGGTCATGATTGCGGATGGCGAGGACTTATAAGCCCGGCCTGACGTGTCTGGCCCAACTTGCGCCATCCCATATGTCAAAAAAGAACACCCAGTTGGGGGCGGGGGCTTGGAAAGGAAAAAGAAAATGCCTCTGCTACGCGTGCCGGTTCCCCACGAGGAAACCAAAATGTATCTCCCTAAGCTACTTGAAATTGAAACACCCCAGGCCAAATCGTGTTCTCCCCTATCTCAAGATTACATGTTCCCGAAAACCTTCTTTGACAACGAAATTTCGCTTCTCAAATCTTCTTTCGAGGCCAAGTTTCCCGTGCCAATAACCCGCGCTTGCAAACGCCGTTTTGATAAAACAAGAGCCAATGTGACAACGCAAAAGCTAGACAAGCCAAAAAAAAACTCTCTCAATCCGGGTCATTTGCTGGCTCAGCAGTACATCTCTGCGCCATGAAAGAGAGACAGGACCCAACTTGCAGCTGCCCTGAGGAAGCAGGGGCCAGACAGCCACGCTCACGTCTAGGGTTTGACTGGGATTGACAAGTTCAGCGTCGCCCACAAGGCCTGCATAAGTTATTCGCACAGAGAAATTGCAACTCAACAGGCGCCCGACAATATTCTCCCCGGTAGTTCCGCGATTGCAAGTGGTTCGTCTGCAAGTCAGATGCTTTGGGAGATGCGAATCCACCCTTGGAGGAGAAAAGAAACCCCACAGAGTAGGTAATACGGGGTCGAGTGGGATGATGCCAGTCCGAGCTAGGGGTCGTTTCCAACTTAGCCACTTCAGACGAAAATTGTTCCTCTTCTCCGGACCAACGATGCCGAGGATCAAAAAAGCAGGGCTCTTTTACCCAAGAATCTGACAGGTATGATACGCCGTAGCGAATATGTGACAGGAACGGGGTTGTGACAGAGGTTTGATCAGCTTTGTCACGCCAGAGGCCATTGGTTTCCTTGAAAACCACTTCAAATCAACAAGTAGCAACTGGAAGACCCAGCCAGACTGTGGTCAGGATGAGATTCCCTGCCGGACTCTTAAATTGCCGATCTGGCGGCCGGTAACCGTACACGTCTCGCACATGAGTGCTCATTTTGAGAGCGGAGACGGGTTCCAAGGCCCCGGATCGTGACCAGGTACACAAGCCGAGGATTGGGGGAACAGCGTCGTCTCTTTGAAGTGCTGGATGTGCCAGTGGCAATATTGCATTGGATCCCTTGGAAGCTTGCCAGATTACTGATGGCGAGAGGTCCGTAGCTCTTGATGAACGGAGAGATTCGTCAGTACGCATTGGCCATTTGAATCTCCTGGGAAAAGAAATTATTAGTCGAAGCATCGAGGCGGATACCCCAAGAGTCGAGGCTCGATGCTGGTGCTCTCAGTTCTCGTTTATGACAAAGTATTTAGCTTGCTTGTAAGCAGACAACATCCCGATAAACACGCATTTCTTTGCCCATCAGAAAGGTTGATCGAGGTCTGCTTCGCGATGTGGCTCTTCGGTGCATATCTTGCCGCGAGCACTTTGGCTTTGACGGGCCGGGAGCTGCGATTCGGCCAAAGCCCAAAATTATATGGGGTAAGCTGACGGTATCCCTACTGAGAACTGCAATGACCTGGAAGATTTTTCATGGTCTCGTAGGCCGCCTAGTGGTCGACAAGTTTGCTAATCGTACGATTTGAAAAAAGGCACAGTAAGCCAGAGTGGTTGACATGGATACCAGAGGGAAGTTAGATTAATGGTTCGGTGGATGGGCCGCAGCGGAGGATAATACTGTCTCATTGTATCGGCCGTACGAAGAACCACACCCCAGTTCAGCCTTTCCCGTGGCGGGACCAACGTTCGTTTAGCCAAAAGAGGCGGGCGAGTCATGGCCATCGGCCGACGAATGCGAAAATTGACAGTACATTCATTGTGTGGGCTTGGCGTGCGGAACCGTCACGTAAACGGGGAAGCTTGGCCAGACAGAGCCGGTGCAGGTTGACTGACCTGTCAAATGCTGAGAGGGAGGGGCGGGCGGACAGACTCGGATTATGGCCGTGATGTATTTGTAAATGCCTCTGATAACCCAGGGCGGTCTAGAGCTCAAAAAGAAAGTTAATGTTGGACGGAAATGGAGGAGGTCCAACGAGACCGAAGCAAACACCAGGGTTGCACAGGCCGGGGGAGCCTGCCGGAGGCAAGGGTCTTGGTTGGATTCGCCAATCGAGGAAGCCCCATGGGAATAGCAGGCGTTACTTTACACCAGGCACTTTGCGATGAACCTTGCCAGCTTCAGATCCCGGCAGCAGGTTGCATTGCCGGGTAGAAGCCGTCGTGTCATCCATCGCGGGACTGGTTTGCTTGTCAGTGTCAATCAAATTGCACTGACGTAGCGAGGTGCATTTAACAGCCGGCCGAAGTTTCCCTAGGTTACCACGTAACTTCAGGTACCAGGTCACAACGAGATGTACACGTAGTGTAGCTGGGGTCAGCCGCCGTCGTATCAGGCACACGGGGCAGAGTCCTGTTCGATAAGATCGCCCCCAACTAACAGCTCAAATAGCGAACAATGCGCTCGATCCTGCCACCTGCTTCACTGGCGCCTTCGTAGGACCCCCTCGAGAGTCGAAAGTAGCCTGGACCGAATTTCTGCTCGCTGACCAAGTTATCGTGGAAGTCTTTCATTCTAGCTTCCTGCCCATTCCTTTTGCTCAGTGCGAGAACTGATCGATGTCATGGCAGGATCGAGAACGCCGTTGAACTACATCAACGAGCATCGATTACCTAGGCTAAATGATACATCACTTCTCAACAACGGTTTTGTGGCCCATTGTTGGAGACACTGACAACTGCAAGGTCCGTGAACGTAAGAAATTGGCGCCGTTGGCGACTCGGTTCCCCTTTCTTTTCTGTGCCCTGTGGTCGTCGGACGCCATTTCCCCGGGAAAGACTTGCCAGCTACCCGCGCCACTTGAAGCAGCCGCCGGACTGCAAGCTTCACTGTCTCACTTGCTGAAGACAAATTTCGATTGTTGATCCACCGCCACATGGCGATCAATGTGATTAAGCGGCGAAGAGTTCGACAATACGTGACCAACACGCGACAGCAGGCCGCAAGAAGGACGCCACCCAAATGTAAAAAGCGCCCGTCGGCAGCCAAAGTGCAGCACGAAGACGGACGAAACCGAACTAGGATCCATTACGGCACTTTTCAAAAACCTCAGGGCTCAGGCATGGCGTGTTTGTTTGCCCTACTGTGCCGCATGCCAAATACATGGTACGAAAATTTCTTTGTTCCGAGGTTAGTCCGTCGGGAAAAAGAAAGTGAACGGCAAGTGGTCAGATTGTGACGTGGTTTGCATGAGCGGGGGTTGGTCCGTATATTCCGCAGAAGGAGGGGAAGCACCGGCAAATGTCAATGATCGGAGCTAGAACATCGACTCTCAATGCCGGAAAAAAGTGGTCTCTTCGGCAGACGGAGACTGCCTCCCGGGCGACATCCTACCCTCGGCTCACTCCGCATCGGGCCCGGATGCGGGGTATCTCACGGGGACGGACCGGCGATACAGTGGGGTCCCGGATTTGCGGATCACACAGACCTTCTCGCCGATGCCACCGCCGAATCCCTCCAATCATGAGCCGACGGCGTCATTATTCAACTGGTTAACGATACATGCCAGACTCACCGTGGCGAATACTTGCGGCCTTGGCATATGATGCACGGTGTTCAATCGGGACAGGTGGTACTCCGTAATCAGACTGATCCTGGACAGATTGTGTCGCCCACCGGTCACCTGAGCACGTTTAGCTCAACCGCAAGTGCAGGCGGGCGGTTGTCTCCGGACCTAAATGCAATGAATCGAGCTGTTGAGTGCAATCAAAAAATCGAGAGCCGCATAGGTAGCTCCTACTCCCAAGAACACAACCAATCGTTTGCGTATTCATTACAGAGGGAAGCAATAGCGCCTGGGCCCAGACCTGCAGTCACCATGACGTCGTTGGCGAGGTAGGCGGGTGACCGTTCTGCCTCTGCATCTACATTATTCTACTTGTCTTGACGACATTACCAACGGCAGCTTCCTTTCTATCTTGGCTTCAGTTCTAGCATCTTAAGTTGTTGTTTAGCCTTCCATGTATCCGCAGACTCAGGAATTCGACATCATCACAATGACAGACGAATCGTGGTTCGAGGAAGTTACGTCCCTCTTTGTCATAAGACTGCTCTTTCTACCTAGAGAAAGCTGATGATGAGACCTCAGGCTGTAAGGTGCCGGCCACGGACCAGAACTTCCCCGGCAAGAAGGAAAGCTTCCCGTCATCCCTCTCTTCGACAGAGTCCCGACTGCGGATGGAGGTTCTAAGCTGTCTCAAGCTGCAGGGAAGCTTGAGGGCTTGAACGCTGTCATCACCAGTGGGGACCCTGACATCGGTCGCGCCACAGCGATTCTCTTTGCTATAGAAGGTGCCGATTTTCTCATTGCCTAACTTCCAGACGAGAAGGAGGATGCCCGGGAAACCAAAAAGCGTGTCGAGTCCTATGGCCGCACATGCCGTCTTAGTGCGACTGACATTACTGATGCCGCCAACTGCCAAAAGCTTGTCGATACTGCGCTGAAGACACTTGGCTACATTGACATTCTTTTTCAACCTCGCCGCTTACCAAATGATGGTTGAGAACATCAAAGATTTAAAGGAGTGAGTTGTGTAACGCCGACTTCCTGCTTCCTCGGCCAGGGATTAATGGCTTCACACCTTCAATACCAATATCCACCCCATTTGCGCCTGGTCCAATTTGGACTCCGCTGATCCTCGCGACCATGAACGAAGAGGCACAGAAGCAGTTCACGAGCCCCATTGGACGCCCATCACAACCTTCAGAGATTGCGACCTGTGTGGTGTTCCTCGCTTCCACCGACGGTGCAAGCATCACCGGACAAACGAGTCACTGCAACGGAGGTGTTGTTGTCAACGGATTAGTGGTTGGGCCGGACAAGTTGTGCTGTAGAGGGATTATCAGTACAGTTCCTGATATTTTAGACATCGTGACCTGAACGAGGAGGTTTGATGAATAAGTCACTTACAATGAGGCCACAGACGTGCGAATCTGAAAAAAAAAAAAAAGACTCATTTGATCGATTGAAAGTGAGGAAAAATTGTGTCATCCCCAAATCTCGCTCCAGATCCCAGGAGATTTCAACGTGACTCTGTTGCGATCACTGAGCTTCCAATAATTAGTAGATGCCTTGTTTGATGACCATATCCATCTGCTTGGACACTAATTCGGCAGGGCCCCAAGGCGGGAACGCTACCCGCAAGAGATTAGATAGCGTGTATGAAACAGGGGACTGGGATGAAACGAGGCCAACCACAGGTCGCGAACCGCCCGCCAACAGGAGGGGCGAGGGGTAGAGGAGAACGCGTCGTGCTGCATGCTGCGTGCATGACCTGCGTTTCTAGTGTGGTTCTAGTGCATATTCATCGATATTGGGGCGTATTTACACTGGATTGACAGGTTCGCCCTCATTGGACGAACGGAAACCGAATCTTGTCTGGAATCATGTGAACTGTCAACCCCTTTATCTTGCTTTCGTTGTCAACAACATGTTGTTGTTTGGGAAAAGCTACTTTGGCGGGGAAACGAAGACCGAGCCGATCTCGGCTGCCCCAGGGCGATTGAACTATCCAGACCTGGCGCTGGTCCAATGACGTCTCTATGCAAATCCATCTACCTTAGGCGGCAAGATAGGCCGTCAACACATGTACGCGGATCATTGGTGCTTGTGTTGAGCCGCAGACTAGACAGTATGACTTGGTTTCTGTTCTGTTGCATGACACGTTGAAGTTTGTCCGGGCCCTCACTCTGGCGGACTCCTGGAACTTTGACGTCGTTCCCGCTGGCAGGCCTGAGTCATGCTGCGGTATGCTACTGCAAAATAGGCAGCGAGACGCAATGTATACAAAGATCTATGGGAAATTCTATTGTTGCTTCGTGGCAATGGGTCTGGCCACTTCTAAGCAAAGACAGGTTGGCTCGCAGCAATAGCAGGCAGATAAGTTCGAACTCTCCTACGCCAGGAAGTCAGGTCCCCTTTGTCCAGCATCTCTTGCCCGGACAGTTGAAGGGCCAGTGGCACCCCAAGGCTGAGTCTGGGGGTGCTCGGCCCCCAAGAGCAAAGGTCATCGCTACCTCTATTGTTTTGTTTTGACGCCCTTTCAAAGCTGGGTCCTCTCAGCGACCGAGGTACCAGAGACCTTGGTGTCAGATGCGACAAGAAACGGCCCCTCCTCCAAAAAAGACGTGTCACGCTTTCCCCTAGGTTCCTTCTTGCTCCTTGTCGCAGGGCCTATCCCTTCATTTTCCCTTTCCCCCTTCCAAAGCAACTCATCCGGTCTGCTTGTTTTGGGCTGAGCCACCCACACATTCTCCATCTGTTGTTTTTCTTCTTTTTCTCTCTTCTGCACCAGGAGCTTCGCCATCCTCTCCATGTCATTGTCTCTCTGGCCTGCTGAGCTTCCTTCTGCAACTGCATGAACCCCTCGAGCCGTGCACAACAGCAGCTCCAAGCTGTCGAATCCACCAACGCCAAGTAAACAGACCATCGTTTTCGCATCGCACTCCGTCGCATTCCTCACATACCCAAAGGCTACAATGGCCGCCACGTATAAGCAGTTCTTGACTGCCCCAAACTCGTCGCTGCTCGCGCCGAACGCGACGCTCTACTACATCACCACCACCACCACTTACAATGGTCCTACCGAGATCATCAAGCACCTCAACACCCTGCGTAACCAGGTGAAGAAGAAGAAGGAAGAGCTCCTGGACGTCGTCGAGGGCCGCGATGCCATTGCTGCAGAGGTTGACACCACGCTCGAGTTCGTCACCAGCGGCGGCGCATACCTGCCTGGTCTCGACGACAATTTCTTGTCTGACCGGACTGTCTACCTCCCAATTGTACTTGCTACCCCGCGCCCGTATTCTCGGTGCTTGACATTGGCTAACCGCGCTGCTGTCAACAGATGCACGTTGTGAACTTCGATAGCGAGGGCAGGATCGCGCAGATTCGCCAGACCTGGGACCAGGGTGCTCTCCTCAAGCAGTGCGACATCATTGGAAAGTCGGGCCGCAACTGGCCCATTCGGGACAGCACAGAGCAAATCAAGCTGATTACCAAAGGCTTGAAGGCCAACGGCAAGGTTGATGCCGCTGCTCCCGACTTCAACGAGTTGACCGAACGATCCCGAGGCAGCTCAACCAATGTGCTCCGAGACCCCCATGCGTCTCTTTCCCTGTTTGCGCCCAGAGAGCAGCAGGAGGAAGAGGCCCCCAGGGCTGTCGTGTCACCTTATGCGGGTACCCGACCTCAGCAACGGTCTTTCAATGATATTCTAGGCAGCCAGCCAGAGGAACCCAGCTCCCCCAGCGCCGGACGCGAGCGCGACGAGTCGCCAAGCAAGGTCGGCGCTCCCAAGGCTGGAGCCGGAAAGAACTTTCAGCCCAGTCGCTTGTTCGACGCCGACGAGCACGCAGATGTGCCCGACAGCCCCGAGCAGGACAAGTCTCCCGAGAAGTTCTACAGACCCAACCCCAAGAAGTTCGAGCACTTTGACTTCGCCGACGGCTCAGACCCGCAAGATACTCCCAAGCCCGCCGACGGTCGTCCTAAGGCTAGCAAGCACGACAGCAGCTGGTCTTTCGACGACTTTACGACTCCGCAAAAGATTAAGCCCGGAAAGACACTGCGCACCCAGGATGTCCGCCATTGGGATACCGATGTGAACAATTCGGCGATCAAGGAGACCCCTGTAGCCCGACAGCCTCAGGTCAAGGGACGCCGCGACGCCGAGGCGCATTTTGATTTCGAGGATGATGGCCCTCAAAAGACACCCCGTCCCGCGGGACGACCCAAGGGCACGGCGCACAACACAGGCCTTCACCTGTATGAGAACAATCTGTACAGCGAAGACGGCAAGCCCCTTCCTGGAACTGACTCTGACCGGGCGTTGGGTAATATTACAAACCTCAACCACCGCCACAAGGACTTCGACCCCCACTTCGCCATGACGGATGACTCGCCGAGCCAGACCGGTGCGCAGGGGCGGCCCGCAGTCAGCGACTCCCGCAGGAAGGTAGTGAGCAATATGGACTCCCACTGGGATGCATACGACGAGTCTCCCGCCTCTCAGAAAGAAAACAGGCCCGAGGCGTCAAAGGGCAAAGGCGGAATCCACATTGCTGGAGATGGCATGGGCTCAAAGAAGGCCAAAGAGGATACCGAGGCTGACTCGAAGGGTATTCACATCGCTGGAGACGGCATGGGTGGCAAGAAGGGCACCAACCGCAACTGGCTCTATGGAGATGATGACCTCGAGGATATTCCCAAGGCCGTCCCGCCTAAGGGTGGCTCAGGCTTGACCTCGGCTCAGCAGAGCTTCTGGGACTTCTAAGCGCGACGAGCGGACACCCTGACGGTCATTGACACACGAACCCAGCAACACAGGGCCAGATGTCTTGATTGTTCTTGTTACGACTAAATGTATTGTGTACGCTACCCACGACTCACGGGAGCGTTTAATTGCTGCCAGCAATGGTACCTTTTCCCATCTGCGAGCCTACCATCCTGATGATGTGGTTCCCAGCCTCGGGGAAGTAGGGTACCTGGCTAAGAATACCTGGATGTAAAATTGCTGTACCAACCATAGGAGAGAGGGAGAGAGAAGACGGAGAGACGATTTGAAGTGGGGGCAAGCGGAGGGCGAGTAGAGAAGTTCAAAATAGGTTCCTCTACCGCTTGTATTGTTGTACAGACATAGCCCATGATATCCAACAGATCAGACACATTCCTACCTACTTGATTCCGTGGCAAGACAGACAACTGATGTGAAAAGAGTGAAGCGATATCAGTTGAGCCTATTACAATGCCTAATGATGGTGGAAAGACTTTTTGTAAGTTGGAGCTGCCACTCTGTACCTGTGACACATTTGAAGGTCCTTTCGTTTCCTTTTTTGTGGATGACATAACGACTCCCATGATGCAATTCAGATATGGATCATGGAATGGACGTTGCAGACAAAAAGTTATTCATTTCATCACTCTCCTCTCTACTGGAGCCCTGTTCTGATACTCCTCTTCATTCATCAAAACATGGCGGATATCTCAAGTACCTAGGTCAGAAAAAATACCAACGTCAACATAAATGTAAAACAATATACTTAGACCCCCCCTCCCTCCAAATATCCATACGCCACGCTGTTTATATCCCTCGCTTCCGTTTCCAGGAGAAAAGAAATTAATAAAAACCAAAACAGAAGAGATACTTTCAACGGCCTATGCACACCGCCATAGCAGCAACCCGACACAGTAGGGTTCAACACAGAAACTTGTACACACGCTTCCACTTCGGCCACGACCTCCTCTCCTCCTGCTCCTGAACGACGAGGATGCCGAGGTTAAAGTCCCGGCGGCCCGTGGTGACGTCCATGTCCTCGATGCGGATAAAGTCTGTCCGAAAATAAAACTTGTGCGCAATGTACATGATGGCCACAATGGGAAACGCGGCATATCGGAGGAAGAAATTGCGCGCCACGGACCCGGCGTCCCACTTCTCCCAGCCGACGGGGAAGGCGCCGACCCAAAACTGGGCGACGAGGACGAGGAGGTTCATGATGAGGCCGCACCAGGAGCCGACGACGCCGACCTGGGAGCGGAAGGCGAGCTCGTGCAGGCCGTGACCCTTGCGGGCCCAGGCGTGGCGGAAGCGGATGTGGCAGAGGCAGATGGAGGCCCACGTGAAGATGGACGAGAGGCCCGAGATGGCGAGGAGCCAGTTGAGGACCTCATCCTGCTGCTGCAGGTCGGCGAGGTAGGCGAGGAGGCCGACGACTGATGCGACGCCGATGGCCGTCAGGGGGCGACCTTTGCGGTCGACGTACGAGAGGAAGCGCGGGGCCTGGTGCTGGTCCGCAAGGGCGGCGAGGGTTCGGGAAGATCCAAAGACGGCCGAGTTGCCAACCGACAGGACGGCGATGAGGATGACGGCGTTCATGACCGAGGGGAGGACGTCGATGCTGGCGTTTTCGATGGCGATGACAAAGGGGGATGCGGTCGCGTCGGCGGAGGAGGAAGCGCCGAGGAGACGGGGCTCGTCGTAGGGTACCAAGAGACCGATCAGAGTAAGGGCCACGACGTAGAACAGGGTGATGCGCCAAAACACCTGCTTGATGGCGGTTGGGAGAGATTTGCGAGGATTCGCTGCCTCGGCCGCTGCCAGACCGACCAGCTCGGTGCCGGCGAAAGCAAAGGCGGCGGTGACAAAAACGCTACAGAGGCCTTTGAAGCCATTGTGGAATGCGCCTGGTGTTTGCCAGAACCGGCCGCCAATGTAGCCGGAGTCTGGGGTCCCGCCGCAGTTGAGAACGATCCCAAGCAAGCTGCGTCGTGGTCAGAACCGTACCCCCACACCCAACGGAGAGGCGCTCAAGACTTACATGAAGCCAATCACCGCGATGATCTTGATGATTGAGAATATAAATTCGGCCTCACCGTATCCTTTGATACCAAAGAGGTTGATAGCGACAATGCCGATAAGGAAGATGGTGACGAAGTAAGCCTTTGTAATGCCCTCGTCCCAGTACGTTATGGTGATGGCAGCCGCAATGATTTCGAGAGGCAGGACAATAAGCCATTGTAGTGCATAGCTGCGTCATTCCGTCAGCGGCCTGTCTTTTCTAATGCGCTCACGGCGTGATCACGGTGTGATGCGCGCGCGCGCGCGTCGCGTATACTTACTTCCAACCCATGGCGAAACCCCACGATGGGTCCAGAAATCGCGTCGAGTACGACGAAAACGAACCCGCAACGGGAAAAGCGACAGCCAACTCTCCCAGAGCCTGGCAGGTGCAGTACAACATGGCGCCCACGAGCGAGAAGGCAATCAGCAACGACGCCGGCCCGCCCACCTCAAGCGCCTGTCCAGAAGCCACGAACAGCCCCGTCCCGATGGAACCGCCAATGGCAATCATCTGCAAATGTCGGCCCTTGAGCTTCCTCGAGAGGAGCGAGTGCGAGGTCTGCAGATTGGCCTGGCGGATGTCGTAGTAGTGTACGCCGTTCAGCACCCTCTCGTGGCCGGGCTCGAGGTCCAGGGACGAGTTGCTCTTTGGCCTGTGGTTGCTGCCGTTGGCCATCTGCGTCGGCGCGCGCCTGAAGCTCTCGAGCACGCGGCTGAGGACGCCCGGCGCGGGGCTCGGGTCGTAAATCGGTTCCCGCCGCATGCTGTAGCTGCTCCCGAGAGTGAGGGAGTCTTCCTTGATCTTGATCGCGCTGAGCTCGACGTCCTCGTTGTACGGCGCCATCCCGTTTCCGCAGTGGGTCGGTATGCAAAGGTAGTTTTGATTAGTGGGGGCCGTTGACACCGCTCGTCGCGGGGAAATATTGGGACTCTGAGTCTGGCCGTGTTCAGATGGGTATCGTGTATATCGGTCGTTTGTGAGATAGGGTGTTGGCCACGGGTTGCTTGTTCGATCGGACTTGGCGCACTTTAGGCATCGGTCACCTCCGTCGAGAATCGCATGCCTATTGCCGAGGGTATCTGGGTTCCGCAGAGGCAAAGTCTGACAGGCGATAAGAAGCCAGCAATGGTCTCGAAGTATTGAGGGCACTCGTCAGTGTCGAGCGTGGTGAGTTCGCGGCTGATATTTGGTCGGCCTCGGTGAGAATCTATGCCGTATGCCAGGAGAAAGACAACTTGGTCGTGTAATAGTCGTTGCGACGAGAACAGACGGACTGCCGCCACCTAAAGGGGTTGGGTGACCGAGCTTGTAGGGTGAGGCTTATCATACTGGGCCGACCAGTGCAGTTACGGCATTGGCGTTGAAAGGTGACAGGATGGGATGGCTGCTGGTCTAATCTGGTGACAAGGATACCCCCCCGACTGGCAGACAAGAGTCGAGACACCTCTTTCGGTCCTTCAAAACGTCGGCGACAGGACGAACTGGCTGGGGGGGAGGAGTGCGACACTGGCGCGGGCGAATGAGGGACGAGCAGTCATGCCTGGGCCGGGCTTGAATCCTTCAATTCTCTCCTCGCAATAAGGTAGACAGTTATTAGGTAGTTGTACCTTACTTTTCAGTGTGCCAGTGACCCCCGATTTGTGCCCCCCAAACTATTCCCCCCCACAGTTGACCTAAGCAGAAGATGAACCCACTTCCGCTATCTCCCTTGCCCGTCCGTGCCTTCAATCCAGTCTCCAATCCGCGTCTCGCTTAATGGCTTGCCTGCTGTTGCAATCGTCACAGGCATGTGCTTGTCCGGGGTGCTTTAATGGAGGCAATTGATCGTTCAATTGGGAAGCTGGGTGGCTCCACTGAGGAGCGGTCATCACCGTCCGAGTCGCCCATTGTATCTGCCCCATCGAGGGTGCTCAAACTCAAGGCCATGGTCTGTCCGCTCCAAGACTTTTCAGTAGACGGAGATATGGTGCCTGCCGGGCGCCGGAGTACATGCTCAATTGACTTTATTCAATCTGCAGGTGCCAGACCCTGCAGTCTGTTCATAACTCTGTTTGTAGGTTGCCTTAGACATTCCGTTTGGCAGGCGCACAGATCGAGATGGGCTTTCATCCCGTGCCCCCCCACGTGCGTGCAGGCACATGCTTTCGATACCTTAAGGAGTATCCGTACCTGAATGCGAAGTACATCGTCTCACATCAATTCTCATGTGCGTCGGAGGCAGGTCCCTCCAAGAGCGAGCGAGCCATAGTAGAGCTGAGATTCACAAACAACTACACGTGTATTCACGGACTAAGCGACATAGGAACCAGCCTCGACCAAGATGGACATTACCGTCAACACATTAGGTACCTACCTGACGTGTAGCTAAATATCTACTCCCTAGGGAAATGGATATGTCGGTCCATGCTTTTGCTTTTTACAATAGCTAAATCATTTTCCCATGCAACGCCAGACTGTGCCGTTTGAATACGATACCTCCAACAACAAAGACATGCTAGTTTATATCACCACGCTCTCCCTGACTCTCATCACAGGCAAGCCTACATTAACGATATCATGCTTGTTCCACTTTTTCCACAATCAGCTTTCCGTTGGCGTCTCTCGGCTTGCGCTTCCAGCCTGTGTTGAATAGTTTGCCCATATCGAAGCGGGGGAACGGGTGCGCTTCCGTGTTGAAGACGACCGTGTCCATGGGCAACAAGTCATCCGGCGAGAACAAGAGATAGAAGTACTTGAGTGTCTCGGCCTGCGCGTGTCATGTGTTAGTTGTTATTGCCCAATCTTCATGCAGACTCCTACTTACCATCCAGAAGCTTTCAAGGTTGTCGCGCACAACTGGAGGGATCGTGTTGGCATTGCTCAAGCTCGTGAAGCCTCCCCCATCCTCGACCGAGGTGTAATTGACAAACGACTTGAACATCTCCCAGCCCCATTCACGGTATTTGATGTCGCCGGTGATTCTCCACATGTAGAAGACGCTCTCAATGGTCTCTGGTCGTTGAAGGTTGTGGACATCTTGAGAGTGAACCTCAAAATCCTGTCGCCACTTGGCATGCGGATCAAGATCAAACTCTTTGGGTGGGTGGTGCGAAGCTGAAGGCGACGCGGGTGGGTCGTCGACATTGAAGTAAGTGATCTCGGCGGCAAGTCCTGTCGCCATCCACTTGTACATGCCCCAGCAGGTCTGCATGAGCTCGCGGGCCAGTTTCATGTCCTCACCTTTCTTCTTGTTCCACGTGGGGAGTTTCCTGGCCTCTGCCTCTGGAATACCTCCCGTCGCTCCCAAAGCAATCGTACCGGGCATGAAGCACACGAGATGATCCATCTTCGGAGACAGCTCATGGTTCAGGCCGGAGGGGCGCTCTCCAAGAACAGTGAATCCAGAGGGCTTGCTGTAAGTGATCAGGTGCTTGCGCACTCCTGCGAGTGCTTCATCCCACATCTCCAGGTAGACGGGCTCCTGCTTATTCGTCTGCAAATACTGCTTGATCAGGTACTCATAGTACGAGTCACCGCGGGAGCCTAGGCGAATATTGTCTCCCCTGAACTCTCCCGTCGTGGCGTAGAGGTAGATAGGGACAAGCCCATCCTGAGCGCCGTTATCATCGACCACCTTCATAACCCGTTCGACCTTGTCCCAGAAGTCCTTTTCGCCCGTGAGCTTGGCCAGGTACTTGAATTCGAGCTGTAGTGTCGTCGTCTCAGCAGTCGACGAGGCGCCGCCATCCGCGTGGGATACAATGCCTTTGTAAGTGGCTAAATTGACGCTCGCGTAGGGAACTCCTGACGGCGAATCAAAAGCACTCATCAAACGATCGGCCAAATCCTTTGCTTTTTCCAAATATAAGTCCTCGCCAGGCGCGCCTGGGTCGTCGTCTTTGATCGCGGCTAGTTCGGGGAACTCGGTTGATAGATAATGCGCAGAGAGAAGGCCGCCGAGCATTCTAATGGTTGTCTCAAAGGTGTTGACGTCTTGATCTTGATCCCATGTCAAGTCTTTAGCAAGCCATTGCCTCGCCTGACTCAGGCGTGATGTCAAATTCATCAGCATCATAGTGTCGAGCGAATCGATGATGATCCAACCGAGTCCCTTGGGTGCCATCTGTCGTCCGGTCTTCGCAATGGGGTGGTACTCGTCGTATCCTGTTAACAAGCTCGGCCATTAGCTTCCCGACTCCATGGACGAACAGCACGTTACAACGAAGGTCAATCTTACCCCAAGCATAGCGCTCGTAGGCGTCCCAGCTGAGCTCAAAGGCCTCAACCACCCTCTCCCGTCTCTTGAGCCAGTCTACCTTCTTGCCCGTGGGCTCAGAAGCACCCAGCCAACCAGTCCATGACGTTGCCGACTCGCGGGCCTTGGAACCCTCGGAGAAGAAGCCAAAGAACCAAAGGCCTGTTACGAAGCATAGCAGGGAGACGAAGATGGAGCGTTTCCGCCGCCAGAGAGGCCGAAACCTCCGGCTTGCGTGGTGGGCATAGGGCTTGTCCTTGTACATGGGAAGCTGGCCCTTGGTGCCCAAGAGGTCTTCTACCCGCCCTTGCACACCGTGGAAGATACCAGAGTTGCCTCCACGGTAGGATCGGTTGTTGGCGGACGCGCCCCAGTATCGATCTTCGAGTACTCGCTGGGGATTGCTAAACGAAGGAACGTTCTTCGGCACATTGAAAGACATGTCGCTCAGCGCAGTGGCTCCGGCCTCGACTGCTTTTTCTTTGATGTTATGGGCAGCTCGAGCGGCCGTGATCTTGAAAACGCTGAGGGCAGAGTTCTGGTGTAGATTGAAAGGGTCGCGAACATTCATATTACGTTCTCAGCATTGTCGCAGTGTGGATCCGGCGGTTTCGAGCAAACGACGTGGGACGGGACGAACAGGTCGCAAACCACGGGCGGTCAACAACCTGGTAGGGAAAAGACCGTGGAAGAGAAATGCAAAGACGGGTGCTCCAGTTCAACCCCCAACAACGAGGCAACAGGAATGGCAGTTGTACTACTGTGATGGGGTGGGATGTAGAAAAGAAAAAGAAAGACAATAGCGACGAACAAGAGACTGAGACTAGGAATCTCGATGATGTGGACTTCCTAACCCAGCCGGAGCGGGCCAGTCAATGACGCCTCACGGCCGCCGCGAAGGCGTTTAACGACCACTTTACCCGCCGACCTACTAATACTGATTTCCTCGCGGTGCACGCTCACTAGTGGAGAGGAAAGGCCGCCCGGCACACAGGAGCAGACTTGCCCTGCTGCCGCCAAACACCCCTGCTGGAGAGGGAAGAGAAAAGGCCACCTGTACTCCGTACGGACTACGGATACCTTACTAGCTACCTTACCACACGACCTACCTCTCCCGGCCACTCCCTATTAAGGTAGGTGGTCGCGGCGGGAGTAGTGAATGGGGACCCTGGCAACCTGGAAACCACGCGTGCCACGGATGGCAATGCCAGCTCGGCTTGGAGCTTGCCCTGTGGTTTTTCTGGCCGGGACAAAGACATGCCGATCCTTCCTTCCGACGTAGTGCAGGGACCGGATTCCTAACGCACGGGCATGGGCACTGGCTGCCACTGCATGACAGCAGGACAATGGAGCTCAAGGGGAGGGAACGAAGGTAAAGTACCTCCAGGCATGAAAGGTCTGTCAAGTTGCGCGCAGTGCCAACACTTAACAGTATCCGTGCCGGCAGTCGAATTAGAGGTCAGGTCGGCGGGGTTCCCAAAGACACACACTCATAAGCACCTCAACTTCAAGCGGGACACGGTCCGGGGAAATAAACGTCTGCCGTATCGAGACCTCCGTCATCGACTCGGTGCATGCTCATATCGTGCGAGTTGATGGAGATAGGATCCTATTTCTACTGCCACGAAAACGCGACGCTTGCCCAACACGACACTGCATCCTCACGAGCCAAGATCTTGGCTATCAATGCCATTTTGACCCCAAATCACGGGAAGAAGGGTAGCGCAAGCGTATATCCGGCTGTTAGGGATCGTCTGCGTCAACATGGCATTCCGGGACTTCCCATTCCTGACGCCAGAGGAATTTTCCGAAATATGCCATCACTTCGATAGCCAGTATTGTCGTGCCACTTTGGGTCCGATGCGACGGCGTTGGAAAATGAGAGTATGCACGGCGCTTGACACACTATTCGCCTCGGGCGTTGAATACACTACATATTTGCAAATTATCCGGCCGCTCGAAGCTACCTTGGACTGCGGCGATCTCTCGTCCGTTCTGGACAATTTCTCATTTGGCGAAGGTGCCTCGGATAAAGACATTCTAGAATTAGACGACGAGGCCATGATTGATGCTGAGGAGTCTGACGAGGTAATTTCCTAGGCTCTGATTGTATGGCACACTGCTCAAATTCACATACGCCAGGCTGCCCTCTCCAAGTCACACGTTCCTGATTCCGGTCACGTCGTCTACGAAGTGCATTTGCATCCCATATACCGGATGCCGTGCCTGTGGTTCACTTTACATGGACTGCCGGCCGAAGAGCCTGCATTTAACCTAGACACCGTCTTTCGAAGACTTGTGCCCGATCAGTTCAAGGATGCTCTCCGAAGAACGAGCGGCATCGGAGGAATCTCCGGCGATGTAAGTGGGCATCAGCTGCGGACCAGTCAATTAAATCTTCTGAAAGAGACCGTCTGTAGGTCTATACTAACAATCGAGGTTGCAGCACCACCCCCTCACGGGATTACCGTCATTCTTCATCCATCCATGCCTGCTCGGGGACGCAATGTCGGGGTTCAACTGTTCCAAGGAGCAGTACATGATGCTGTGGCTCGGCCTGGTTGGCGGATGCGTGGGGCTCTGGGTGCCCAAAGAGATGGCCATGGAATCAACCGGCTGAAGCTCGCAGCCAGGACCCTCCGCCTTCTTTCACCCTGTTTTAACTGAAAGGCAAGGCAGGGGTCATTAATCGTCGTCGCTGTCCTCTTCCATGGCAACATCACTGTCCTCATCTTCTTCCTCGTCTCTTGTCCGCTTCTGGCCTCTTGCATCGGCTGTCTGGGCGTCGGCCATGGGTTGGTCACCCCCAGCTGCTGGCTTCGCCGCTGCGGCCGCTCCGGCCGCTCCTGATGCGGCGCCAGGTGCCGGAGCGTTGAAGATGCTCTTCTGGAGATCCGTTACTTCGGTGCTGGAGGCTCCTGCTGTCGAGTTTGGAATCTTGTACGTGCCGTCCAATTTCGCGACGAAATCAGACTTGGACTTGGCGTACTGAACAGTCTGTTCCCGGTCTCGTCAGCAAACGTCTCTCATAACCGAACACCACTCTAGGGGGCGCATACCAAGGGTCGACCAAGAAATTCAAAGCCTTCGAGAGAGCGCATGGCCTGGGTTGCTGTCTGGATGTCGCGGAAGGTGATGTGGGCTTGTCCACGCATCTTCATGGTCTTCATGGCCACGATATCGAGAATGGGACCGTACGTGGAGAACAGCAAGTAAAGTTCGGTTCTTAAGTCGGCTTTTTGTATCTTGTTGGATGGAAGGTTTGTAACATAGAGCCTACAAAAATGAGCGAGTGCCTCTTGTTTATCGGGTTTCCCGACTTACGTCTGGTTGGGAGCGACAGTCGCAACTTTGGCGGGTAGTGATGCGTTTGGCGCGAGGCCGCGGGGAGGAGCGACCGCTGCCATTGTGCAATACGGTAAACGAAAGCGTAAGAGGTTGTAAGCTCTTCGTGGGGATCGTCGGGTGTTCCGCGTGGTGTACTAGGCGTGAGTGTGATTTCGAGGTGGCGCGTAGCGAATTCGTCGTCGTGGAATCGTCGCGGTTTCGATTTTTTGTGATGAACGTCCGGCCACCGCACTTTAGTTGGTTGAACAGCCTTTGGAGCTTCACTGCTAGCGCCGCCAATCGATTCCAAGGACACCAGGGTGTGGCCTTAGGTTCTGAGCGGTGCGCGACGTCGAGCGGTGCGAATGCCATGCTGCCCTGTCGGAAGACCTACGTATGCCCCTCTCCGCCCCACCATTGTGCACCTCCCACCTCCGGCCCTACTGTGTACTCCGTACAGGTACGCAGCAATATATGCATTGCATGCACCTTACGTATGTATTGCCTGGGGGTAGATACCTTGCCATGCTTGGACGGCTAGCACTGCCTCAAGCGACAACTTCGTCTGCCAACATCTCCAACTCTTCTCTTTCCATTCTCCCTCAACAACCTCCGATCTTTTCAAGATAGTGATAGTAGAGAGCTATACTCCTATCACAAAGTAATCATCCATCATGGCGGCCCCTCAGGTTCACCATCTCTTCCACGCGCCCATCGCGGACCATTCATTCTCCGCCGACCGCCAGACGCTGGCTATCGCTCGCGATTCCACCATTGAGCTCTACGGGCCTACGGGGAACTCTTTCAAGCTCAAGGATGAGCTCAAGGGACACGACAAGACCGTCACGAGTGTCGATATTGCCCCCAAAAGCGGCCGCATTGTCTCCTGCTCCCAAGGTATGTCAATGCGCGCCGACTCTTTTTATACTGTTTCCGAGCCGAGAACAGCACCTGACCTTTTGCGACAGACCGCAATGCCCTCGTCTGGGAGCCATCGCCGACCGGATACAAGCCCACACTTGTCCTGCTTCGAATCAGCCGCGCCGCGACCTTTGTGCGATGGTCTCCCTCCGAAACCAAATTCGCGGTCGGCTCGGGCGACCGCGTAATTGCCGTCTGCTACTTTGAAGAGGAGAACGATTGGTGGGTATCGAAGCACCTGAAGAAGCCCATCCGCAGCACCATCACATCCGTCGCATGGCACCCCAACTCCGTTCTTCTTGCCGCCGGATCCACCGACGCCCACGCCAGGGTTCTTTCTAGCTTCATCAAGGGCGTCGACGCCCGCCCCGAGCCGACCGCTTGGGGTGAACGGTTGCCATTCAATACCGTTTGTGGAGAGTACTTGAACAACTCTGCCGGTTGGGTGCACTCTGTCTCCTTCTCGCCGAGCGGAAACGCCCTGGCCTTTGCCGCTCACGACAGCAGCATTACCGTCGTGTACCCTAGTGCCCCTGAACAGCCTCCTCGGGCCGTCGTCACCATCTCCACCCAGCTGCTGCCCTTCATGAGCCTTCTGTGGAGCTCAGAGGATGAGATCATTGCCGCAGGCTACGACTGTGAGGCTTTCCGCTTCAAGGGCGGCGAAGGCGGCTGGGGTCTCGCTGGAACCCTTGAATCAAAGGGCCGACCCGGCCTTAGCGACGCCCGCGAAGAGTCTGCGCTGAACATGTTCAGGCAGATGGATCTCAAGGGCAAGGCCACCGATGACACTAAGCTGAAGACGGTGCACCAGAACACTGTCACCACACTTCGTTCCTACGAGGAGTCTGGCGGTAACCTGACAAAGTTTACTTGTAAGTGTTTCATTCCCTTTATTTTCTGGCGTCCAATGCTAACTGGAGATGAAGCCAGTGGTGTCGACGGGAGAATCGTCATTTGGAGCACTTAGACTACCTTTGATAGCAAGCCTTTAACGGAATACCACACTGTTTCAGTTTCTTACCTCTTTGTTTTGAATTCACTTGCCAGAATCTAGTGATACGTTCTCGACGGTTCTTTCCTTCGAGAATGTCAATGAAGGGGCCTCTATTCGTTCTGTATCAGACTTCATACAAATATGCGAACTATGGGCCCTCTAACTCAAGCAGACCTTCCACAACAACGATAATACTCTACATTCGACATGGAACAGTACAGTACAGAACCCGAGCCTCAGCGCTCACCCAGCACATTCATCTACAGTCTTCCGATTAGACTAAACAATCAGGATTCCGCGACTAATACGAACTCAACGACTGCACAACTTCCCACGGCGCCGGCTCGTCCCTCTTCGCAACTTAACGCCAGTTCTCTCCTGGAATGGCGCGCTGTTGATGGGCGCGAGATCATGAGCAGGCCACTTTCGCCGATGACTGTGCAAATCCTAAGCCAAAGATACGTGGCTGCAGACTACCGCACCGTTTTGCCGCTTAGTTCCACAGAAGCCGTCATGGACACAGAGTCAGCTTCCGGGACGCCAGAGAACTTGAGAGCCTCGAGTAGCAGCATCGATGTGGCTTCTCTGTCAGAAAGGGAGAGGCATACTATGGCGGCCAGGATTCGCCAAGTCTGCGACATTTGTCTACGAGCCACCAAGAGGTACCTCGAACAACGACACAGAAACTTTCGCATTCGGAATACCTCATTCTCACTCAACTCGAACGGTCCCGTGACGCGCGGCTACCCTTCGAGGGTTGCTCTCACGGCCTTTCGCAGCGGTGCACACCATCAATCTATGCGCCTAAACCCGTATTTTGATTCTCGCCCTCTTCCAGCGATTCCAGTCTCCCCCGACGGGACGCCGAATGGAATTCTGCTGGCTAAAATCACCCGGATTTGCGATTATCTCTGGGCGCTCGCTTTACGAGACAGACTGGTGTTGCCGGGCACGGAGCGGGAGACAGTGGCAAACATGGCGCAGCTGCTGGAGTGGGCAGAGGTGGTCGCGGGGTGTGGAAATCGCAGCGAACTTACCGAATCAGCTATCGACAGGCTGGACTTGCTGCATTTATTCCAAGCTGCAAGCAGTCTGTGCAGCTGGTTTGGTGACAGTGAAGGGGAAGCACGACTGAGAGAAGTGGAGAGAGCGCTGTTTGATGTGTGATGTTGTCCTTCAGGTCTGGGGTGGCATAGACTCATGGATGGATGGATCGGTATCTCATGCGGTGTCGGCAAGTTTAGAAGCTCAGCGTAGGGAATTGGTACCTATGAAATGTCTCGAGTTGTCCCACGTCAACAGTCGAACTGCAGAGACCGTCTGGTATGTCCCGTCATGTGGCTTACGAGGAGGGAGTTGAGTAAATCAAGACCAGTCGAACTCCTAGTCCGCAAGACTCTTTTGAGGTGTGGACAGAGTGGATTGTAAGAATGTCAGACTAGAATGCGATGCTGAGCCAGGGCATCAAACCACGGTTTTTTTTTTCTGTGTCTCGAAAGGTATGGTAATGTTGTCAGTCAATGGATCCGTTTTCTCGGGCGACACAAATAGGGAGATTGTTGTCTTTGGCGTGTCATCAATTTCGTGCTGCCCCTCGATTGGTAAGGTATGACAGTGGGGTCAAAGCAAGCACATGCAGCTACCTAACTACTTGAGCTAAGGTCCCTCACCGAAACTCCTCCCAAGTACACAGGCTTATTGGCATGGTGAACAGCACCAGCAAACAAAACCCGGGCGTCGTACCGCCCAAACGGGAGATACCCATGCCCCTGCCACCTCTTCACTCTCTCCAACTCAAACGTTGTCTCCCGCTGATCTAACCCAACCCCACCAAACGCGCCAGCACCTCTCAGCTTCCGCCTGAGTGTGCTTGTGCTTGTGCTCTGCCGGGCCCTCACTGTCAACCACCTTCCAACAACACATCCATTGCCACCCTTTTTTTTTTTTTTCCTTTGGGAAGGAAACGTCACCTTTATTGCCTGTGAAGACCCCTTCTGGATTTCTGATCATCGGTAAACACTTCCCGCAGTCTTCCGAGTCTCGTTGCCATTTATATCCAAGGTACCTTCCAGGTGCTTAATACTATCTTGGCTGTCTCGTCCGTCCTCCAGTCCACACCAGCTTACTACTCAACCCGTACAAGCGACCCGCCGCTATTTGCCAAAAGGACCCCGCCAGAGCTCTACGCAACCTCGCACATCACCGGGTGCCAGAAACCTCGACCACCCTCGATACACTCCCCGTTTGCGAGCAAACCCCTCCCTCTTGCTGAGAATCCGACTCTTGCCCACGACGAAAGCCGAGCGAGAAAGCCATGACCGGTCCCTTATAATGGAAACCCCCATGTCAACTCAAGAGCGCCAGCTCTGTGAGTTTCTCAGAGAGCTCCCCGCGAGATGGAACTACGAGTACGACGACCAAGCACACCACGACCTGTTGGAAAGTCTTTTCTGGTCTCTGGCAGGAGGCGAACGATACATGCCCCTCTTCTTCCCCTCCGGACGCCCTTCGCACAATCACAAACTACATGATGCGCAGGGTGCAGAGGAAGGCGCCGAATACACCGAAGCCGCCCGTGGCAAGCGATGCGGCCATATCTTCAAGCCAGGAGAAGCCTCTTACTCCTGCAGAACCTGCAGTACCGATGACACTTGCGTCCTCTGCAGCCGATGCTTCGATTCGACCGACCACGCCGGCCACATGGTTCGCATCAGCATTTCCGTCGGCAACAGTGGTTGCTGCGACTGTGGTGACGACGAGGCCTGGCGGCTCCCCATGTTCTGTACTATCCACTCCGAGACGAACCCGGAGAAGGGCGAGGGTAAGGGAAAGGAACCGGTGGGTCTTCCCGAGGACCTGGTGCAGAACATGCAAATGACAATCGGCCGTGTCTTTGACTACATCTGCGACGTTATATCTTGCTCGCCAGAGCAGCTGCGCCAGGGAAAGACGGCCGATTCTATTCAAGCCGACGAAGAACTTTCGCGTCTGTCTCCAAGCATCTACGGCGAAGGCCCCTCGGGGCATCCGGAATATGCGCTGGTCCTCTGGAACGATGAGAAGCACACGGTGGAGGACGTGCAGAATCAGATTGCGCGGGCTTGCAGAACAACAGAGGCTCAGGCTCTGGAGCGCGCTACCGAGACGGACCTAATTGGCCGCAGCATTTTGAAGCGGCTCGATGACCTTGACGCTCTTCTTGAGATGGCCACCAAATTGGAGCATATCAAGGTCACCGTTACCATTAGGTCATCTCGTGATACGTTCCGTGAGCAGATGTGCGGAGCTATGATCGAGTGGCTCAGCGACATATCGGGTTGCAGTGTCGGAACAGACCACACTATTCTGCGAAACACGGTCTGCCAGGAGATGATGAAACCTTGGAGGAAGGGCAGTCCTGGTAGTCATGCCATCGTGGGGAAGGATGGCATTTACGATGAAGAGAGGTTCTTGAGAAATCTCGAGCAGTCTCAGTCTTTCACGCAACATGTCTTGTTACAAATGCAGCGTATAGCGGCTCAACAGCAGACAAGAGCCATGGACGGAAGTGATGATGAGGATATCGACATGGGCAGAGGCAACGGCACTCCGGATAGTGACGCGGGCGACGATGATGATGACGACGACATGGACGACGACGACATTATGATGGTGGATGTTCGGGCTGATGGGCCGGGGGATATCGGCCTCGAATGGCGTGGCAACGATCAAGCTTTGGAAGAAGATGAAGCTACTATGGCCGGTTATCCGCCTCCTCCGCCCCCACCCGCAGCTGCACGCCGGTCCGCCAGAGATCGTGATCTGACGCCGTCGGATTCCGACACTGCTGAACCCTTGATTGCACCCGCAATATACGCCAAGGCCAACTTGGAAATCCCCAAAACACCTGGCCAGGGTGAGAAGGCGCCCTCGCCGAAGCCAGGTAGGTACTGGCTTGAAACTCCTCCCGGGTACATGAACCGTGAGAACGTTCCCCCGGCGGAAGACGTCTTCCAAAGGGTTCGTCTCGATTGGCTCATTCTCTTCGACCTTCGCATGTGGAAGAAAGTACGCAACGACCTTCGATCCCTCTACATTTCGACTGTTGTTTCTATACCCGAATTCAAGCGCATATTAGGCCTGCGATTTGCCGGATTGTACACAACACTGGCTCAACTCTACCTGATTGGAGATAGAGAGCCAGATCACTCCATCATCAACTTGTCTCTTCAGATGCTCACGGCACCGTCGATTACTGCAGAGATTGTGGAACGCGGCAATTTCATGACGAGCTTGCTCGCCATCTTCTATACGTTCCTCACCACTAGACAGGTGGGTTACCCATGGGATGTCTCGTCCAATGCTGTCCTCGCATTCGATTCCGGTTCAGTGACGAATCGGCGCATGTACCACTTCTATCTGGATTTGAAGTATCTTTTCGGCTCGCCAAATGTACAGGAGAAGCTGCGCACCGAGGAGAGATATCTCTTACAATTTCTGGACCTTGTGAAGCTACACCAAGGAATTGGGCCAAACGTCCGTGCTATTGGGGAGCATGTCGAATACGAAACGGACAGCTGGATAACGGCCTCGCTGGTGACACGCGAAATCAACAGACTCTCTCGACAGCTTGCAGACGCGTACAGGAATGTGCCGGATAACGAGGCCCACTTTGTCGCCCAGGCCATCAGATTGACAGCAAAGGCTGTTATTCTTCATTCTATTGGTGCCGAACGCCATCGGTTCAAGCAGGCGGAGATAAAGGAAGAGGTCAAGTTCAAAACTCTTGGCGATTTCGAGTTTGACAATGAGTCAGCGCGGTACGAGGTCGTGAAGTTTACCGTTGAGGAGGACCCCATTAGCTTCCACCATGCCCTCCACTACACGCTCTCATGGTTGGTAGAGTGCGGGAAGTCTCTCCCTGCCTCGAGCATGCGAGCTCTATTGAGCTTCACAACGCAAGACCTGAGAGTTCCTCCCCGCTCCATGGGCCGCAAGGTCATGCCAAGAAGGGACAATTCGCCGGAAGATAATCTCATGGCTGCGTTCGATTACCCCCTTCGAGTTTGCGCTTGGTTGGCGCAGATAAAGGCGAACATGTGGGTTCGCAATGGCATTAGTCTGCGTCACCAGGCGGCGACATATCGTGGAGTCAGCCAAAGAGATGTTTCGCACCATCGAGATATCTTTTTGCTCCAGACTGCCATGGTTACCGCTGATCCTAGCCGCGTCCTCGCATCCATTATTGATCGATTCGGCATGGAGAAATGGGTCAAGGGCTTTTTTGAACAAAAATCGGCGGCACAAGACGATGCGCAACATTTGGACGTGGTTGAAGACATGATTCACCTCTTGATCGTGTTGCTGAGTGATCGCACATCATTGATTGCCTCCGAGGACGAGCCCAACGCTAATGTTCTCGCCATTCGCCGCGATCTCACCCACATCCTATGCTTCAAGCCCCTCTCGTTCAACGAAATCAGCAACAAGCTGCCCGAGAAGTGGCAGGAGCAAGAAGATTTCCATCGTGTGCTTGATGAAATGGCTTCATTCAAGCCTCCAGAGGGTGTCTCCGACGTCGGCACTTTTGAGTTGCGACCCGAGTTCGTTGAGCACATTGATCCTTACATTGCCCACTATAATAAGAATCAGCGTGAGGAGTCCGAGTTGGCCTACCGCAAGAAGATGGCCATCAAGACTGGGAAGCCGGTCGAAGAAATTGTGTACGAGCCCAAACTTCGATCTATTCCCTCGGGACTCTTCAAAGATCTCGCTGCATTCACCAGCACCGGCATGTTTGCCCAGGTCATCTACTACTCCTTGCTCTATCCGCTAGTTGCCGCCAGACTTACGCCAAGTGTACCATCTACTCGGACTGAGACTTTCCTCCAGGTCGTCCTCCACCTGATTCTGATTGCAATTTCCGAGGACAAGGCGGACGAGAGTGACATGACGGAGGAATCACTCAACTCATTTGTCTTTATTTCTCTGACACGCACAGCCCGAAGCAACTTCATGCAAGAAGCGCCGAATGCGAAGACCATCGTCGCGTTGCTGGACATGATGTCTACCAAGGAAGAGTTCAAGGCATGCCATCCCAAGATTGCTCTCATCTTGAAGCGGATGCGACAAAAGCGCCCGCGCAACTTCGAGAACGCCTATGTCCGGCTGGGCGTATCGGTTGACCGCATCGACACTGCATCTCCAGCGAACAACTCTGCAGAGGAAGAGCGCGAGCGCAAGAAGAAGGCCGCGCTCAGTCGGCAGGCCAAGGTCATGGCCCAGTTCCAGCAGCAACAGAAGAGCTTTCTGGAAAATCAGGGCAACATTGACTGGGGCTCAGATCTCGAAGATGAGGAAGAGGCCGAGCAGAATGCTGACCGGAAGAACAATTGGAAATATCCCACTGGCACCTGCATTCTGTGTCAAGAAGATACGGATGATCGCCGTCTTTACGGAACTTTTGCTCTCTTCAACGAGAGTCACATTCTGCGACAGACGGATTTGCAGGATCCTGATTTCGTGAGAGAAGCCTTCCACACACCATCCAGCCTGGATCGCTCTGCAGAAGATATCCGGCCGTTCGGGGTTGCTCACGAGAATCGACAAGAGGTCACAAAGGTCAACGCTCAAGGTGAGAAATTCGTTGCGGAACGTCAAACAATCGGCAAGGGATTCCCATCTAATCTCTCACGACCCGGACCGGTCTCAACTGGTTGCGGCCACATGATGCACTACAGCTGCTTCGAAATGTACTTTGATGCGACAAACCGGCGACACCATCACCAAATTGCCAGACATCATCCCGAGAACCTTAGAAGACAGGAGTTTGTCTGTCCGCTATGCAAAGCTCTAGGAAACGCATTCTTGCCTATCATCTGGAAGGGGCAAGAAGAGTGCTTCCCAGGGCCCCTCCAATCCCAACGCATCTTTACAGACTTCCTAGACGCTCAAATGCGATCCGCTTACTACGTCCTTGGCGCGAATCGCCCGCTCGACCAAATTCAGGCAGGTTTCGCCAACTATACCGCAGGACAAGTCACAGGTTCACTGGCAGAGAAGGCATCTCAGCTACTCGAAGAAGCATGGTCGGCTGATGAGTCGGGCCTGGATTCTGTGATTGTCAATACGCCACTGACATCTGTATTCCCGGCAGCCAGCACGCCGGTCTCCAACCGTCGTTCTGTGCAGAGTGACGGCTCAACTCTCATGACCGAATTGGCCAAGGTGTACCGTCGTCTTCGCGACACTGTACGGTCTAATAACTTTGAGACTTGCCACGAAAGGCTCATCATCGAGCTGCGAGAAAAGAACGAGCTGTGCCACAGCGATGTTCTGGCTAAACTGGTTGGGTACTCGACCTCGGCTGCAGAGATCCAGCAGCGTGGTACCGAAGCCCAGTACGGTATGACGCTCCTGGAGAAGATTCCCGAGCAGAGCTTGACGCACCTGCGCATCTTGGCAGAGACAGCTACTGCGTACAGGGCCGTCGGTGGTCTCAAGGCTGGCGGAGACAACTGGATCGACGAAGAATTCCGCCTGGATAGCGAGCAGCAACACGTTCAGCTCTTCGTCTCGCAGTACTTTGGACAGGAGACGGAACACGTCAGACGTCCCATTGACATTTACCCGCCGTTACTTGGCCAGGATGCCTTCATCTTCTTCACCGAGTGTGTGTTTGGTGTCATACCCGCTCAGAACTTTGACGTCACACATATCTTGAGACTTTGTTATCTTGCGGAGATTGTCAAAATTGTCTACCACATGGGACGCAATATTCCGGTATCCACTTGGGTTAACCATCTCCTCAACAGCGGAACGCAAGACCCGGCACTGAAGAACTTTGCTGAGTTCTGCCTTGCAATTACCAAGACTGGCATGGAGATCAACGTATCGCACCATGAGATGCCAGCGGATCTTGGCGAGAACCGCGGCTTCGGTCAGCCGGAGTTGGACAACCTCGAGGGCTACTACACGTTTGTCAAGAAATATGCTCTGACTTTCCTCAGGAAGAGCGTCATTCTTCTGTACATCAAGTATGGGGTGGATTTCAACAGTCATGTTTCTCCCCAGCCAGACGCGGACGAGTTAGACCGCCTCACGGAAGTACTTCGGGTACCAACCTTTGACGAGATGTGTGCCGCCATCACCGACCACGGCCCCACTTGCGGTTGGCCTGCTTCGACGACGAGTCTGGTCAGCGGATGGATTAGACATCAGATCATGTGGCCAGGCGACGCCGATCGCAAGCTCCCGAAATCTGCGCTCATCAGTCACCCGGGCATCTTCGAGCTGGTGGGACTGCCGAAGAACTATGATGCTCTTATCGAGGAGGCCACTCGACGCAAGTGTCCGACAACAGGAAAGGACGTCTCGGATCCTATGATTTGCCTGCTCTGTGGAGAGGTCTTTTGTGGCCAAGCAGTCTGCTGTCTCAAGGAGGAGACGTCATCTGGTGATCGTGAGCCGCAGAGGATTGGCGGATCGCAACAACACATGCGAAAGTAAGTCTTTGCGATGATTCCGTGATGGTAAAACCACACCCAGACTAATCAAACTCTCCGTGCCTCAGGTGTCAGGGGAACATTGGCCTCTTCCTCAATATCCGCAAGTGCTGCATCTTTTACTTGTTCCGGTTATCGGGATCCTTCAGCAGCGCGCCTTACATTGACAAGTACGGCGAGACGGATCTGGGCCTACGCCACGGTCGCCAGCTATTTTTGAACCAGAGGCGGTACGACTCCATGCTGAGGACCACGTTCCTGAGTCACGGCATTCCGAGCTTCATTAGTCGTAAGCTGGAGGCGGAGATTAACAATGGTGGTTGGGAGACGATTTGATTCCGTCGGATGCATCCGGATGAAGTGACGATCGAGGTTGAGCGCTTGAGGGAATGAGCCCGACGCCTGAAGAGATGTGAGGCTCAGTGGTCAAAGATACAGTTTCTTTTTTTTCGACGTTGCAGGTGGGAAGCCAAGCATAGACATGCATCTTTGACATTCTGTTTATTTCTCATCGCTAGAACACATTAGAACTTTGGGGGGTGGGGGGGGTATGGCAGGGGGTTGCAATGTCGGAGTTCCGACATGTTGGCAAAGCGCATTTGGTTTTACGAAATGGCAAAAAACAACATTTTGCACAAAGATGTTTGCTGTGGTTTGATGCTTAGCAACGAATTTCGCCCGCGCGGAGGGTTCAAGTGGATGTTGTCCATCTGTCTTGGTATCATTTTCAGGTCATCAGCTTCACATACGATGACTCTGACTAATTCTCTCTCCCTCTCTCTCTTTTTCTCTCGCTCCCTTGCGGTAAATCTCGCTTTCCCTGTATGACGTCTCTCATCATACGCCAGCCATGTCAACGTCTTCTTCCTGCTTTATCGGCGGTTCTGTGCCGTTAACATTCGCGTTGTCTTCCACCCCGGCCTTGCTAGTCGCGTAACCATTCATCAGTGCATCCGCCGCATTCGTTTCGGTGGTTGTGGCAGCAGCCTCGGTGCCAACCTCCCCATCGCCCAACGCCCTCTTGAAGATCCGTATCCGTCCGTCCTGCCCCGCCGAAACCATGACGTCCCCATGGACGTCGACCCAAAAACATACGCTCGCTCCCTTGCCTCCTCCCCGGTGATCCTTCTTGTGCGCGGGGATGCGCTGGACAACCTCCTTGGTGACGACGTCCCACAGCACAATCTCGCCGTCTTCGCTGGCCGACGCGATGAAGGCGCCCTCGCCGGGGACGAGACCGAAGCAGCCGCCAATGGCGAAGCGATTGTTCGCATGGCCCTGGTACGTCTTCTTGACGGAGCCGGCGACGTAGTCCCAGAGGCGGATGCTATTGTCGAGGTTGAAGGCGAGGACGAAGCGGCCGTTGGGCGCAAAGCAGACGGATGTCACGGCCGGGTTGTCTTCGTGGACTAGAGTGCGGAGGCACTGGCCTGTGTAGGTATCCCATATGCGGCTGTCATTGATTTCAGTAAAAGGTTGTTTCGAAAGAAGGGGTTGGGGTCGGGTGTAGTTAGTTGACTTACATGAGACCGTCGGTGGAGCAGCTCACGACCAACGTGCCGTCGCAGCAAAAGTCGATGCCGCTGACTGGGTCGCTATGTGCAGGTAAACTACGCATCAAACGACCCGCCCGCACATCCCAGAGAAAGACGGCCTCGTCGTACGATCCCGAGGCGAGGATGTTCCCCCTTGGCGAGAAGGCTAGGCACATGACGTAGTTGTGATGTCCCCGTAGCGGCGGCATGGGACGAGCCGAGGGCGCCGCGTCGTCCTTGGCCATGTGGCCCACGCCCTTGGCGGTGACCTTTGGCCGACCCGTCACCCGGTCCCAGAGGCGGATGGACTTGTCGTCGGACCCAGTCGCCAGACTCTCGCTGTTGGGGCTCCACGCCACGCAGCTCACGCCCGCCATGTGGCCCACCAGCGTATCCATGTGCTCGCCCGTGGCCGCGTCCCACGTCTTGACAGTCCCGTCGGCCGAGGCGCTCGCGATCCACCGCCCGTCGGGCGATATCCGTACCTGCGAGACGGGGCTGCCCACGTGTCCGCTCAGCACCCTCTCCTCCTCGTACCGCGGCCTCACGGGGCCCTTCTTCACGGGACCGGGTGTCACGGGCGTCGTTACGGTCGCGCCGGTATCGGCGCCGCCGTTGGTCGAGGAGAGCCGTAGCCTGCGATCAACGGCGCCCGAGAGACTGCGTGGCGAGCTCCCGGCCGATGTAGACGCAGGCGACCGTGATCCCGCGCGGGAGTCGTCATCGTCGTCGTCGTCGTCGTCGCTGCGCGAGCGTGAAGGCGAGGCGGTGGCCGACCTGGGTGTGCGCGATCGCGACCGCGACCTCGAATGCGAACGCGACCGGGATTGAGAGTGTGAGGAGCGGGAGTAGTATGCCGCTTCGTTGAGCTCGTCCTCACTAGGAGACCTGCTAGGCGTCATGCTAGGACGGCCGCGGTTGGTCGAAAGGCGGCGGGATGTGCTCGAGCGCTTCTTCGTTCTCGTCGTCGAAGACGTCTTTGCGGCTGCGGCCGCAATGGTGGTGACGGTGGTGTCGTTGAGCTCATCTGGTGAGCTTGATCGCGGTGTCGCGGATGTGCTGTGTGCGACGACTTTGCGACGTTTTGGAGGGGGTTCGGGGAGAGGCGTCGCTGCTGCTGAGGAGCCGAGATCTGACATTTTTGTGTGATGTTTGGGCTAGGAGATCTAAAGGTGAGACGGGTCGCTGATTCCTGCTACCTACGTCTGTGAAGACTGGCAGTTCATTCTTTGGCGGGCGGTGGAGGCAGGATCAATGAGGAAATAAATGGCAAGGCTGAGTGAACGGTACCTCCCTTGAGGCGAAAAAGAATGATCAGCAACTTTTGGCAAAGAAGCAGGGGTGCTTGACTGACGTTCAGCGGTCATCTTTCAGCCTCGTTCCCGCCGCACCGGTCGCTCTGGGGTCTTGCTCCTGCCTAAGCTGCCTTAAGGTAACCCTCATGGTGGGTGGAACCGCTAAGATAAGAGCGAGGTGACGCTAACGACATTCCGCTGCTGGCATCAACGTACCGATTGGCCAATGGCGATATATATGGGTCTACGGCCCCGGAGCTGGAAATAGGTGGGTACCTTCCGTCAACGATCCCCGGCCGGCGGGCAAACGCAAGCGGGAGCGATTCAATTCAGGAAGGGAATCCGAAAAAAACCAAACCCAACGTCACCGAGAGTCCAAGCGTCCGTCGTAGCGATCTTCCATCCCCTCTCGCGAGAACCCCGCGATCCGACCTCACCAAGACGATAATGCGACTTGGCTTTCACCTTTTCGAATGCCATAGCACCAGCCGAGTTGCCATTGCGAAAATTCAGCGTTTGAATTCCCGCTCTCACACTCCAATTCAGAAGTTCCGGCGCACTCACCTCCAAGTACCTATGATATACTAGCTTGCCTCCGTCTTACACGCGTTGAATGGTGATTTGCTCCAGGATCTTCGCCCAATCTAATCCATCTTCTTCATTGCTTCTTTTCACATGCTCCCCAGCGGTTCTTTCCCTTCATTCCATCATACCCCCTCTTCTTAATCCATCATCACCAGCGTTTTCTCGTCTTCCTCTTCAAAATATTGCAAGCAAACAACCACCACCGAATCCCATAAAATGGACGACCCTCTCCCAACAGAGCTCCGCCTCCTGACCCTCAACTGCTGGGGCCTGAAATACATCTCCAAGCTCCGCCCGGAGCGCCTCTCTGAAATCGGTCGCCGCATCGCCACCTCCCCGGACCCGCCGCACGTCGTCGCACTCCAAGAGTGCTGGGTCACCGCCGACTACGATGCCATCCGCGCCGAGACCGCCGCCATCTTGCCCCACGGCAAGTTCTACTACTCGGGCCCCTTTGGCGGCGGCCTCGCCATCCTCTCCCGCTGGCCCATCGAGGAGAGCTCCATGCTCCAGTACCCGCTCAACGGCAGGCCGACCGCCTTCTGGAGGGGCGACTGGTACGTCGGTAAGGGAATCGCCTGCGCGCGCATCCGCATCCGCCTCGCGGACCCCGGGGCCGCCACATCCGGAGGCGGCGGCGGCGGCAGAGACCACGTCCTGAGCATCTTCAACACGCACACCCACGCCCCCTACACCGAGAACCAGCCCGGCGACACCTACATCGCCCACCGCCTCGCCCAGTCATGGGAGATGTCCAAACTCCTCCGTGGTGCCACAGAGCGCGGCCACCTCGCTCTCGCTATGGGCGACTTCAACATGCGGCCCTGCTCCCTCCAGCACAGGATCATCACCGCCCACGCTCCCGTCCGCGACGTCTGGCGAGCCCTCCACCCGGACTCATCCCTTGGCGCCGCGGACGACCCCTTGGAGAAGGCGCGCGGCAGACCAGTCCCCTCGGTAGACTTCAACCTAAAGGAGAACGGCGCCACGTCGGACCTCGTCTACAACACCTGGCGCTGGTCCAAGGAACAGCAGAAGAAACTAGGCGAGGGCAAAGACCCCACCGTGATCCCGCCAGATACCCCCGACAGAAAGGGCAAGCGCCTGGACTACATCTTCTTCGGCAGCAGCTCGCCGCCCTCCCGAGACAGTGACCATGGCAGCGGCAGTGGCGGCTGGGTCGTCCGTAGCGCAAAGGTCGGCATGGTTGAGCCGCATCCCACGTTGGGCTGCTCTCTGAGCGACCACTTCGCCGTCGAGGCAACGCTAGCATACCAGAACTCCCACCACCAAGGCTTCAATACAGCGGGATACGATGCCAGCCTCGACGAGACATCCTACCTCCAGGACGCTTCAGCCAGCTCCCATCGTGACTCCTTCATGTCCGAGAATACCCCCGTTTCCGAGGGTTCGGGTCTTCCTATGCCAGTCTACGATGAGATTCTCGCTGTGACCCGTGAGTACATCCACCGGGAGGAAAATCAACGGCGCTGGCGGGGGAGACACTTCTTCGCATGGTTTGCCGTGTTGATAGCGTGCCTTATAGCTGTGTGGTTCAGCCCACACACTTTTGTCGCCTTCATTCTCATGCTCCTGAGCAGTCTCGGGCTTGTTGCCGGTGTCGTTGACGGCCTCATGTCACTTCTCTTCTTCAATACAGAACTCAGGGCCCTGAAGGAGTTTGAGTGGGAAATCACAAATGCCAAAACGATGGCGCGTGAAGCTGTCCAAGGAGAGGGAAAAAGGAGAGAAAAATCATGAGGATCTGGTAATGAAGGCAGTTTTGCGATGTGCTGAGCCCGAGGTTGCCATAGCCGATGATGCGTCCACCACATGCTACACACGGCAGGAGGGAAGTCAATACAGAGTGAACAATAATGTCTATTCATACTTGACGTGCCCCTTTCCTTCCAATGGTGGTGCAATACACCTTCTGCGTGCAACCAGCCCAAGCCCTCATCAGTAGCTCCTTCATCTTCGCATCTCCGCCGAGAGTCACACCCTCGATTCACCACCTATTTCTCACCCACACTCAAGGGTTTGCAGGGTAGACTGGTTCCACAGCCCGACGATTGACCAGGTCTCTGCGTCGCCATGAATATCCCAGAAAGGCCGTCTGCTTTCTCATCTGAAGGACTTCGTCCTTTATCCAAGGATCCCGGAGCAATTTGTCTCTCGGACGCTTGCATTCTTTTCGCCCGACTCTTCTGACGTACCATTTCAAAAAGGTCTTTTCGGTGTCTTCTAGAAACGCATGGTCATCAATATCGAGATCAAACCGTTTCAATTTTGACGAGTCGTAAGGTTTGGAGATAAACTCAGTCGCTAGACTCTTCACGTTGCTTTCAAAATCGTACTGCACAAACCTGAGATGGAGTTCGTTCAGGCTCTCCGACCCTTCCCCGATTTCGTAATCCAATGAATCAGACCAGTCGCTGATCGGCTCGTCTTCTTCGAAATAGTGAGAGTCGGCGTGGCTTTGAATGTGTGGGACCCACTCCGGTCGACTGGAACGTATTGCTTCCCATGGAACTCCTCGAAACCACGGGTGCGCCTTGATTTCAGACGCATCGTTGTTGAAAACATATTGCCGTGGTCCATTCTGGTATCCCTGAAGCTTTTCCCAAGTTCGTCGAGCATCTTGGGTTCGATACTCGGGTGACGAGAGACGACCCTCCTTATCACGAAGCAAGTCTTTGATTAAATGCCGGCACAGTCTCGAGACCGGAGGCCCATCGACAGGAAAGACCAATCTTTTTCGAAATTCCTGCTCTACAGATTAGCAAAATATTCCATGGAAGGTCCTGTTCAAACTTACGAGGATGTTCTGTTTGGTATAGTGACGACCCTTCTCTGAGAGAAATGGCGTATGCCCATAAAGGCATTCGTATAGGATGATTCCAATGCTCCACTAGTCACATCTACCATCATATTTCTCTCCCATCACTACTTCTGGAGCCATGTACTGGCTTGTACCAACGACTGAGCGGGCGAAGGATCGGCGCGTCTCTGCGGTTCGCCAGCCAAGCAGCTTGTCGACTTTCACAATTTCGTCTGCGTTTGTTTTGACAACACTGAACGGGCTTTCAAGTCCATTAAACTTGGTTTGGAGCAGTTCTGACGGAGGATAGTGCTTTGATGACCCCTCCCGAGACGATCGTCGCGTCGCCTGTCCACCATTACGGGCAACTTTTTGATCTTCGCGATCTCCGTCTAACGTAACATCTGTCAGGGTGAGGATCGACTGTCGCTGCCATTTATAGTAAGAGGTGTCATGGGACCAATGGTCGTCAAAAGCCAGTCCAAAATCCGAAATCTTCAAGTGGCCATCAGCACCGATGAGGAAATTGTCTGGTTTAACGTCTCGGTGAATGCATCCGAGTCTGTGGGCTTCTTCCACGCAGAGTATCATTTCGGCGATATAGAACCGAGTCCTTGACTCGGTCAAGATGTTTTCGCGAATCAGCAGACCAAGGAAGTCACCTCCGGGCATGTAATCCATTAGGAGGTAGAGATTGGCTGGATCTTGGAAACTGGATATCAGAGGCACGATCCTGGTCCCGGTTAGCACAGCGAAACAGCAATGCCCAGCAGATCAGGAAGGACGCTTCATACCATTCTGAATTCTCAGAGGCCGCCAAGAAGTCCCTCTCAGCTCGCAAGTGTCCTTCTTGGCAGCTTCGAATCATGTCTGACTTCCGAATGACCTTCATAGCATATACCTGTCGTCGGCACCGGTCCCACACAAGCTTGACAACTCCAAAGCTCCCTTTCCCGAGGATTTGCAGAGTCTCTAAGTTCTCCAAGTCTGATCCTCGATTCAGCCCAGCGTCAGACGTTGTTGACTACGCAATTCTGCAGCTGTGGGTCTTGGCGTTTCTTTGCTCGCGGAGGAAATTGGTCTCCATTGCAAAGACGTGCCTCCAGTAAAATTCTCTGTCGATCGGGCTGAGGTAACTTCCGTGTCGGTCCATGTTGCGTTGGTGTTCGGCAAGGCGTTGTTCGCGAGGTGTCGGACGATTACTCAGGGCTTCCTCAAAGTATATCTCTAGGAAGATTCTGGCTGCCGCCGCCTTTTCTACTGTCCGAATCCTCTGCCTGTCAGAGGTTTGGCTCCAATCCGGCTGTCCCCAAGGTGTAGCTTGGGACGCCGAGGGAAGCTCGCGAACTAGTTCAGGTGACTTATTTACAGTGGGCGGGCCGAGTGGGTGGTTCGTGATCTGCTGGGCGATTGGGTATCGTAGAGGGCGGGAGTGCATTGGCTTGTTGGTGGGCTTCCTAATATCCATGAATCTGTTGATGAATCTTCTGGTTCTGGTGGACTTAGCACTGCCCGAGGACTGTAAGTCTGCTTTGTGTAAGCTGGTGATGCTCTGCCCATCAGGTACGTCTTTAAGTACCTTGATGATAATTTCTCCGATAATTTCTCCCCTTAAACAGATGTGTTAATGGAGTGGCCTGACGTCGAGGGCGAGGATTCCAAAGAGTGTGTTGTGCCTGGCCGTCGACTTCCGGACCGAGGTCCGTTGGAAGTGTGTGATTGGCGTCTGTGGCTGTTGCTACAGGGGTTGGGTTTGAACGTGCGACGATATTGCTGCGGGCAACTTGATGATGCATGATGCTTGGTATTAATGGACGAACTAATGGGAGAGGTGATGAGACCTGCTGGTATAACGACTTGTGATTAACGCGGAGTCCAAAAGAGAGGCGGACAAGTAGTCCGGCTACGGTGGTGTTTGGCCTGTTGGCTAGTCGTCTGGGAATGTAGGCAACCTCGAAACGAAATAATGGATGGATATCCTCTACCCAATGGTTGAGCAAGGACTTGCCAAAAGCAAGAGTGGTTATCCAGGCAGGTGAGTTTCCCGACAGCCACCGGCAAGGTAGGTAGGCTACTGGTTGAACCTGCCCTAATATCCCACAACGCTGTGAGGAAGGGCCAGGCACAATCTATCACGCGACGGCGTACGCTCGCTTGTATATTCAAGGTAAGAAGTAAGGAGACTTTGTTTTTTCATGAAGGAGACCAGAGCTAAGTACAGACCGACCGGAAGAAAACCATCCATGTCCGGTGAGAGAAAATTTCCTACATCAACAGAAAACTCTTTTGTGATACGCCAACTTATGCAGTGTAAGTCCTCGCCTCGTCATCCCATCAAACACATTCTGCTTCTCGCATCCACAAGGGACTGCGGATTTTCGCAGATAGCCACAGGTCGGAGACTATCCATTGCGGCACGGCGTATTTCGCGACTCAGCGAATTATATCGCCGTCACACATCATTACGAGGGAAGGTCGGCGTCTGGAACGCCGGAGCCTAGCAGGTGCACGCCATCTTTCGTGGCATGCTCGCCGGGCAAACAGTATAGAATACAGTGGGAGGCATCCTGAATCGGCGGCTCGCCACCAAACGGGGTCGTGCTAGTGAGCAAACAAGCGTTTACTTGATCTCGAGGAGCTTGACGTCGAAGGTCAGGGTGCTCTTGGCAGGGATGCCAGGCAGGCTCTTGTTGCCGTAGGCGAGGTTGGCGGGGATTGTGAGACGACGCTCACCGCCGATGGCCATGCCGATGACACCGATGTCCCAGCCCTTGATGACCTGGCCCTTGCCGGCCTTGAAGGTGAAAGGCTTGCCCTTCTTATTGGCTACGAACAGAGTTAGCGAGCTGTCCAGAAAACTTGCATCTGAAATCAGCGCTTACCATCGAAGACCTTGCCGTCATCAAGCTTGCCAATGTAGCGGACACCGACGGTGTCACCGTTCTTGACAGTGCGGCCAGTGCCAGGCTTGCGGTCGTCAACGGTCACACCCTGGACGATCTTGACACCGCCGGCCTGCTTCGCCTTCTCAGCGGAGCCGGTAGGGCCCTGCTCGAGGTTCTTGGCGAACTGAACCTTCTTGTCGGACTTGGGGGTGGTCTTCTCCTCGGCGGCGACGGCCTCACCCTTGTTGTTCTTGAGCTTCTTCTTGTCCTTCTTGGAGAGCTTGGTCTCGTCATCGGCCTTGATGAGATCGTCGAGGCTCTCGGCGGCGCGCTTCTTGCCCTTCTTGCTGGTCTCAACCAGCTTGGGGGCCTCCTCCTCGTCGGTGTCGACCTCCATGACGCGCGGGTCGTCAGTGTCGTCAAGCTCGTCGCTGTCCTCATCGGGCAGGCCGTACTCGAGCTCGTCGGGGGACAGGTCGTACTCGTCGTCATCCTCGTCCTCGTCGGATCCCTCCTCCTCATCGTCGTCGATGACGTAGTTACCAGTGAGGTGGACAGTGTGGGTACCAGAAACAACGAAGAAAACCTTCTCACCCTCCTGGACGGTGATGTCAAGCGGCTGCTGGTAGTTCTGCGCAGTGGGTTAGCGATGGGGTTTTCAAGCTCGCACGGTCTCTTGCAACTTACGCGCTCGGTGTCGAGAGTGCAGATGACGAAGTTCTCGAGGTCAAGACCCTCGTCATCCTCGTCGTCGCTGTCCTCCTCCTCATCATCCTCATCGTCGTCAGAGGCCTTGCCCTTGCCCTTCTTGCTGGACTTGCCGTTGGGCTTGGCATCGTCCATCTCCTCGTCGGACTCCTCCTTGCCGACAGCCTCGATCAGCTTCTTCAGAGCCTCAGCCTGCTTCTGCTTCTTGGACTTGGAGGGATCGCTGGGACCTCCGTTGGGCTCGTCATCGTCATCAGACGACTCGTCGTCGTCGCCATTGGCGTCAATGAGAGACTGGAGGTAGTCCTCATCAATCTCGTCGTCCTCACCAGCCTCAAGGTCGTCACCGAAGCGCTGCTTGACAAGGCGCAGGGTAGAGCGGGGGACAGCGGGAATGTTGCCATCGGCATCGGCCTCGGGAGCCTCAGAGGGATCAATGGCGGCCATGGTAATGCGGAACTGGGAATTCCAAGGTCAGTAACTGTGAATAAGCAAGAGTGCGTCCGGCCAGCGCAAGCTCCGACTTGGCCGGAGCCTGCGCTCAGGTGCACACAGGCAAAGAAACAAAGCACAGAGATACACTTACAGTGGCAGGGAAGTCGGGGTTGGCGGGGATGAGGACATCGCCAGGGGGGATCTCGAGCCCGTAAAGAGCGACAGGAAGCTGGGCCATTTTGCTGATTGTGAAGGCGGTATGTGAATGGGACTAGTAAAAGTTGGTGCTCTTGCACTCGATGATATCCTTCAGGAGGTCAAAAATCAAAGACCGTAATTCTTGAAGGGTTTGGTTGGGTATGGAGAGACTGGGAGGAGAAAGAAGATGGGGTGGGATCAAGTGTGAGTGGGAGGGTTGTACAGAAAAGTCGAGGTTCGTGAAGAGCTTTTGCCTGAAATTTTTTTTCACTCGACGACCAGACGGAACTTTTTTTTTCTTGATCTCGACCCCACCGCTGGCGGCGCTAGTGTTGCCTTATCCTGTCTTATCGGTCTTATCGCACCATGGCAACCAAGGCGCAACGGCAGGGAAGGAGCGTCTGGGGAAGGAGCTGCAATGGACCCTTGCCCAAGAATGCCGAAAAGGAATGGTTCACCGGCGGTTTGGTGAACAGCGAGGATCCTCCACTCGTACACCGCCTTCTGACTGGACTCCATACTGATGCGGTTGATGGAGACTTGGTGCTGCCTTCTCCGTATCGCCTTACTTGCACCATTAGATTTGAGATTCATCACATATTCCGATGAGATTGTAATGGTTATTTGCTTGAGTGGCACGACTCAATTGACTTGAGCGGATTCCATGTCTCAACATTACATAGGTTATTGCATAGGTAGATGATATTCTTCTTCAAAGCCCTTTATTCCCCGCTCATAAGTGCATACATAATCTAACCTTAGGGTAGATCAGCTTTTGTCACTGTTCAATATGAAAACATTGATACCCCACTCTCACCCTTAGCTTACATCAAGTGTTTATCCTCTTCAACTACTTGCCCGGCTTCATGAACCAACCCTTGACAATCTGCCACACAAGCCCCAAAGCAAAAATAGTCTGCCCCTGCTCGTACGTCTGGCTCCTCTCGCCAACCTCTGCCATCCGGCACGCAATCTCGACAATGGGCGCCGGGAAGTGCTTCTCACTGCTCCGGGCGTACGCCGCCACGAGATCGTTTCCGTTCGTGATGCCCCCTATGGTAGTACCACGTTAACCACCGACATGTCGTTTCATCAGAGCCATGGGAAAATCAGTAAGAAGGGACAGGGAAAGCATACCACAGCTCCAAAAGTTACCATCCTGATACCATCGATACTCATCACCCACAAATCTCGCACCCGGGAACTGCTTCCTCAAGACACCCTGCAACCCTCTGGGCCCGCAAACCGTTCTCCCCTCCAAAAGCCCCGCGGCACCGCATAAGAACGCGCCCGTACAAACGCTCAACACGTCCGTACGCTTCCCCTCAGCATGGGCCCTCAAGAATCGTAGCGTATCCTCGTCCCAGCTCGCCGCGGGATCCGGTCCGGGGACAAGCAGGATATCCAGCATCCCCGGCTGAACTTCCGAGTGCGACATGTCGTGCGTGGGCTGTATCTTGATGCCCGCCGTCAGAAGGAGCAGTTGTAGATCTGGGCTGCCGCTGGCCTTTGTCGAGATGTAAAATATTTCCATGCTGGGCGCCAGCTCCGGGATGTGCTTGGGTATCATGGGCAGACCACCTAGGTACTCTTTCGACATCATGCCAAAGACGTCTATACAGGCCATGTCGAGGAGCTGGCACTCGGACGGGACAAAGACGCCGATCTTGATCACCTTGGTGGTGTTTGCCATTTTTCCTTCTTCTTCTGGTCTGGCTCTCGTAGCGGCTGTCGTGAAATCTACGAGGTTGATTCAGGCAATACCTGGATGGGTGATGAATGATGGTAAGCGGTGATGTTATCCTGAAGTACTAGAAGCTGGAGTTGGCGCGGCCGTCCCGTTAACATGGTCAAACTATCAAGATTCAGGCAATACATCTTTATACCCGAGCAACAAGCCCGACCTGCCCCCGTCCCGTGCTCCAACACCAGAGATGCCGTCTTCCACTCCGCGGCCCGGGAGCAAGTCGGCACCTTCAAAAGATTCATTGCGCCACCAGGAGGGAGACGTTGGACCGCCGGTGGCTGTAGCTAGGGCAGCTGATTGGGGCTGCTCTCTTAACTTCCGAAGGACTTCGGGGTTCTGGCGGCTCGCCCTCAGCGGCGCTGATCAGTCAGACGGGTGGCCATTGCCAGCCGATTTGAGCACATCACTCATACATCGCTGCCTCAATTGGAGTCATCCAGACCATAACTGATCGGACCAGTCCTAGCGCAGCTGGTCACGGAACATGTTCCTGGCGGTTCCCGTCTGAACACGCGTTAGAAATGAGCACATTTCAACATGGAGCAATATGTGCAAACAGTAAGCACGGCCTGAACCTCAAGACACATCACTGGAGGCACATTTGCAAGTCATGTATAATTCACATCAATTTTATCGTGGTAACGTTCTTCCTGTTGACCACACCGTCCAATCCACGTCTTAGCGTCAATTGCCATGATCATGAATCGTTCTATGTACACACAAGATTAAATATTATAGGACCCGTCCAAATTAATGGGCTCCGGGATTCTGTTGCGTCGGCCTCCCATCTTTGTTCTTTGGAGCCCATTGTCAGCTGTTCCTGCTGGGCCTGTCCCGTTCCCAGCGGATGCAGTCATCTTTCGTCACCATCCCGGCATCTTCCTACCGCTGGTGGGTGTGATTCGTCATGCTGGCGTGGATATGTCCGACTCCTTCGTTTCCACTGCTTCTTCCATATAAGCGAATGCACTTGGACGGCTCTCTCGCTCGTCAAGTTCCTGCGTATTGCTCCCAGAACTCCGGTTTGAGGCCCCATGAATCCCCGAAATCTCTAGAATGCCGATACCATGCCATGCCATGCATATCAAGAATGCCCTCATCTATTTACACGTGAGGCTCCTGGGAGCCCCAACTTCTTCAAACACGTAATCGAGTTAAAAACCGCCGCTTGGTGGGTCTTCCTGAAATTGGGCTGTGAGTCGAATCGAAGGTAATAATGGTAGCCGTCAATGCCTCCGTGAGGAGGATGAGGTCCTGTCGAAGAGTAGATAAAAGATAACATCGAAGGAAACAATTGTCATTATGCGATTTCGTCTGCCGTGAGGGATTTCGCTCTTTGCCGGGTGACCTTTTTGCTGACGGAATAGACCAGATCCAGCGTCCAGAAGTGGCACAATTGCGCCTGGGCGCAGGGAATGGCACCGTAAATAGGAGCGACCAGCGGAACCATTGCGTAGTCAATGAAGTTCTTCTTGACGTTGCGGTAAGAGAAGTTCATGCCATCAGACAGTCCGGCCTCGGACATCTCGCGCTGGCGGGACTTGACGCAGATGCGGTGGAAGCTCTCATACAAAAAGAGGTAAAGAGCAATTTCCATGAAACCAAAAGTGCGCAAAATGTTGCAAACATCGAAAATCCAGCTGAGGTGCGCCACTTCCTTGTTGCCCTCCGTGACCCACACATAAAGAGTGGAGGAGATGACGTAGATGGTCATCTGAAGGGGGAGGAAATGCGCCTCGAAGAGACGGTGGAATAGGTAAACGATACGTTCCCAATTAGGAGACTGCAATGTGTCGTGGGTCACGTCCGAGAAAACACCACTCTCTCTGGGCTGTTCGGGGTCCCGGTGGTCCAGCTGCGTCTCGGGGACGTACATGTCCGAGGCATCGCCCATGGAGTTGTGCAGCGGACGGAAAGCCCGAGAAGTGTGCTTTCTTTCCTGCCAGAGCTCGACTACCTTTCGGAGAGCATATCCCGAATCAAGAGCACCCCACATGTGTCTCATTGCCTGCTTGTAACGAGCCTGCATGTCCGAGTAGATACCGCGAAGACCCTTTGCGCCATTGCCACAGACGTTGCTCTGGCTGACAGGGCTGACAACGGTTCTGACGGTTAAATTGCCGTTGAGCGCGAAGAAGCACTTGAGGTACATGTGCAAATCTTCTCCGATGGCCTCATTGTCGCAGTCCCAGCCGCCGACGCGGTCAACAAGCTCCAAAGGCACAGAGTAGACGGAGGTGGGAGGCGCAATCGAAGATCCAGAGTACAGTCCCGACATACCACCAGCACCCCAGAGGATGTCGGCAACACGAACAATGGCGGGGACACTGTGGGCGTTACGGTCGAAGATGATTGGAGCCGCATACATGGTTGTCTTTGCTGTTTCGGGGTAGGCCAGGTGCATGGTAGTCAGCAAGGCGAAGAAGTTGGCTGAGAGGTGGCTGTCGGCTGTACACCCCACGTTTCTGTCAGCGAATCATCCTGCGTGCACTGAATTCGGAAACATTGACTGCGGCAGATTCTCAGAATCTGACATGCGCACGTACCGTCGAGACCCGTAATGATCACATCCTTGCGGGTGGTCATTGAATATTTTTGGCTCAATTTGCGGGCAGCCCAAGCCACGTTGCTTCCCTTGCCAGCGGACTCTCCTGGAATGTCGGACGGATGAATAGTATAGTCGATGCTGCGGAACTTCTTGACGAACTCTTGAATGAGAGTCATAGCCTTGAGTTCAACGTTGGGCTCGCGTTGTTCCATTCCCATGTAGACCTGGGGGCGAGTGTCAGCATTTGCACGCGTATCAATCAAGAAAGCAGTCGCGAGGGTGGTGGTCAAGAACCAGTGGGATCGTGCGGCGAAGCGGGTGTCGAAAAGTACTCACATCGTAGCAGCTGCGAGCTTGAGGGTGAGAGGCCAGCACCTCAAGAGTCTCCTTCAGCGTATCCATCTCCTCCTTGTAGTTGGGAACGATAATAGCGTGAATGACGCGGTCGGGTTCGCCGTCACCGTCGGTATAGATTTCGGGCTCCGTGTCGCCAGCCTCGCTGCTGGTTGCAGAACCACCGTGGGAGGACGTCAGAGTCTCCGAGCTGGACAAAGATGTCGAGGAGCCACGGCGACGGTGAGAGAGCCTGTAATCTCTCAATGTTTTGTTGCGAGCGATCTTCTTCACCTGGCGGGTCATGTCAAAGACAGCCCAGCAGCATCGGAGGGGGAACGCGAAGACGAGGACGTGGATAAACAAGCAGTAGTAGGCGTAAATTTCAGTCCAAATGCCGGCGCCCTTGGTAGTCGAGGTTGAAGAGCTTAGGCTGTCCTGATGCAAGTAGTTATGTGCCGAAGCAGCTGATTCCTTTGAGATAACCCAGTAACTCAGACCCAACAAGCCCAGCATGGCCAAGCCGCCGACACGGCGCGAGGCCCAGGCGAAAATCGATGACATGGTGACGACCGAGGATGGAGCTTCAGTGAGGCGCGTTGCCAGCGATGGGAAGTTCAACGGAAGAGCGACAGTTGCGGAAGGTCGACGACGGAAGACGACGTTTTCTGGCTGTCGAAGCAAGCAGCCGATAAGAGACTTGGAGGAATGTGCGAAGCCTGACTGGGGGTTTTGCTCGAGGGAGAGCGAGACCAACAACCGCAGACGGCAAGTGGAAGAGGGAGAGAGGAATGGGGAGGGAAGTAGGGCGGAGGACGAGAACCAGGAACCTCTGTGCCGAAATTGCTTATGGTACCCGTAGAATTGGTGCCCTACGTGGTCTCTCGCTCTCTCACAGTCTCTAGAGGGTTGGGGGTGGATGAGGAGGAGAGCAGGTGGCAGGCAGGAGGAAGGGGGGAAGGGGGGAGAAGGAGTAAAGAAGGGTGAGATTGTGAAGAATTAGAGTGCGTCTTGTCGGATGATATTCACGAGGAGGATAGCGACTAATAGATACGGGACGGACAGAGGAAGAGAGAAGGAGGGAAGAAGTGCAAGGTAGAGAGTGTGGATAATTTCTTTGGATAGGGCCTTGGAGGAGGAGGAGGAGGAGCAGAAGGAGGTGGTGGTGGTGGTGGTGGTGGACACGGGTACAGTAAGGTCGGGTCTGCTAGGTAAGCTAAGGTAGTAAGATCCAGTCAAGTGTCCTGCGTGTGGTACAGACAGGCAATGTAAGGTCGGTAAGGTAGACGAGGGGGGCGGAGAGAAAGGGGGCGCGCTGGTTTCTGAGGTGCCCTGCTCTGGACGCTCTACTGTGTACTCTCTCTTTCCCTTCTAGATGGGACGTGGGGATGAAAAAGGGTTGCAGGTACTTGTGTCGGCCCGGCGCCACAGCCTGATTCTGGTGTGGACGATCAGCTCCTGGATGTACCGATCTTCTCTGTCCTCCAGCTATCTCTGCCTTGTTTTGATCATCTGGACAACGGCACCCAAGTATCAGCACAGCACCAACTTGAACCGCCTCAGAGTCTACCTGGGCATAAGGGAGGTGCTCGCCGCCTGCAAGATGAGGTGGGAAGACGTGCAGCTTGCAAATTCGTTGAACTTGGGCGTTGGACTGGACATTGGGGGGTGGTGGCAGCCTCTGGATTGGCGAGACGACGAGCTGGGGGGTTCCTAGTTAGCACCCGGTGGTGGCAGCCTTAACAGACCGGGGTTGACTAAGGTACCTTGATCCGGAGAGGTGCAGCAGATTGTGGTGGTGAAGAGGCGAGGCAATGAAAGAAAGAGAGAAGCAAAAAACACAGAGAGAGAGGGTCGACATGGTTCCAGTGTGCCAGAAGCCAGGCTAGGCCGACTCTGACTGTAAATCTGGATCATGATTGGCCAGTCGAGTAAGAAAAGATCACCTTTGATTGGCCTAGGTGGTAGGGGCCTGGGGTATGCTGTGCTGAGGCTAGTGCATCTTGCCCGCGCACATCGCATCTAGTGGGCTGCCTCTGCGCCTGCTTCACTCCCATCATCTGCCTCGATAATTGCTTTAGCGCAGACAGGGACGTGGGTCCATTAAGGGAGCATGGGTGGCACGGATATACGGACAAGGTCTGGTTGCCTTGGGAATTTTCTGCGCTTGTACTGAATCGCCCGGTGGGAAATGAGCAGTAAGAAATTACCGAGTAAGCAGTGAATCGCGAGCACTGTGTACAGCCAGCAGGTAGCCGTGTGGGTCTCTTTCTTCCCCTGGGCCTAAGATGACCAATCGACAACTGACGTTCGTTCGTTTCGCTTCGTGACAGCTTCTCTTGCCGATTGCGATGGCGATTCTAGGGAAAACACTGCCATGCCATTTCCACATGACGTTCAGATGGGACAAGAAAATCTTAAAGCCTGCGAGCTTGGCCCTCATTCCCAGTATGACCGCAATTAATGGACAACTCTTGACAATCGAAATGCAGAGCGTAGGAACCCCTTCAGATAGATTGGCTAGGCCAGCTTATTGTGACAATCGAAGCGTATTCGTGGACAGAGCTCGTCGGGCAATGCACAGCCGCACTTGGCGGATGGCTTCACTCAAGCTCGATTCGAACTTTCTTTGTGTTGTGTCCTCCCTGGATTTGTATTCGTAGACTTGATGTCTCTGTCTTGGTTGATATTCTTCTCTGATGCCCAGCCCCAATGCCGAGAGTCTCGTCTAGTCTCGTCTTGTCTCGTCTCTCTTGATTATCCACATCGCTAGCAGTCAACATTCAGAAGCAAAACAGAGCAGTCGCAGAGATACAATGGCTAGGACGTAATTTCACTGTGACCCGTACAGTGCGCGCTTCTGATGCAGCAATGCCAAGTTCATAGGCAAAAGACTGCCTGCTGCCTGTGTCTTTTTCCACGCTAGGGACGCTGGAGGCGCTAAGGTGCCGTGGAGTCGCTCCTCCCGCTCTGACGGGCTGGCTCGCCCAAACGGGATATTTGAAAAATACCTCCCCGCTAACAATTTTCAAAAGCTCGATCCGGGGGCGTCACAGTGCAGTCCAGGTCCACCTTGTGTGCTTTTACCGCCAGCTCTCCACCGCGGAACCAAGCCAAGCCTGAGGCAGGGGACCTATACCAGGTAAGGTACGTACTCGGTACGAATACAGCCAACAATACAAGGTGGGAGGCACTCGACATCCGATGCTGGAGCCCGCGGACACACTACGGCGCTCCCGCGATGACAGAGCCTCAGAGGGCACCACGGCACGCAGGCGGCAGGATTAATAACTCATCAACAATGGAGACTGAAGCCGGACCCGCGGACCCGGACCTCCAGAATCCCCATTCCATTCAAACCCTGCAAAAATATACAAACAAATGAGGTCCAAAGCTCGACAGCCCATAATTGTTTCTGAGCTGATGGCACTGGTGGATGGGATGGTGTAGAATCCGGCCGGGAATAACAAAACAAAGTACCTACTCGGGCACTCGGGCTTCTGTGGGCTCGTGTAGGAAGATTAGTTTTGTGCCAGGTTGTGAAGCTTAGCCATCCTTAGTGGAAGCCGCTCAGGGGGCGGTGTAGTAAGCAGTCGAAGCTTAACCTCACAACCGACCGTGGGGCTGCTTCTTTCCTCACCTTAGTACGGATATCAAGGCTGGCACTCAGTCTTCTCACGCCTTCCCCAGCCGCTAAGCGCCTGCTTAGTTGATACCACAAAGACTAGGCAGGTTTGAATAAACACACATGAAGCGGGTGGCCGCTGAGGCAGCGGGCAGCGGAAGCTACCCGCGTCTCTTCCGAACAAGGACGAGATACTCCAAAGTGATGATTGCATCTCGGCCGTCGGATACTTCAGTTTTATCGACATGTTGTGCCTTGAATTGTGTCCCAATCAACCACGTCCATTCAACAAGTCATCCAGCAATTTTTCCTGTCTCTCTACCGCTATCCGGCAGATACTTTGACATACATCATACTTGTGCGAGGTAACTGCTATGTTTGTGACTACCTACAGCATCGAGGTCTTATCAGCTGTCTTCGGTGCAAGGCGCGCGACGACGACCGAGCCACGACCATTCTCTCGAGCAGTTTGTATCACAAGCTCAGAGCTACTGCGATTCAAGCTACACTGAAGCTCAAGATACTCGATACCTTCCAAACCCCAAAGCCCGAAGCCACTAGTCCTTTCTTAATTCAGTTACAAATGACGCCTATCGCTCCCACCCTTCAACAGTGCGTTGATCCTCCGGCTAAGGAAACATGTCGAGTATTCTTGGAAGCATTTACTGCAACTACACGCGTTTGCCAAGTCGGCGCGCCAAGGATGCCGCCTCTTGTGCCACAAGGCCACGGAACAAAGACGGTGTCCAAGGTCACCCGTCGCTGCTGGACCTATACTATGCCTGCGTGCGAGGACGAATCGAAATACATGGCGGGCAGATGCTGCTGACGGTACCACGCTATCTCAGCGTCACAGACGATGCTTCAGGTCTGGGACATTTACAACTGCGGCGCTGCAGGACGCTTCTAGCTGCCGGGGACACATGCAAAGTGGTACGTAGGCGTGTTAAGCGGAGCAAATCGTGGCTCAGTCTGAGAGCGCGCGCACACCTTTTGATCAAGTCGCGACACCGTCTACCTGAAGTCTCGCCGTAGTCATTGGCTCGTTCATGAGTGCTTCTCCAACCCCAGCTCTCACAAGAGGTGCCGAAGCTTTAGCCGTCATCAGGTAGTGTGTCGACTGGGGCTTCCAGCGTGGCAGCCGTGGCTGCCGTCGTCATCCATCACGGCTATGCTGAGGGATTGTCCTCATAGGGCGATGAGACGGTACCGTAGAGAGACGAAGTCATAGGTAGCGAGAGAAGAGGACGAGGACGATGACGAGCAAAACACCTCGGCGGCACCGCAGGCGAGATTAGTCACGGCATGGACATCGGGACTGCAAGGCAGCATGCCTGCCAAATGTCATCTCATGGCATTCATTTTCGACCAGACCTTTTGACCCTGCAGGGTTCGCATCAACGATTGCACGCTGCTTGGAACTAGCCCGCGGTCGAGGCCCCGCGGACGATTTTCTTGGTCGTCCCACCATCGCCAAACCTTCACTTGGTGCCATCCTGCGCTGAATCTGACACTGTCCCTCCGATCCAATCCAGTCACAGTGCGGCCCTCCCGCTCGCTCACAGTCGGACTGGCGAGCCGACCTAGGGTCTCATGGCGTGCTGGGATAGCGTTGCTGCGAATTGATGGGATGCTGAGACACGACCTTTCTCCAATTTTTCTTTTCCCTCGGCCTCCTCTGCTTGGCCGCTTTGCAGAGTCGCAACGGCCGAACTAAAGAAACCGAAAATTTGAAGCCCCAATCAGCAGACGAAAATCAGGTCCAGGTGCTCTGGCCAGGTCTCTACCAGGGCCCAAGGGTTCCAAAACTGGTTCAGCAGTGACGGGTGACGGCAGCCGGGGCGGGAAATTTCGACCTGCATCCCGTTGACTTGGATGCCCTGTTCACACTGTCCGATATCGACATGTGCTCGACAAGTGCATATCGCCACCAAGCCATCTCACCAGTCTCACTCACGCTCAGACACCTAGCTGTTGGTGTTGGTCAATGCAGGTTCGGCGTGGCATCGCGAGCCGCATCAACATCATCGAATCAACGCCTTAGGCTTCTAGCGCATCTCACCAGTCCCGTGCTCACCGCATTCAAGCCATCTTGATATGCTTGTGCTGTCGATGGGATCTAGCGCTTTCCATAAACGCTTGATGAGGAATGGCAGCGAACTTGCGAAGAGACGTGAGGTCAGACGAGCAACATGCAGGTAGTAGTAGGTAGGGCCTGCCATAGAGAAGTATCCGCATACTTTGTTCGTATGGGACACGAGAACATCAACTACGACAGACGGCTCACCTTGGGACGGAGTGGCGTCGACTGGGCTGCCATCCTTGTACGGATAGCTGATGGTGCTGATTCCTCCCGAGCAGATACAGGCCGCGAGATGTTTGAGAGAAAAGCTACCGCTGGCTCTTCGTTCGCTTCAGGCTAATTCTTGTATCTTTCTCTCGAAGGGTTGCACCAGCCGCGTTCTGCAATTACATGATCCCAGGCGAGAGCTTGCTTCTTCCGTAAGGAACAATGCGGGATGCTGGTCCGAGGAGCATCGGGTTTGGGCTTTGGTCGCCTATACGATGGGCCAGCGCATCGATTACTTCGTAATTCACGCATATGCCGGGCGCAATTGCTGCTTCAGCTTAATTCCGAGAGTGGCAGAAACGTTCCAACCACGGCATTTGGAGAAGCTGTCCAGCGGCCGACATAAGCACACCTAGGGAGGGTTTCCCTATTCTGCAGACCTCGATCATGGCAGTCAGCAGCGGACAGAACAAACGACGTAGGCTAGGTAGTTGCCATGATGAGAAAAGTCAATAACAAGCAGAAGACCGAAGGACTAACAGTATAGGGGCTTGCCTGATGTGGTGGGGTGGGCAACCACTTGGCGGGCCGGCGTTTGAGATTGAATGTTTCTGATGCTCCGAATCTGACTGGCCGACTGGATCAGCAAGGCAAGGAATGGAGTTCCAAGTCTCCTGCCCAGCCAACCGGCCGCGTCAACAGGAAAATGGTCCGGTCACGGTAACCAACATGGTTTTGTGTCCAGTCTTCAGGCTTTCCTGGGGGGGATCGGAGCGCCTCCTCGAACACCGTCTCGCCTCGAAGCTCGCCGTTGACCCCCATCAACGCCGGCCAGCCCCTGGCTTGCTGAGGTATGGCGGAACCAAGCTCGACTCGCGGGTCCGCACCCGCGGATCGCCATAACCACCACACGCAGAGACGGACGGCGAGAAGTCGGAGAAGAGGAGCCAATGGAGGAACGGAGACGACCAAGTAACGGAGCTACACCATCACACATTATAACCCCACAATCGACGATTCAACTGTGCCGCCGTTCAACGATTTGCTTGATGGAACTTGGCTATATCCATCACTCATCACGATTGTGTTTAATCACAATTTTGCTGTATTTTCCTGCCTTGACTGTCCTTTTCCTGCAGGTATATTCAGTCGCTGAACTCTGCTGGCCTAATTTCCTCACTAGGCCGCGACCAGCATGGAGTTGAAATTAAGGTTGAGAAAATTGATCGCGGCAGAAGTGCCTCGGTCGTCCAGCATGAGTTGAGACATCGATGCGTGTCTGGTACGGCTGAGGCATCGGAAGCCACGAATCTCTACTAAGAATCAGCATACGATTACTCCCGCAAGCCTCAAAGACCGAATTGGTGAAATCTTTGCTCCTCTCGGAAACCTTGTTCCTCTCCGGTGTACACTACCTAACCCACGCATAGTCGACGGGCTGCCCTTGAGACACCGAATCCATGGACCAATGTGGCACTCAGACTCGTCCGGTCACAAGTGGCATGTCTCAACATGTTGCGATTCAGAAGTTCGCCCCATAATGTTCATGTACGTACTACATAGGCATCTGCCCTTTACCCGCCGGGCCCGTTTTGTCGACCGACGGGGTCCTGTTATACTCCAAGGCGGGAAACAACTTTGAAACAAGCTCTGCGAGACAGTCGAGATGGTCATACTTTTCCCACACAGGGCAGGGTGAAGGTTGCAGGACAGCGTGCGTGGCTTCAAGCAAGCAAGAACGGTTGATGGGGTGTTAGGGGACTATTATGCCGAAATGGATTCCTGCAGTGATTTGCTGCACTCATGTTCTCCTTGGTTTCTCGAAGCACGTGGGCGAACGACTGAGATGTGTCAGTATGCGATCCCCGCTGTCGCGCTGTCGAGGACTACTTGCCTACCAAGCCATTATGCGCTCGCATCCTCCTTTGCCAACACGACCTGCAGGTTTCTGGTACATTGTTGCCGTGAGCTATGAAACGGCCTGCCCCAGACGCCAAAAGCCAAACACTCCCCAATCCGAGATATTACATCCCCGATGACCCCGACAGCCGGATGGATCGACCAACCAGTCACCTTTTGGGACTGACATGTCGCATCAACGGATCCGGCGTGAGATCTTCGGCTGCCCTGTGCATTGCTCCCCAGCCAACGCGTCACTTCTACTTCGGCGCGGCGGGCTTCGCTCACCGTCCGGGTCTATGCCGAATCGGATTCTTCTTGGCGACCGGCGCGGTGACGTGAATGTCCGATCGACAGCCGTTCCTTCGACTTTCCCCGGGCCGCCCCCACCCCCAAAACATTTCCTAAGTCCGACGTCAAACACTCAATCACACACCACTCGCGGTTAAACGATGAATGTTTCACTTTGTCCACAATGACTATTGGGCTGACGATATCAATCTCTGCGATGGCGTTGTCGCACTTCGTGGGCTATGAAAGTGCTGCCTGGGCCTGAGCCTTTTTTCGGCCATTGGGTCTCCTGCCAACCCCGCCTATGAAGAACTCCCCTCCTTACAAACCCACCGGAAGCTACTCGAGGGCGCATTATGCAGCTGCCTTGTCAGTGACAGAGCCACCCTGGGCCCATCTGCAGACTTCAACAGCATGTGCGGTGCCCGCGGATGTGTGGTGCCGCAATAAATCTTCGAGCTTAGATGCCGTTCTTCCGTAAGCCCCACCCCCGTGGGCATCCTCGTGAGACTTCCATGCCGTGGTAAATACTTATCCGCAGACTCTGGATGAAGAATTCGGAGGCATATGGGGGTATCGGAGCGCCAGTCAGGATGCTTCCCCCGTAGGTCCTCATTTCCAAAGCCCTGCCTGTAATCCATATATGTGATATGCTCAACCGATGTGCCAAGCCACAAAGTTGAAGCCTCCGGCAGGGCAGTGAAGCATATAGCCAGGTCGTACCGATAACACCTTCCGCTAGACAGTTCGTGCAGCAGCGGAAAGGTTAGGCTCGTCCAATGTTTGAAGTAAATCAATCCATAGCCGCTTTCATACAACCTTATCAAACAGTTCCTGGATGGGTTTCGCAGCCTATAACGGCGGGGGTTAGGAATCGATGCAAAGCCAAAGCCAAAAATGAAAAAAATTCCCATCGAAAACACGTGTTACTTACATCGATAAACTTTTCCAAGTCTTTGTCGAGGTTGGCCAGATCGTCCTTGCGCTTCTTGTTCTCAGCGATAAGCTTCTGCTTTCTTCCTACCAGCTCCAGCCTCTGCTGCTCGAGGGTTTCTCGTTCCGCTCGCTCGTGGCCGATTCTCGCTATCATCATGGCGTCCTCGTCGTCCTCGGCGTGCTCGGGTTGCTGCGCGATAAAGTCTTCGACGGGAATAAGCGGCAATTTCTGGTAGGTGTGGCTAGTGGTCGAAATGTGAGTACAGAACTATTTGCCTGCCGAGAAAACCATCCCTCTCTCTCTCTCTGTTTCTATCTTCGCCTGCCACGGAGAAATAAGAGCTCTTACTCGTAGGATTCGCAAGCCTCGATCTCGCCCTCGAGATGCCGTTGCTCGTAGTACAGATTCTGCAGCTGGAGGTGCAGGCGGTCGACCTCGTGCCGCGCCTCGGCCGTCTGGGCCTTGGTGTCCCTGGCGTTAAAGTTGGCGGAGCGGTGCAGCCCACGGAGGTGCGAAATGTTGGTGAGGAGCAGCTTCTGTTCCTTGGACAGGGCCGCTCGGAGGTCCGGCGACGTTGGCCCCGATTCTTCCGCCGCCGCTGCCGCTCGCGTGATTTCGGTGAGGAGGTGCAGGAGCTTCGCGGCCTGGTCTTGGGCGTAGCCTGAGGTTTGGAGGACCGCGCCGAGCTTTTTATCTGATACTAGCTCGTTGACGACCATGGTTGCGGTTTTGCGTCCGTGGTGCGAGTGTTATGCGGTGAAAGTGTGACGGGAAGGAAGGAAAGAACTGGATTGATAGCTGTGTCGACCGTGGACCGGCTTCTTGATTCGGTCGGCGCGTCGATTCGTTGATCGGTAGAGCGGTTCGCGAGCTTCGGGGTGGGTTGGGGTGTATTCCTCGCACGCACGAGGCTGAAGGATCGTGATTGGGCGATTCAACGAATGAGAGACGCTGCTCGACTTGAAATGGACGGTTTGCGCAAACAGACGGGGGAACGCAGCCTCGTGATTGCTTGCAGTGGCTGGTGCTAATTGAGTGCGTCTTGAGTAAGTATTGATCTCGCTGCTTCTGACGCTTTGCAATGTTAGTTTGGCGCACCGTGGCGGACGTTGGAAAATCAATGCAGCCGCCGGGCGAGGGACCGTGCTCTAGCTCCAACAACGAACAACCGCCGTTCAGCGAAGGGAGCCTAGGGAATCTACAAACCACCACGCTCTGCTGGTTTCTCACGGCTTTGGACGAATTCGTGCTTGGGCCGATCTCATGGGTTCAAGACACGGACGGGCCGTAGGGTCGGGAATGAGCCGTATGTTTGGTGAAGCACATGCTGGGCCGAACGCTAGGCAAGTGATACCAGAAGGTGGGGGGCTGGCTCCAGGTTACCCATTACACATCTCGAGGGCACGCCGTACAGTGTACTTGACTAGCGAGTGAGAAGCCTCATCGCATAGGTAGCGCATTGGAGCTACCTTGGAGACCACGGTCCTAAGAGTCTAAGACGGCAGAGGTGGTCTTGGGTTGCCATCACAAGGCACGCTAAGGCGGGGTCCCCAATGTCGAGCGTCATTTTCAAGCCTTTGGACTGTCGTGCTGCCGCAGACTAGGTATGCATCAGAATGAGGAGGGTTTTCTCGCCATGGGTGCAAGAGAGAGCCGTCATTACCACATTTACTGTGGCCATTTTCAACACAGATGACAACTGATGGATTTCCGAACTGCAACCATGAGCTCTTCAAGTAAGATCTTGGAGCTCTTTCATGCACATGCTTGGCCGTAGGCTCCCCCACCCACTCAGGGATCATTGGAATATGCTCAAATGAGAGCATCTTCACACTTGCTCGACCACAAGGGCATTGACAGCCGCTGGTCGTCATCCCAAGGCTTGGTCTTGGACATGGAAAGGCAAAGTCGGCAATGGATTGCATATTGGCGTACGTAGTAGTCGCATTTCGGAGATCTTAGACTGATCTGTACCTTGGTCTCCTGCAGTGTTTCGCAGGCGGCAGCAGTAAGCGCACCCGTGGACCTCTTTTTTCCTTAGGTACCTTACTCTTTCTTCTTCGTCACCCTCCGTCCTTTGTGGAGACCGGCGCGAGGGACGCATGACGACAATTGGGTGGCGCGCATCAAAGGCAGGCAAGGCCCGCCACGCCACGGCACGCGTGCCTCATATTGGGGCCGAAGTTTACCGGACTATGCAGGCGGCAGACGCAGTACCCGCTCGGGACAGCAAAGCGAACCGCACGGAGTGGGCTCGATAGGGAAGCAGCAAATCACACCTTCCCCTTCTCACTCTTTGACATTCAGTGTTTGGTTTTTCTGCTACGCATTGCGCGGGCAGGAGTAATGTATTGCTTTCAAGTGCCTAATTAGCAACATGTCTCTTCTGTATTGGGGATTTCCGTCTGGTCCCTTGTTTGTATTGGACTCCCATTCTTCATCAAAATCTCGCCCCTCTCTCATGTCTACTATGTAAGTCTCTCTTGGCTCCACGTTGTTCCGATGGCGGATCGCATGTCTCTTTAGAGCTGCAGAAAAGCCCACATCCCCCGAGATGAGAAAGCCATCAACCCCGGTCTCTGCAAGGTACCTTACGAACACTCTATCACTTTCTTCGGCTTGGCTTGGGCGCTTGCTCAACTCGTTCTCGCAATTCCTCTGTTTCTCTCCCCTTTCCCCTTTCCCGAATCGCTCTCGGTAATTGGATACGAAATACCTGCCTCTTGCTACAACAAAGCACCCGTCCATCCTGCGATTCGCCTCCCGCTCTGTCTGTGTCTTTCTTCCTTGCCAAAGCTCCGTCTCGTTTCTCTTGGCTCCATTATTAAAAGTACCCAGACTCTACCTGTCTGCTTACTCTTCGGCGTATACACAACGCACGTGCAAAAAGGATCCGATCCGAGGAGCTCTTGTTATTCGCAACATAAGTCAGGTCAGGTCGCAACGAATTTCGCCATCCGATCCATCCCCTTACCCCAATAGGACACCAGGGTCCAGCTGTTCTAGCGATCTGCGGCCTGCCATTCTCCATCCTTACGCCCCGGCCAATCCGATTTCCGCATTGTTGAGATCCGCCCGCCGCTCAACTCCCTCAACAGACTAGAACGCTTTTTTACTTCCTGGAGAAGCTACTTTACTCGGTCCCTTCTTTCGGTCTCTATCTGACTGACTTGCGTTCCCGTCTCCCCCTCCCTCACTCCCACCCTCCCTCCACTCTTCCACCACCCGCCCGCAACCTTCCGCCAAGTCCCTCCCCTCCCGTTAGGTGTGTAAGCCAATAATTGCCATCGCCTCCCGCCCGTGGGCTTATCCGTCAACATCGACTCGTCCCGCAATCTACAAACCATACAACGCAAACTCCTCTCACCCAAAAACCGCATATCTTCAGTGTAACACAACCAAAACCACAACTGCGGGACCACTCTTGCACGTGTAAATCCATACGAAGGCGAAAGCAAAGTAGTTCGACCTTCGGAATCCCACCAGCCTTTACTTGGCTGCGGTCTTCACCGCCGAGCCCCGAACCTTGTTTTCGTTTGAAGCATAGCCGAAGTGCTTCCGTTGATATCTCCGTCTTGTTGTCGGCTGAGTTATGGAATCCATTGCCAACATGGCTTCTCTCCAATCACCTTGTAGCGGCGCCGCCATCCAGGACGACGACGACTTCACGACTGCAACCTCCTCCGGAGCTCAGACTGACGGCTCCGAACTCGCTCGGAGAAGACGACACTCCTTTATTCATAGACGCAAGTCCATTGTGAACCAAATCATGGACGGTGAGGAGCACTTGCTACTCAAGGTATGCTCAACTGTATTTACATACATCGCTTGCTGTTGGTGTTGGCGTTGCTCCCCTATTGAGAAGTTGGGGGACAAGAACAATTCGGACTTGGAGAGAAACGAAACGTGCTGACAATGCTTCTCAACAGGTTGACCTCTTCCTGACCGAATTGGAACGTCGCCTCGAATTCCTCGAAAACTATGGCGAGCTTACTTTCGACTCGAGCATATCTCGCGCCTTTTCCACCCTCCAGACCGTCCGCGCCCGCTGCTCCCATGCCTCGGAGGAGGTCCTCGGCGCCGGCCGCAGGCGCCTGCACATCATGGTAGAGACCCTCGAGGCCCGGTACCATGGCGCCCTGGCTTCAGCCGAGTCCCTGAACGAGAAGGCCCGCGTCGGCATCGAGCTCCTAGACGACATGCTCACCGAGTTTGAGAACAAGGCGCACAAGTTGCGGGAGCAAGGTCTCGCCAATGCGGCCGACACGGCAAGCGCCTTCATGAGCGAGGGCCGAAGGGTTGTGGACGAGAGCATCGAGCTCGCGCGGGAGGTCGTCGACGAGGGTATCGAGAGGGCCATGCGCGCCGCTGAGAGTCTGGAGGAGAAGATTGCCCTCGCCGTCGCGAGGGCTAGGGAGACGAAACTCATCACCTATGACGACCTCCCTGTGCCGTGGCGCATCAACCCGCATATTCGTGATGGCTATCGCTTCACCGAGTCCAAGCTCGAGTGCATTTGGTCGGCCTTCCGCCCCTCCAACGAGCTCGTCAACATTTGGTCCCATGCCATCGGCCTCTTCATCGTCCTCGCCGTCGCCCTCTACTTTTACCCCCGCAATATCAACTTCCAATTTAGTACCAAGACGGACGTCTTTGTCGCCGCCGTCTTCTTCTTCACGGCCTGCCTGACGCTGGTTTGCTCAACAATCTGGCACACCATGAACGCCGTCGCCGACGTTGACGCCATCAGCATCTTTGCATGTGTCGACTATACGGGCATCTCGCTGCTCATTGCAGCGTCCATTGTAACGACCGAGTACACGGCCTTCTACTGCGATCCGGTCAGCCGCTGGCTGTATATGGGCACGACGGCGGTGCTTGGCATCGGCGGCGTCATTCTCCCCTGGCACCCGACCTTTAATGGAGCCGAGATGGCTTGGGCCCGTGTCGCATTTTTCTGTGGCCTCGGCGCGACAGGGTTCCTGCCGATCCTGCAGCTCTACTTCTCCCACGGACCCGAGTTCGTTTGGGAGTTTTACACGCCGATTGCCAAAAGTATCTTTGTGTACTTACTCGGCGCTTTTGTATACGCGAGCAAGATTCCCGAACGCTGGTGCCCCGGCATGTTTGACTACATTGGCGGAAGCCACAACCTGTGGCATTTGGCGGTTCTCGGCGGCATCTTGTTTCACTACACGGCGATGCAGTCATTCTTTGCGAATGCCTTTAGGCAGGCTCAGGGAGAGTGTTCCGCATTTTGAGATTCGACGCGTGGACGCATGCCCCGCTGACTTGGGCTCGCTTCGATCTGTCCAGTGTATTCTGCGATACGCATGACAGTACGACTCTCAACAGAGCCTTTTGATGCGGCTATATTTGTCCCTATTTCTTGAGGATATCAGTGTTTGGAGTCCTAAGCCGTTATCCGCTGTTTAAAACCCGCAACGGTGGGAATCTGCAAGAGCTGCTTCTATTGCTCTTCCCCTCAAAACGCCGCAGGTTCCATCCGGTGCCTCTCGGTGCTTTGTCCGTCACTTTGGATTGAGGTAGCCTACCTAGGCATCAGCGTCGACTTCGGCAGCCATCGATGTGAAGAAGATGCGCTATCACCTCGGGACTTTCATTTTCTGGTAGCCAGGAGGTGGAAACGACAGGTCGCCAGGATGTCGATGTTTGTCAAACCACGGAACTTCCAGTATCTCGTGCGGTGGACGAGACACTGCTATTCCCAATGAATTAGCATGATCCCGCTCCGCCTAGCAGGCGACCCCCCATCGTAGGAACCTGGAAGGCGACCTCCGGAACAAGAAGCAGCCCGCCACCGAAAAAGGTTACCATCTTGGTGCTGAGCAATCCGTCGGGATATCACCTTGCATCGCCATGCTTTGTCTATCGACAACTATGTGGGCATATAGATTAGAGTGCAATGTCTAATAGCATAGAAACTAGAAACGGGGCCGAGACCCCCGTCCTTGTTAGAAGAATAGATACCCATCTATCTGAAGATTGGATCAACAATATCTCTATTTACCTTGTATCAGCCCTTCCGTTAGAAGGTTCTCTGGTTTGTGAATATGTTTTTCCAAAGACGAAGAAACTGTGCCAAGACCAAAAATACATTTCCGACCAATCGATCACTCCCTAAACTACCCTAAGAGACCAGCCGGGGTGCCTGGTGCGGTTGTGAAGTTATGGGTGAAGTCTGGGGAGTTATGTCTTTGTATGAACCTCGATCGAGACTTTCTCTTCAAGACCATTTACATGTCTTGTTTGAGTAAGCCCCAGGGATTACATAGAGGATGCATAAACGTCCCGATCTTATTCAAGGCTATACTGGTGGCCACTCTGGAGGCAAGCCCCAACTAGATGTGTTCCTACTGGATGGAGGCCATCGTGACGTAAGAACCACATCTGTTTACAGATTTTCTCTTCTCGCAAACATGAGATACATCAGTGCTTGAGAACCCACCATAGCAAACTACGACAGCGTCACCAACCAACCCTTCCACCAGCCTCACGGCCTGTTCTCGCCTTCACTGACATTATGCGCGGTCTCCCCCCCATTCACGTCCTTGAAGACAGCTGTGAAATCTGAGCGGGGTAAGTCGGTAAATCCGCAAGCGAGACGCTTCGATGCCTATAGCCTTGGTGTGAACGTCGGCTTAGGGTGGCCGTTGGTCAAGGCGATATCCGCGCCGGCCTCGATCTTGTTCACAGTGACGTCGGCGACGGTAAGGTCAGTGGCGGGCTCGGCGAGAGCCATTCTCGTGGGTTTTTGGGTACCCGTGGGTTGTCACGCTATGGGCCCCCATGGGTATTGTAATTTGGGGACCCAAGGGTACCCACGGGTTGAACTTGAGATTCTCGTGGGTTTTGGGTGCGTATATGCCATCTTAGTCAAGATCCCCATAGGTCATAATGAAATAAGTTCTTATGGATTTGGATCCCCATTACGGTTTCGGTCTCTAAGTGTTTTTGGCTGCCCGTGGGTACCCATGGGTTACCGTATTTTGGGTTCCCCATGGGTTTTTGGCTGCAGTCCTCATGGGTTTGCCTACTCATGGGTTTGCCTACTCATGGTTTGAAGTTGAAATACTCCTGGGGATTTGGGCACCCATAGATCATCGTGGTCTGGGCATATCTAGCCCTCAACATTGATCTAAAATTGCATAGGTTACTTCGTCGTCCACAATTACCCTAGGCTGCTTTATACGTTGGAAACATCATTCTTCCATGTCTTGACGTTACTCTAGCTCTTTCAAGCAACGGAGTCCATAAAACCCAGCCGGCTTCTACGATTTGTGGCCATCCTCCCGAGGGAAAGCAAGTCTAACGAAGGAGTTCCAAGGATTGTTAAGCTAACTAAGGCGACGTAGGGACTGCGAAACAAAGCTTTGCTTTTCTTCGGCCGTTCGTTCCGCTGGAACATCTTCATCGTCGCCCACCCGAGCGGGAGGAGCAAGACGAGGAGGCTCCGTAGCCCGCCCCATCAAGGTCAAAAAGCAAAAGAACATACAACACCAGGTATTCGCTGGTCGTCACCGACCCAACTACTAATCCGGCCCTCATTAGCTTATCTATGGGAGAGCGGACGGGATCCCGAGTTTTCCAATGGGTATGGTCGTATGTGGTTGTTTGAGGGCATCGTGATGTCCTTGTTCGTACACAGCAAAGCAAAGGGAGTGCAATCACAACCCACATTGGCGCGAATGTCACTCGTTGGGGAAGCGACTTGGAAACGTAAAATATCTGGGTTGATACTGCTGAATTCACTTTTAAAGCAAAAATGAGAGGGGGACTTTGAGGTCGTGAAGTTCATTCTCGCGGTCTAACTCGTCTCCCCTCTCGGCCACCAGAGTCGATCTCCCCTATTGTCAAGGGCTTCACATCCCTGGGAACTTACGGAGAGATGAACGAAAAAACTCAGCAAGTTTGGCCGATGTTGATCTCCGTGCAATGCTTGAGGATGACGAGGTTCTAGAATCCAGCCACGGTCCCAGCTCCCAGGTTACCCTTGAGGCCCGCAACAAATCGCCGTTATTGTGGTCAGAATCGGGTTTAGAAATGATACCAATTCGTTTCCACGTCTGCGTTATAGAGTCAACCCTCTCGCCTACAACCAAAAATATACGAATTGCGGTGGTGGGTCGGCCAAGTCAGAGCTTCGGAATGACTGCAGTAGCTTCGCATGGTCCTCACATAGCGCGTGTGTTACGGAGAGCTTATACCTGCTCATTATATGCGAAACTCCGCGCGAGCCTCTAAAAAGAATATCTTTCGTACATCGACTCCATGCTCATGCTCTTCATAGCAATACGCTACAAGTACAAGCTCGGCCCTAGGCTACGTACGACCCTCCCACAACAAAGCTACCCTCTTATGGCCAGCAAACCGTCGCAATCAGAGGCCGGCCTTAGCTACGCCGTACAAAAATCAACGTGATGCCAAACGCCAGGAAACCGTAATGTCTTTTGATGCCATGTTCTGCACTCCAACACCTCCATCTCCTCTCTCCTATCGTTACAATGCGATCGCGCCTCGTCGATTCTCCCGGACGTGGAGAAGACCCTGTAGGCCGCAAAAAACGAAGAAACCCTAAGGCAGAGGGTCAGTTACATGATCCCTCAAAGGTCCTCCAATACTGATATGCGCAGGGTGGCGTTTGACTTACGACATAGATCATCACAGAAACGAAGATGGTGCCTGCGACAGCGCCACCGTCCTTGGGGTCTTCTTCACTGCCCACGAGCTCGGGGTGATTTTGCTTAAACAGAATGCCGAGGACACCGAGGATAACGATCGCGAAGACGGAGATGACAGTGCTACCAACGTAGACAAGTTAGTTTCCGAGCTCAAGGGGAGGGTGGTCCGTATCTTGGGAGAAGCGCACCATTGCCATGCTTGCATGGCACTGACGACGGGTTTCATATTTGCGGTTTGCGACGGGCGCCTTGCTTCCTGGTTGTGTGTCTGATGGAGCGCTGATGCGTGCTTGTTGCGTCGTGATGGGTGTAGCAGCCGTGAAGGCAATGGTCGAGGCTGATGCTGTTGCTATCTCGCCGAGCTCCACACTGGTTCGGTGACGTCCACTAGTCTTGCCTGACTAATCAGGCTTGAAGTTGAAGCCACATATACCCCACTACCTTTTGCACCGCCACTAAGGTAAAGCCACTCAGTCCAGCTCCATCCCAAGAACAACAAGAAGAACACCACCATAGGTCGGCGCCCCGGCCCCGAACGTGTACACCGGTGACCACGGCACCACGCCCGGAGCTGGAGATGACCTCAGAATCGACGTCAAGGTAAAGAATGCTTACTATTCTCATATCAATTCAAGGTTCCAATGTGTGTATATGGATTACTTGGGGGGTGTTCCCGAGCCTCTACAGAAGTCGGGATCTTCAAGCCATCCGTAGTGTCCAATTGAATAGGACTTGATTCTCTTGCTGCTGAAACCCTTGGCTTTTCTTGCAATTATTATAATCGGACTTCTTCCACGAATGCGCCACTCGCAATGAAGATCGTAAAGGTTCAGATAACGGCGTTCATGGACGTCCTAGGGCTGATGCAGGATCAAGCGTCGCCGATCTATCAGCGCGTCCAGGGCAGCAACGACTACACCGAGGAGTTACTCAATGTTCCATATACCGTCAACGTTTTTCTAATGCGTCTGCAGTTTTTACCCTGGATACTAACGCACTAGTGGCTACCGTTTTGAAGATCTTGGAGTTCTTCCAGACAAAGTTCGCAATTCGAGGATTAGGATTTACCGTACTCCCTAGACAATCCGGTATTGAGAACTGCGTGCTTATTGCCCTGGTGAATAGGTACGGACTATCGCTCAACCCATCAAAGCAAGTGGTCAGACTGGGCCCCGGGAACAGCTGTGGTCGATTTTACGATGCCCTGGAGAGGGAAGGGCGCGCGGTGACGAGAGAAGGCCTCGCAGTAGTCGGCATATCTGGACTCTTGACTGGTAGTACGTTTCCCGCTTTTATCTTTGCCAACACGAACCCCCGATTTGCTTTGACGACGAGGTGGTATGTGTGTTGACTAGGCCCTCCAGATGGCGTCTCCCTCTTTCCCGACAGCCGTGGCTTTTCCAGCGCCGACGTGGTTACCTTCGAGGTCGTTCTCGCCGGTGGCAAGGTCTCTGATGCCAACAACACTACGAACACGGATCTCTGGCATACTCTCAAAGGCGGCTCCAACAACTTCGGTATCGTCACGCGTTTCGATATGAACACGTTCCCGCTCCCTAATGTCGTCTGGTCCGGAAAGACTCCTCATAACTAAAGCCAAGCGGATGCTGCTCTCAGAGCCTATTACGACATCCAAGTCGAGCCGCTTCTCGAAAATTTCCCCGTTACTTTTGTTTGTATTCAGATGATTATCCATTTCATTAACTACAATACTATCGAATTCATCACGTTCACTGATAACATCAACTTTATTGGTCCATATTCAGCCGCCCGCTAGCTCCTTGTCAACGTTGGGCCAACCTCGGCAACGACGTCCCACTAGAATCTCACGGCAATGGCGACGGTGCCCATCATACCCGAGTTAATGCAAGCCAAAACGAAGCGGTGAGTCATACGAGTTCGATTTCTGAGAGATAAAGGGTTTGGTAACATGAGTGTTGTTTCCCTACCATGGAATTGAATGTGATAACATCAACATAAAAGCAGATAAGGACCTGTACAAGGAGAATGCCTCGCTGTTCTTCGCCCACTATTAGAATTCTCTCATCGAGGAGCATACCGCCGGTCTCTCGTGGAAACTCGTCACCCAAAACACAATTAGTGAAGCTAGTGGGAAGGGTGGCAACCCGGGCGGCTGGCGACTATCGGCGGTAGTCAGGCGATCGACACATCTCTAGTGATTTCAATGATATGGGGTCTTTGCCGAGGAAGTTTACGACTTTGTCGCCATCAGCGTATCTTTTCATCAGGATTGTCTCTAATCAATGTTTCAAAGATGACGCTTGCCGAAAGAGATACGAGGGCACCCAAAGAGCACAGTGACAACAAGACAGGAGGATCTGTCCCGAATACTCCATTCGCGCCGTTCGCAGCTTGTTTCGTTTCTCCGTCGGTAGCAGTCCTTGGTAAGCCGTCCATTTCATGCTGGTACGCAATAGTTAATAGAACCCGGCGCGCTGGATTAGTAGCGGTGTCTCTGGGCTGCTGGGCTGCTGGTACTCAAGTAAGATGCCCTCCTAGCTTCTATATGATCCATTTGCCACCAGTGATTCCTGGGAAGATGGCGCCCGGTGGAGCGACCGGCAAATTGCTACACTGAAGGAATGGTGCTTATGTCCTGTGCAGTACCTTCGAAGTTGTCCTTGAAAGGTATCCTCCCCTCCTGTCTCCCCGGAATCGGTCTTGCCAGAGACCGTCACCGTTTCTTGTAGCATTCTCAAGTCATGATTATACTCGAGTAGTTAACTACAGGTACCTTACCAAAAACACGATAAGGATGGTGGCCCGATCACCACTGCATCGGCCTGAGTCAACTCTTTTCTCTCCTTCCTTTTTATACTAGTTTCCCCGGGTCGCAGTTGTGGGACCTTACCTTCGCTGCCAAGATGCCGCATCTCTTCCGAGTGCTGCGCGACATCTCTCAGCGTTATATTGAGCTCGGCGTTTCCAGGCAGCTCTGGGACCAGAGCCTCGCCGTCCCACAAATGGACGCCGACCTCGCCGCCCTCGGGTCTCCTCATACCGGCGCATACGGCACGAGATGGATACAGCAGAACCAGCAACCGAATCTACCCGATGAATTTAGCGAGGGCTCGATGCAGCCCGGCGACGATGCAGGGGCGAGCACCGATGGGCTGCACCTTGTCCAGCACCCGTTAAATTCGGTGCTGGGCATGAGTAACGGGCCGCAGCTGGAGGACTGATCTTACAGTAGATAGGGGCCTCTGCGAATAGAAGCTTAGCCAGCCGGGATCTCCAGCTGGACTGGAGCTCTTATTTTTACAAGATTACACTTCCCGGCGTACGGCATTTTAACACGAAGTTAGCTATGTAGCATGTCTCTTTCTGAATAATATGCCGACTGGAAAGCGGATAAATTAGCCACCGTCGGAACGGACAGAAGCTTCACCGGAAGCACGGTGCGGGTCACTTCCCGGCCTGGGTGGAGCCGCTCGCGAGTCTTTGCCCGGACCTCTGCTCCGCAACTCAATCATCCTGTTGCGCACACATGTCCATCTCTACACCAAAGAAGCTTTAGATTCAAGACCGACTCAATTCGTTAGCCTCCCTGCGAAGACTTTTTAGACACCCGCCTTGCGTCGCCGGACCTGGACGGATGTGGCTCTTCCCGAATCTTGAGATGCATCAGATCTTCCTCGTGAGATCGCAGACCCTTGCCCGATCCACCGTAGCATGGGGGAATACGAAAGTCTGTCGGCGACTACGGATACACGTGTGCACTCGTTAGCTGCTTCAGGTCAGGTCGGAAGGATCCGACACGGCCAGTCCAGATAGACTTTCACGATAGGCAAAGTCGGCCCCAAAAGGTTTCGTCTGCCCAGAACCCTGAAGCCTGCCAAAACCTGAAACACGATCTTCTATCCCGGCCTTGGGCGATATGAATTACTGGAAATGAAGGCGGAATTTTCAAGCGCAAATGCTGCTTTCGGTCGGAAGGGGGAAGAAAGTAGATGAGGAGGCACACGGAATAATGTCAGGGCTAGCGTACCATGAATCGAGCCCGGGGCGGGTCTGGGCTGGACGTGCTAACCGTCACCTGACGCCTTGGAACGGTGCTATGCCATCAACTGGAGGCTCTGCTCAAAGTCCGACGATTCCAGGCGTTGGGTGTGGAGTAAACGGTGCATCGATGTGGAAGAAGCTTAAATCCCAAATATCGAATGCCAAGAGACGGCCGTTTGTCACCGGCGCTGACAGGACAGGGCAGCGGCAGCAGTTCGCCTGATGGGGGGGGCGCGCTTGGGGGGGGGGGGGTTGATTAGCGGTATCTGTGCCTACCTTGGGCACCTAGGCACCTTAGTAGTCTGGGATAGAGCTGGCAGCGTCGGCAAACGGCAGGGCCGCGAATGTGTTCATCGCTTGGGCAGGGATATGACAGGCTGAAACAGGACTTTCGACCCAGAGGGTTGGTGGGGGTGGTCCCACTTGGACGGAACGACTTTGCCAAGCTTTTTTGATCGCCAGATTTTGCTTCTCTTGAAACGCTGGCAGTACACGGATGCTCTCAAAATGGTGAACAAACAGACCTTGAACCTGTCTTTTGTGCATCCACAAAGCCTTCCCAATTGGGACCATGTCCTCGTCCTGTACCTGAGTTGCGTATTCAACCAAGCGTTGACCTTGGTCATGTCGGCAGAACAACGTTCTGACGATGATGGCACGGAGGTGCCTATCGCGCAGAGGGACGATAGCCGTTACTGTTGCATGGCGAAAAGAAGGTGCGAGGTTGACAGGATGAGATGAGGAGGCGGGCACGCGGTGTGAAGATTACAGCGCCCTTGGAAAATCGCATACTGTCCGTAACTCTTAAGGTATTATGCCTAAATAACCTTCTTTATATATATATATATATATAAAAGCGACTATGCACTATATAAGTCTGGAATTATATATTGGGCTTGTTAAGGATTAAAATCGCTAATAGCTAGTTATTATACCTTGTTATTCTTGCCCTAGAAATCCGAAAAGGGCGATGTAATCTTCACACCGCGTGGCGGGCTCATAATCCTTTCCCACACCAACCCAATAAGTTTTTTTGTCTTACAAGTGGTGACTGGCGACTGGCGACTGGCGACTGGCGACTGGCGACTGGCGACTGGCGACTGGTGCATGCATCGGGAAACCAGGATTGGGATGCCAATCAATCGAGACTAGCAGGCACGGCAGGGTCGCAGGCGATCGGCAAGGCACTGGCGCAGAAACTTCCCAGGCGGCCAGCGCTAGTGACGCCGCCCTTCGGCTCGGAATGGCACTTGAAACCTTTCAGCTAACCAGTGCGAGCGGGCGCGCATGGCAGCCTGCAGGGCAACATGGCGAGTCGTCGAGAATTATCATGCGACAAGCACTTCATTGGGGGTAATTTGGCAATTTGGGGGCATGGTGGCACAATACACACTCGCAGGTTGCCAGTTCGGGAAAGCAACCTAGACGGAGAAAGGGTGATGCTCCAGCGTCACGCTCCCACGACTTGTGCCCTTTCTCCTTGGTGGTTTGAGGCATGTTTGCGAGCTTCGCCAACGGATAATGGCCCGAGTCTCGTCCCCCCTTCCACCCCCACCCCCCTTCCCTGAAAGACTTCAGCAGCTTGTTTGCGCGCCAATTTCAAAGAGCGAAAATGAGCATGGTTATCAATACAGTCTAAGTGCATGGTCTTGGAAACGGGGCACCGTTGGTCTTGGGAATATCATCACCTACAACCGCGAGCTGGTCTGATGTGTTGGTCCAAATGGGCTGGACAAATTGCAAGGGCCCGAAGGGTGAAGGGGCTGGGGCTGCTTGCTGAAACATATTGGAAGGGAATCGGAAAAGGAAAAGAAAGCCATCCAGCCTTGGGGACGAAGAGCATTGTTTGGGTGGCATTTCTCATCAGACTTCCAGTGTCTACAGCTACCCCAAAAACTCTAGTCACCAACTCCAATTCTATTTGCGCCGACTGGCATGAAAGTGCACTTGAGATCCTGGGAGCCAGTTGCTCCTGTCAAGTTCCAAGGGACAGATACCTAGTGCATCTCGCAGAAGACGTTGTCTCTCACACACGCGTCCACTGGATTCCATGTGGTCAGTGTGAGTGACGGGCTCATTTGAGCGAAGGAGACAGCGCGCTTGGATGCAGCAGACATCTGGAAGAGCACCCGGGCTCACGCACGTCGTATGCCACTCACAATTCACATCAAAAGTGTCCGTAAGATAATTACTTTTCGGTGCAAGTTGGTTGGGTCTGGGGGCAGAGCCGGGATGCCTATGACGGGACAAGGTTCCATCGCTGCTTAAACGGGCACGCAGAGGAAGGCTGTCTGTCCACTGGCCAGCAGCCTACGGCGGCCTGAACCGAGACCCCAGGATCCCCTTGCTTCTCCACCTCTGGCCTACCTTACTCTAATCTCGACTGCCAGTTATTCCACTCCGGGGCCCCGGGCCATGTTCAACCCACCAACACCAACATCGCCAACACGAATTACCTCATCACCATCACCATCGTCGCCATCGCATCCCACCAACACCAACATAGCCCGTCACACGCACTCCGCCCGCAACGTCTCAGCGACAGTTTCTTTACAGAGTTCGCATGATTGTGGCATCAAGGGTCCAGGCCAGCTTCCGTTCGAACGGAAGCTCAACGCAGAGGCTCATTTCTATCAGTCGAACCAACAACAAGGTAGAATATCCCAGGAGGGAGGAGGCTGGATAAGGTAGCCGCCGCGACTGTCTCTGCCGATGTCTCTACCACATGTATATGCAAATATATACAAATACATTTTGTGGACTGACTAGTGACACTGCTTCACTGTCGTCTATGGGTCTCCCCCTCCACAGCCACCGCGGTACTCGTCAGCCTTGCTCTTTCAGCGGCTCTTTGCATGTTCAGCAACACGCATCTGCGTCACCCCAACAGCCTCCAAACTTGTGTTCGCCGTTGGCACGTTTCTTTCGAGCATGCAATTTATTTTTGATTAGCAGGGGCGTAATGGATCTCTCATGTGGCGCAGTGCATGGGAAACCAAAGTCAGACTCTGTACCTGCATGCCGGAGTTCCCAAGGTTCTCCGTACCCCAGTCTCGCCTGCCCTGTGGCAGCCAACGGATCTCCCTTACTAGGTACTGCCCTACGTGCCTCCCTCACTCCTGGCGCAAGCTCTTCTTCCCCCTCCGCACCAAACACCAAACATCAAATCCTAGCAGGCGAGATTCCAAATCGGGCAAAGCTGCCTACCTGGATTCGGTATTCTCTGTGCGTCCTTTTCCTCGCCTTGCAGCCCCTGCCAGCCCTTACAGCTACACTATCAAAAGGCCCGAGGTTGGTGCTTGGCTCAACCATGTCATGGAGAACTCACGTGTGTGGGACAGGGACAGAGTCTCTACGGACACCTACTATGCGTACCGTACGGAGAACTGAGATGGTGTTGCCTTCCGCTTCCCGTATGGTGGACCGACGTATCCGTACCAGTAAACTCCGTCGGCTATTGAGTTGAAGCAGTGGCCTGTGGCCCTGGTCGTTGAGCTGAACTTTCCTTTGCCCGTCACGACTCAACAGGACGTCCCTCCTGCCGCCCGCAGCCTCATTTGCCTCTTTGATGTCCTTCCAACCCCTGACCCTCCTCCTACCTCTTGCCCTCCATCATCTCTTCTCTCGTGGCACAGGGCGCACAAGGTCCACCCCGGCAGCGCAAAGCTTGGTTAAGTGTCCGTACCTCGCGAGGAAAACACATTCTTCTCCTTCGCCTACATGCGCCGACGGCTGGGTGCCGTTCTCATCCCCCCCCCGGTCGTACGTGATGGCTTGCTGCTCAAAGCATCCGATGTCGTGGCCTCTTATTGATTCTCGTTCCTTTCTTTGATTGATTTGAGCTAGCGCAGCTGGGGTGTCCTCACTATGCCGTTGGCATACTGCATACATACCTTACTGTACGTGTCAAGTTACCGTGACACTGGGGGGGCTGTCGTTGGTTCCATCCTCATCACATCTCGTGTGGGTGGGCCATAAAAGAGTCGCAACCCAACACCCTCTTATCGTTTGTAGATCTCTATTAGCTTTCCATCCTCAACCTACGCTCATTGACTCGCAGTTGGATCAACACTTGGTCTGGGCATTCCCACGGTCTCTTGTTCTTTAAGAAGCTCCAATCCCCTCTTGCCTCTCTTCTCTTTAAACCCAATTCCATCCGCTCGTTCTTGATCAACGCTCGTCACATCGCAACCAGTTCACTCCGGTTCTCGGCAACCTAGGATATCACAACAACAACAATAACAACATCATCATCATCATCACACAATGAAGACCTTTTCCATTGTCTCCGTCATTATCGCTGCGGCTGTCCGCTGCGTTGCTTCCCAGTCCACTGACGTATGTCACACACCTATAAATTTCACATGTTGATTCTAGTTGACTAACAGATTCCTCAGGATTTCGGTGATGTCAATCTCGCCGCTAACCCAGGTGGTAACGTTTACAAGGCTACGTTCCCCAAGAAGGCCTTCTTTCCGGGCCCGTTGAAGGGGGGCAATGTCCAAGGCTCCATCACGGCCATGCCTGCTCCGGATGGCAAGGGTGTCCAGTTTAAGGTCAAATTCTCAAACGTTCCCAAGGAGGGCGGTCCTTTCTGTAGGTTGCCAGTTGCTTGATTCCTCCAAATTCGACTAACAGCGATCAGTGTACCACGTCCACATCGATGCTGTTCTCAAAGATGGAAATTGCAGCAAGACGCTCGGTCATCTCGATCCTAAAAAGCGCGGCGAGACGGCCAAATGCGACCCAAAAAAGCCCGACTCTTGCCAATTCGGTGACCTCTCCGGCAAGCACGACCCCGTCAAAGGTAACCTCGAGAAGACCTACGTCGACCAACAGTTGTCCGTCGTCGAAGGCTCCGACGGCTTCATTGGCGGCCGCAGCATAGTATTCCACTTTGCCAACAAGACCCGTATCACCTGTGCCAACTTCAAGCCCGTTACCAAGACAAACACGCACAATACCTGCAACATCACTGAGCGGTCTATCAGTGAAACCGGCACCGGCACCATCCCCAAAGTTACCCCCTTGCCGACCAACTCCTCCGTACCGAACAACTCCACCGTGCCGAACAACTCCACCGCGCCGATCCGCGGTGACGCCTCGACCACCAGAGGCGGCTCCATTTCCCTCATGATTGCTGGTTTCGCCACTGTCCTGTTCGCCTTATGAGCAGGCGTCGCATGACCCTCTCCTATGTTTTGTGGAAGTCGACGAGTCCTTTTCACCTACAGTCAACCTGGATCATAACTGGCGTTTTTGAGCTTTGCAACGAGTGAGGAAGAGCGAGAACGGCGAGAGCGAGACTGCGCAGCGGGCCGATAGACATGGGAGGGAAAGTGGTAATCATGCGTCAATTGAAAGAGGCCTGGATCCAGGAAAGGGGAAATGGCAAACTGCACTTTAACAACCTTGTACATACTTCTATTTGATTGGGACATTACCTAGATGATACCAGGGGTCTACTATCTGGGTAGTCTCCAGAAAATAAAAGCCTCCTGACTCTCCTCACCATTTCTCATCAATGGCGTTCTTCCGCGACACCACACTTGAACCTCGGCCTGACCGCGATCAGTGAACTTGGAATGGTAACGTATGCGCGCATGCAGGCTTCGCTGGAATATTCTACACATTGCGCGAATGAACGTGGCATGCGAGGGGTAGGTGGGTGGGGGTGGACAGACGGGAAGGATCATGGCTAGCGATTCAACATCCGATCGAGGCACGTTAAGCTAAGAATGGTCGGTGTCTTCCATCATCGATGGCGCAAGCATACTGCCGCAAGGCCAAGGTCATCCAATTTCAGAGGTATAGAAACTTGCCATTGCGCGTCTCTTCAGGTCAAATTACTTGTTTATGGTGGTGTGGGAACGAACCTCTGGCAGCGATTTGGTTGCGAGTCAGTGTTTCTCTCTGGAAAGCCTCCGCCGTTTGCGCCGGTTGCTTGGGTCGCCCGCTGGAAGGGGTAATGGACGTCAGCAGGGACTGGGCCTGTTCGTTTGGGCGCACGTTGGCGATGACGAGGCGGGTTTGATGAAACCGAGGCAGAAAGGGCAAGAGAGTGGGAGGGGGGGGGGGGGGGGGGGGAGAGAGGGGCGGGGGGGGGGGCGGGGGGGGGGGGGGGGGGGGGGGGGGGGGGGGGGGGGGGGGGGGGGGAGGGGGGGGGGGGGGGGGGGGGGGGGCGTGAAGAAAAGGCACCGGATCAGGGGAACTGAGTTGGTGGGTGCTGACGTCGATGCGGGGAGGAGCTCCGAGAGACAGTGGTTTTGGGCGGCCTTCTCTGTGTCTCGTCGAGGTTCCTATGCTGCAAAAGCTTGACGGGATGGAAAACCGGTTGCTTAAAGTTTGATTGCGGTGTGTGTGTGTCTGTGTGTGTGTGTGTGTGCGTGTAAAGGGGGGTAGGGGAGATTTGACTTGACTACCGTTGGAAGGTAAAGTAAGTAAGTATCACGGTTTTTCGGCACTTCTCTTTGGTGAAGAACAACGCAGGACGCTGCCTCTCGCCCGGCCGTACCCAACTGGTTCGAGAGACCGAAGGGCACAAATTGGAGAGGAGAGAGCAACGGTTTGGAAAGATGTGACTCCACCCCAGGGTCCGATGGTTCGTAAAAGTGTGGAACGGATGCGCCCGGTTGCAGCGTGCCACTTCTCGGTGCTTGGGCTGCTGTTGGTTGGTTTCATGTGCTGCCATTGGACGATTTTCCGTTCCCCCAAGCGCCGGCGTCGGCGCCGGGTGCCGGCTCCGACTGGTGGGGCCGTCGTCGATATTGTTTCCCCCAGGTCAAGGTGGAGCTACCTTATCTTACCTTAGTCAGTCGGCGCCGGTTTGCCGCAGGTTGAGAGAGAGGTGGGTTAAGCGCCCAACCCAAAATGTCTCAGGTGGAAGATTTGTCTCTGGCAATTGTGCGGAAATGTCCGCCTCATGATCTACCGCGTCACGACGTCGCGGGCATTGTCATTTACCATTGTCCGCAGTAGTTCGAGATCTTTGACCCTTACTACGGCAGGACCGGGGGCGGAGGCCACCAGTTGCTCCGTGTGCCCATACCTAACCTCACGGAGAACGGTCCCTCGTTCAGACGCCCGCAAGCCGACATGCCTGGTTGATTCAGTAGGTAGGACGAATCCCATCTCATGCTTTTTCTCTTTTTTTTCGGTCCCGAGCGCGGCCGGCGAATTGACGCGCTCGAGGAGAAATTCTGCGCGTGATTTCCGGTCCGACTCCACATAGCATCCCCCTCGGGCCCCTCCCCGCCTCGCAGTGACTTGCCAGATTACAGGACTTTGACGACGAGGGAAATGGTACGTACGTCTTGGATTGATTGCGCAGTTTGCCAGAAATACTTCAATATAATACTCAATGGTCGTGCAAAGTGTCAACGTTTGACCTTTGTAGAGAGGTCTGGCGAGGCTACCAGACGAACTCAGGTACGGAAGCCATGGGGAGAGGCGTTATACATGCCAGTATGGTAAGTTCTGAGGACGCCGAGTTCATGATGATCTTCGGTAGAACAGCCCTCTTTTATTAACAGTTGAGTCTTTAGAAGGTCGAACTTGGCATGGCTGAGTTGCGAGATTGAGCCTTTCAGCTGCTGCTTGCCCTCCCTCGAGAAATCTGATCACGTCTCACCCCTCCACTTCATCCTCAACCTTTCGGTAACTCTTTGGGAAGTCTCGTTGTTCTGGTATAGAAAGAAAACGAAATGTGAGACGGGAAAGAACACGGAGCGGTGTGAGGGGAGCGTAGTTGGCCACAATCACACACGTCGACGTCGGTTAAAGGCTATTCGAGAATGACTGACCTTCTAGAACCTCTACTAAGGTAGACTGGCTAACACATCCGGCTTGAATCATATCTTATACGTATATCTCCTCAGTATTAAGGCTGGCCTTGTTGATCTGATAGTAGAGCTAGACGTGCTCGGCTATTGCGAGGCTGCAGGACACTCGAGATGACCGTATATCTGAGCCGCATATGGATAAGTAAGTAGTGTAAGCGTAGGGAAATATCAGCAGGAAACCACATATCGATAACCGTAGCTCTTGGTATGTTGAGATGTTCTCGGAGGGATGACTGGAATGTACCATACGAAGAATGGCTGATGCGCTTCTGATGGGTCGGTATCCAATGCTGTCGACTCAGCCAGACTGGATGCCTTGCTCCTTCCGGCGACGCCAACTTTCATGACTACCTGAGGTGTCAAAGCGTGGAAGGAAGAGGTGAGGCTTAATTATACATTTCATGCGATTGATAAATTTTGAAAGGACTTGAAAATTCATGCCTTCCAGTCTCGTGTGTGTGTGTGTTTGTGTGTGTATGTAGCTGGACGGTCTCTCTGCTGGCGCCTGCCTTGGGAGGGTTAAGAACGGTGTGAACCTTCCCTTCTTTCGATGAGACTGTCCGAAGCAGCTGCTCCAGGCCTCCAGCAAACCCGGGCCGTCGTTGCTTCCTTTTTGATATGCCTTCCGTTTGATCCCAAGTTCTCAACAACGCTGGCGTGGGCAGATAACACACTATACACGTATGGCGATATGTTGCCTTCTGTTGCGAGACTTCCTGGAGTCGAAGGGGAGGAAACGGGGCCCCTTTTCCTGAACAATGGTTTTCAAAGAGCCTGGGATTCTTATTTTCCCTCTCCAGCTCGTCAAAGACTCCCCCCTACCTAAGGTACCTATTGAAGGTTGATCTTCTGCCAGACGTCGGAGTCCACCAGCTTTCCTCTTCCATCACTGTGGTAGACCACTCGCCAGTCATCATCCATAATGGCCATCACCAACCACACCACTAGCAGTCATTCATCAAACCAAACTGCGAGAGCCGTATGATTGTGCATTTCGCTGAGAGATTAAACTCGACGGCTTCTGAGGTGCGTCAAATCCGAGTGTCGACCAGTCATCATCGCGAACGCGGCATTCCTGAGCAGTTTCAGCTTCACCACAAGTCGAGTATACCTGTATCCTCCTGCTCGTCCCGCGGTTCCAGAACGAGATACTATGCACAGAAATGCGACTTCGAGCTCACGACCGGCATCCACGAGCCTGAAGCAAGCGTGCCGTGGTTCTCGCATCACATGTACCGGTGCCCTGACTGGTGCAAACCGTCGACCTCTGAATCTCGAATCTATAGAGTTTGTGAGTTTAGCAGCCGAATTTGGCTTTGACATCTATTCGCACAGAGCTGCGATACGACACTTTCCAGAGCATGACTCAATTGACAGGACAGTTGAGACCCCGATCGACTCTCTCGCTCTCACGACCATGAGACCAAAGCCGGATTGCAGACCCGCTTACAGTCACGACCAGAGTATCTTTTGGTTGCCTCCAAAGAGTCCGCAGTGGCCAACAACGGATGCGAGAAGCGCAAGGGTGAGAGAAGATCAAACCCCTGAGTGGCATCTACGCACGCCATCCGGACCTGACTAGGTGTTGTAGCAGACACTCCGGAACACTACGAGCAACTGTGCCGAGCTAGGGTCTGTGGGAGTCAGAGCATGTTGGCAGGTTCCTTGCATCAAGAAAAGAGGTTATTCAATGGCCTAAAGATTGGAAAGTGGGCGAGAGGAGAACCCGCAGGCCCACTGCCGAATATCGCGAGGAACCTCGGGATCTACAATAGGAAACTCGGAGTTGGAGGTGCCTAACACGGCAGGGGTCCATCCATACGGTCGTCTCGAGGAATTCCCTAGATATGGGCGACCAAAAGATGGTGTCGATATCGCGGTCGAGTTGTCCAACACCGGTCCCTGTAGCGAGATCGACGGCACTGTCGACTGTCTGGATTCTACTGAAGTGCCCCAGATCACGGCGATCCCTAGGTGGCATGGACGCCCACACGCCGTCCCGGACGCCTGGACGGTAGATCTTTCTTTATGCAAATCTGGATTTAAAGAGAGAGCTGTGGACGGGCCGCATACGACAAGGCGGTCTTTTTCCCCACCTAGGATCATGGCTAGCTGCTTAGCTCGCCTAAGCTAGAGCCAAAGAGGCAGCGACACCTCGAGCTCAGGACTGCCTTGCGCGGGATAGGCACAACCAGGTGTCCTGAGCCGGGTTGCCTCTAAGCCCTGTCGGTTGGCTGGGCCGTTGATCTCGAAGAGTCAATGATACCTCGGACTGTGACCTAAACCTCAGCCTGACAAGCCGGGGATGACAACCTCGTGCTTGAGCGCCCT